GAAAAACTGGTGAATCTCAAACGCAGAAGAATTGCCTTCATACAATTCTTGTATGCGACGGAAATGTGATCAATATGAACATGTAAGATTTTTTCGTCCAAATGACATTTTTTGAGATATTTCGTTAAAAAAAATTATTTTAAGGGTTTATTATTTGTTAATCCTATTGCTATAGGTGAATTGAGTATTAGAGTATTGGATTATTTACACTTTAATCGTAAATATTTTGTGTTTTTTAAGGAAGATGAATTATTACTGATAAATAAGGACTTTGTATGGGCACAGATCAAGTGTTGATCCAATCAAATCAGCATTTTGTTGATTTAATTAGGTCAACATATCTTATAAAAACATACAATATATATTTGCATAATACAACATATGTTTATATCATATTTTGAGTTATAATATAACACATGTATTATTATAAATATGCTAAAATTAATATATAATATATATGTTGATTGTCTTTATGTGATCTGCTGACTCGATCAAATCAACACTTATTTTGATTTGATTGGGTCAGCATCGGATCCGCAATCGATGTGTATAGTATAAGAATATGATATCTATGTTAACACATACTCCCTCTGTCTTTTTTTTTTTTTAGTCGTCCCCCGAAATTAGTCGACTTTTCTATTATAGTAATAATTAATAACTAATACTTCTAATTAAAAAAATTTAACTATATTTTATTAACTTACGAATATCTTTAGTTTTATTATTTGTTAATTATAAATTTAGAAGTTGGGCTAAAATTTTAAAAAATAAAAATAATAAATATTTAATATTATATAAATAAATATTCATTTAATTTTAAAATTAAATTTAAATGTAATATATAATAAAAATGTGATGTTTGATTTGAAAATTTATGGGTGAAAAATTAATTAAAAGTAGAGTTGATATTGATTTTTTTCTTTGTTAAAAACAATAAAAAAAAATAGAACTTAATTATAATGCAAAATTATAAACTTATTTTTAATTTCGGTATTTGATGTAAAATATTACTCCCTCCGTCATGCAAATGTGTGCTCATTTGACAAGGCATGAATTTTAATAAAAAGTTAATAATAATTGTTAATTTTTCTTTTTATAGTAAAAAAATACAAAAGTGTAATAATTTTTTAATTAAAAATGAAACGAGAATATATTTTGATGACAACCCAAAAAGGAAAGTGAGCATAGATTTGAATGACGAGTGAGTATATTATAATACAGTGTATACAATTCAGTTAGAGATGGTTTGAGATAGTATACCGAAAATATCGAAATATATTGTATACCGTACCAAATTTTTTAGTTTATTAAAAAAATATCGATATTGTATCAAATAATCAGTATATACAAAAATACCAATTTTTTTAATTATCTATATACACTGAAAATATCCTATTGTATATCGTTATCATATAAAAAAAGTCATATTGTATTGAGATTTTAAAATTTATTCAGTATTCCTTTTACAAGTATGCATGTTATTTCCGTAATTTAGTATTTTTTATTCGAAAATTCGGTATACCAAAATATTTGTACGGTGCGGTAAAATATCATACCAAAAATTTTGTACCGTACGTATGCGATGTGGTATTAAATTTGGTATGTCATAACAAACTATCTCTAACAACCACCAAATTCAAAAATTTTTATGTATTGTTTATATAATTTTTTTTATTACATCTTTTTATCGTATAAATTACATTTAAGTTATTAAAATTATTTTTTTAAAAAAATTTAAATGCATGTATTGATTTTCAAGAAATACAATTATTATTATTTTTTAAAAATTATATCAGTAAATAAAAATTTTAATATTTAAAATTAAAATAAAAAATATTTTAACTTGTAAATTGTAATTTAACATTTTATGAAAAAAAAAATTAATATAACATTTTATTAAATCTATTAATCAAACTAATTAACTATCTAACACAATATTTCTTAAACTGCGTGTCCAAAAGAAATTGGACTAATTTCATGGGACGAAGGGAGTATATGCTAATATTATTTATGATACATATTTGAAATTTTTTAATATATTGATTTTATTAATATATATTTTAAATGTATAATTAACAAAATTATTTTTAAAAAGTTAACTTGTAAGAATATATATAATGATCATGGACGCATATCAGGTTGCTGATCCAATCAATCATATAAACGTAATCGATATATATTTTTGTATAACACAACATATATTGTATTATAAGATATCATATGATGAGTTATAACATAACACATATGTTGTATCAAAATACGTAATGATAGTTTATAATATATGTTGACTACCAGCGTCATGCTAATTTGATTGAGTCAGCAGCACCAGATTTGCATTCAAAGTATCCTACAACATATATTAGATACAGGGTCTGTTTAGACAACAAAAAATAAACAAATACATCAATACTTTTATTTAAATATTTAATAAAGTATAAATAAATTATATAGTATTCCATTGTATTTTAATAAAAATATACAAAATACATTGTGTTTTATTTATTGCACGAAATCTCGTGTGTTAATATAAAATTTGCAGGAAATATCGCCTTAGATCAATTTTTTCCCTTTTTGCATTCCTATTTGAACTGCAACCCATCGATTATTATTATTATTATTATTATTATTATTATTACAAGACTGAAATAAATAAATAAATAATCAGTAGCGTAAATTCCTTAAACGGGCTCTGAATTTGCGCACACATTTTCTATCTTAAAATGGGCAATTCGAGGTATGCATTAATAGCTTAATTTTATCTACATTATCATATAGACATAAATTTTGACCATATCAAAATGTGCTGTCTTTATCCAATTAATTTTAGATTCTATTTAAATACTATGAGTTTTAAAAAATTTTGAAATTTTAAAAAGATTTTAAAGTATTATAAATTTAAGTATTTAATATATAGTATAAATATGTACTATAGATGTGATGTTGTACATATATATATATACATACATATATTGATGCTGCAAATATTTTAAATTTAAAAATAAGTATTTGACGTGATTGTCTTACTTAAAAAAATAACATCATCAAATTGTGCAAAATTTTTGAAAAATTATGTTGAACTTAAAATTGTATTTTTTGGTGTTTAAAATTTATTTTTTTATATTTAATATTCTCTCCAACATTCAAATTTGTGCTTGTTTTTCTTTTCGGATTGTCATCATTTCATTTTTAAGTGAAAAATCGTTACGTTTTTTTTACTTTTTTTTTTACTATAAAAAAATAAATTAACAATTATTACTCACTTTTATTAAAACTTATGTCCAGTCAAATAAACACATATTTGCATGACGGAAGAAATATTTTCTTACAACTTAAAATTGGCTAATCTCTGTAATTAATTGCGACTATATAATAAAAAATTAATGGGACAGATCATAGGTAATAATCAATATGGTGCTATAATTAGCACCTAACTCATTCCCATAAATGAACAATACACGATATTCTAACATAATATATATACATAGTATTATTATAATTAAACGCAAGGTACGAAGAAGTATGTTAGGGTTTGTTCGTTCAACTTTATGTACTCAACAAATACAACTACCATAAAAATAAAATAAAATAAAATAAAAATACAACTACCATTTCTTAAATATATAAATAACAAATTTTCCTCTATAAAATACTCACTTATTACATCATTTTAATGAACTTACCAAACAACCTGATTTTTTTACCTATTCACTTTTATAATAATAAAAAATATTATTATTATTTGTTAATTTACATATGTGTGTTTCTTTTGATTATATTTGAAAATTTTTTATTTGAGTTTGGTATTAAAATAATATATGATACAAATATTTTGTGAGTTCGAAAAATACATAGTCGAAATAGTAGAATTTGAGGAGTTTAGAGTTAAAAGAAACAACAAGGTGAATATATTGTACTCCCTTCGTCTTATAACTATGGTCTTAATTGAGTTGGATACGAGATTCAAAGAATATTGATATTTTATTGATAGTTGGTAAAAAATACAAGTAAAATATTTTTTTGCTCTTGTGAGTGTATTAGTGTAAAACGTAGTGACATTTGTGTAATATTAATGAAAAAAATAATTAAGGATAATTTTATGGTGATATGAATATTTCTGTAAAAATGAGACTATTGTTTAGGAACAAACAAAAATAGTAAATAAAACGATTGTATTGAAATTGAGAGAGTATTATTCCATCAAATTAAATTTAATATTCAATACAAAATATTCTTTTCATATTATTGACACTACTTCTTATATCTCAAATCCTACCAACAAAAAACTAAACAAACAAACCCTTAATTATAGCATCTCCAATCCAGCGTCATTGAGGTTATTTGGGAACCCACCCCAAATCTTGCGCCACTTTTTCGCGTTGCTCTATATTTTTTAATTTTTTTTTTAATTTTTAAATTTTAATTTTCAATTTTCAATTTTATTTTTCTAAATTTTTTAAAAAGTTATTTTAAATTATAAAAATAAAAAATTGTTTAAAATAATAAGAAAAATTAAATATTTGAAGAATAATGATGAAAAATAGAGTTATAGTTAAAGTAAAATTACAGTAGTAATTGTATATTTAGAATTAAAACTAAATAAATGAAATTGACGGGTCTGAGACAACCTTAGTATAGCATATGTTGTCTTAATTGACATAATGCCTTTGTATGCCAAATCAACACACGAACCAACACAAACAAACATAAATGATCATACTTGAAGTAAATCAAATACACATATGTAAAATCGTTACATTAGCTGTAAAAAATACACACAAAAATACATACACATATACATATATATATGTATACGTATTAATGACATCAGTACATCACAGATACATACGATGGATCATTAATGAAGAAATTCAGATGGACCCTCCCATCAATGCTCGCCTCTCGGCTCTCCACCCATGACCCACCCCACCCGCCCCCCTACAAACCTATACGTACACTCGACCTGTATCTATATCTCCACATATATATACATACTTCGATATACTCCAACAGCTAATAATTCAAAAAAAGCTTCACTCTAACATTTCTCCATCGACATGAGGATCTGCGGCGGCTTCCTCTCAAACGCTGTCGTTTTCGGATTAACGTTAACGCTCTGTCTGCACCTGCTAAAATCACAGGCGGGTGACGGTGACGGTCACGGCGATAGAATAGTCGCACTTCCTGGACAGCCTAAAGTCGTGTTTCAGCAGTTTTCCGGCTACGTCACCGTCGACGAAGCCGCCGGAAGATCCCTCTTTTACTGGCTCACGGAGGCCGCCGACAGACCGTCGGAAAAACCTCTCGTTGTCTGGCTCAATGGAGGTAATAATATATATATATATATATAAATATATTTCTTGTAATAGTGAATTGGAAATTAATTGAATATTTGGCCATTAGGGTTTTTACTATTTTTTTGTTTAGAATTTTGGCTCAGTTGCTTAATTAGAGAGTTCTGAAAATGTTTGAGAGTTAATAAAAGGTTAGTATTGATATGTTTTTAAAAATGTTAATGGAAATTAATAGTGGAAAAATGCCTGAATTATGTTTGTGTTTGTTTGATTTTATTTCGAAGTTACAAACGTTGGTTGGGTGCAAAAATTGTCTGAAAAAATGGGGTGTGTAGAAGATGAGATTCTTGGGAGGTCCCGGGAGCGCAACGCCGGATAGATCACAGCCGTCTGTGTTTCAATGTGGGGTGTGGATGAAATTGGGTGTTTAGCTCCTGGTTTATTTTGAAATCTGTTGATTTTGTATTTTATTTTACTGGTTATACTTATTTGAAAATTGCGTAAATTCTATATAGAGTAATTAATGGTGGAAGGTAAACTGAGAGCAAAGAACAATAAATGAAATCACAGACACACCCATTTAATATAAAGTTCTGCAAAATATATTGAATTTGTCAGCATGCTTCTTGCTACAGGGATTGCTCTTCCATCAATCTTTTCTTCTATCACGTACATATTTTATATCTATATATATATATAGAGAGAGAGTTATTTTGCAATTTACCTAAACCCCAGACCCCTTTTTGCAAACACGAAACCCCCCCAAAATTTTGGCCTCATTTTGGGGATGGCACTGTTGGCATTTTCTTCAAGGACAATTATGGAGATCATGTTCATCACCGTACGCAATGATTCTTGAGAGCACCGTGGAGTCCAACTCCAGATGCATCCGCACCGTTCATCTATTGTTTGAATTCCCCCGGTGCTCGGCTCCTGGACCTCCCAAGAATCACTCCCCTTAAACATGCACAACACCTCTCTATCTTCCTTATTTACTGTTGTATCATTTTTTTAAAAATTATTATTATTATTATTTTAACATTTAAATATATATTTGATGAAATAATTATCAGGACCAGGCTGCTCTTCCATTGCTTATGGTGCATCTGAAGAAATTGGACCATTCAAGATCAATAAAACAGCCTCTGGTTTGTACCTCAACAAATACTCATGGAACAAATTGGCTAATTTATTATTTCTAGAAGCTCCCGCCGGCGTCGGCTTTTCTTACACGAACCGCTCCTCCGACCTCCTTAACACCGGCGACCGTCGAACCGGTACGATAATACAAGAACCGGGAAATTGGAATGAACTTATTTTAATTTATTTTAGCATATTATTATTTGTTTTGTTTTTGTTTTCAATTATTAGCAAAGGATTCGGCCCGGTTCCTGGTGCGGTGGCTGGACCGGTTCCCTAAATACAAGAACCGGGAAATATACCTGACCGGGGAGAGCTACGCCGGGCACTACGTGCCGCAGCTGGCGCGCGAGGTCCTGGAGCACAACCGGAGGTCCCGGAGCAAGATCAATCTGAAGGGGGTTATGGTGGGGAATGCGGTGACGGACAACTACTACGACAACGTCGGAACTGTGAACTACTGGTGGAGCCACGCCATGATCTCCGACAGGACCTACCGGCGCCTGCTGAGCACGTGCGACTTCAAGGGCCAGGTCCAGGACTCCTCCCAGTGCGAGAACCTCTACTACTACGCCATGGACAAAGAGTTCGGCAACATTGACCAGTACAACATCTACGCGCCGCCGTGCCGCCACAACTCCGACCGCCACCGCCACCTCCGCCGCCGCATCCGTCTCCCGCATCTCCCTTACCACCCAGTATAATTAATTAATTAATTAATAATAAATTAATTGATTTGATTAATTAATTAATTAATTAAAAATATATATATATACGTTTTTTGTTTTATTAATGGTAGCTGTCGGGATATGATCCGTGTACGGAAAAGTACGCAGAGATTTATTACAACCGGGGGGACGTCCAGAGAGCTCTCCATGCAAACATTTCAGGACATATTCCCTACAAATGGACAGCATGCAGGTAAATTAAATTAAATTAAATTAATAAATTAATAAATTATTGTTAATTTATTATTATATTATTAATTATTTTTGGTGGGCGTTGGTGCAGCGAGACGTTGAACAGAAACTGGAACGACACAGAGACCTCAGTTCTTCCGATATACAGACAATTAATTGCTGCAGGATTGAGAATATGGGTTTTCAGGTAAAATTAAAATTAATTTTTTAAATTTCGATTTTCTGAAATTAATTAAATTAAATTAATTTTGTATATATGGTATGGCAGTGGGGACGTGGACTCAGTGGTGCCAGTAACAGCCACGAGATATTCCCTGGCCCAGTTGAAATTGGAGACCAATATTCCATGGTATCCTTGGTATGTCAATAATCAGGTACGGCACTAATTAATTTACAATTACTATAATATATATAAAAAAAAAATAATAATAGTTATGATTTAATTAATTAATTAATTATGTGTAGGTGGGTGGGTGGACTGAGGTGTACAAGGGGGGGTTGACTTTTGCGACGGTCAGAGGGGCAGGGCATGAGGTGCCTATGTTCAAGCCGAGGGCGGCATTTCAGCTCTTCACATCATTCTTGAAAGGGCGCCCTTTGCCGAGATCATCATCATCATCTTGACAAATCACAGCCGTCCATTTTTATTAGTATTAATTAATATTTCTATGATTTTGCAATGAATCAATCAATATCATCAGTGTCACTTGTCAGGTACTATTAGTGTCGGGGATGAATTATTGAATTAATGATGCTTTAGATCTCTTTGATTTGGATTGATTACCAGCTTAATTACATAATTACTTAAATAATTAATGCGGATTTTAGTTGTATATCAAAGGGAGATTTCTTAAAAAAAGAGACCAAAAAATAAAAAAAATAATAAAATAAAATAGGAGATCATTACATCCAAATGATCAATGAAAAATAAATCACAATGTCCAAAAAGATAGATTTTAGCTTCACTGACTATGTCCTTTCTTTTGGGATGACATACCTTACCGGACCGAAGGTATCTATTGATATCGATATCGATATCGTATCGAATTTTTCGGAATAACGAAAATACATGTTGGCACCGTACTAAAAGTTTCAATATATCGAATTTCGATATACCAAAACTTTTGATAAGGTATCGGTATATACCGTTTATACCGAAAATTTTAATTTCGATACGATACCGGTATACACCGATTATACTGAAAATTATAATTTTAAATTTTAAAATAATTAAAAAATAATAATAAATATTACCATTCTCCGCCGTAAAAATATTATAAAAAGCTCAATAGTCTATCTATTTTTTTGTTATGATTTAAAAAAATTTAATAATTATTATTTATATTAATAATTAAATTATTTAATAAAAATAATATTAGTACCTTTTCATACCGAAATATCGAACTTCCAGAAAATTCATACTGACATCGTACTGAAATTTTTGATACGACATTCATACTTTACCGAAATTACCAATATACTAAAATTTTCGATATTTTTGAAAATCACAACACACAGTGATCCTCATTTGGCAGTCCAAATTTCGCCCTCCGTCCGTGTGGCTTCTTGCAGGCGAAAGTCAAATTTTATTCAATGGATTTGAAATTGCTATTGTACAATTTAATTCTTTCAGCAATCAACACTGCATTGCTTGGTTTAACGGTCAAGCTGGACGCAAAAATATTTATTTATTTTTTATTATGTTAAATCCCTTATAAACACTATATACTCTTTTTTTAATATAATAATAATATTTAAAAAAATAATACTTCTTCCGTCTTGTATTAGTAAAAATAATTATTCTATAATATAAATAATTATAAATTAAAATTAAAATAATTAATTAGTTTAATTAAAATTAAAAAAATATTAATTAAAAAGTTTAAAATAAGATTAAAGTGGGTAATTATAAAAAAAAAAAAAAAAAAGTGATATGAAATATAGGACAGACAGAAACGACCGTATATACATAATAACGAAGAGAGTAATAAACTTCATCTTTTCTATGGGAGAAGGGAGTATTTTAAAAATATTGAAGTTCCGGTTCGATCCGAAAACCAGCGGTTTAAGAGTCCGTAAAAAAGAATCGAAACCGAACCGTGTGGAACCGGTTTCGGTTCGACGCCGGTTCGAAACCGATCTAAATTATGTGGCCCGTCTAGCTCGATAACGTTTTCTATCCTCTCCTGGCCGCAAGAGAATTCATTCTCTCTTTTGTTTCCTGAATTTCTCCTCCCGTTTACAATGGCGCAACTCACTTTGAGTTTCAATCTTGTGGGGGCTTTCAGAGGGCTATCCATTGCACCATCGTCTTCCTTTACCAGAGGGGACGTCGGCGGTCCTGCTCAACTACTTCAAAAAACAACCGCAATCTCCTCCTTTCCCTTGAAATTCCCATTGACAATTGAGGCGGCACACAAGAAAGGAGCTGGAAGCACTAAAAATGGCCGTGATTCGCCGGGGCAGAGGCTTGGAGTCAAAATCTTCGGGGATCAAGTCGCCAAGCCTGGCTCTATTATAATTCGCCAGCGCGGTACCAAGGTTCGCCCCAAATCCCTACTTCATTCCATTCCATATTTACAAATTTCTCTCTGCATCTATTACACTTGAGTGTTTCTTTCTAGGTTTTTGTAAAATAAAATAAGATAAAATTCACGATTTGTTTCATTTATTTGTTCAATGCATTCGTAGTAAGCCATTATCGTAGGTAGAGATATGAATGGTTTTGCAGCAGATGAATTGGTGTTTTATTGTCATTTTGCTACTTGACAATGATATTGATAGCTCACAAACAAAGATATGAATGCATTTAGATTATAATCAGTTGCATCATCAGCTTAATTGGTTTTCAATCCTTGAGTGGACTGGATATTTCTTTCGATTCTCATTACACATTGTTCTTCTTATTTGGCTTGTTGTTTATGCCTTTGGTCTTGTGTTGTTGTAAACAATTAGCTTTGGATACATACACTACATTGAAGTGAAAATGCCTAAAACTTCATCCTTGATGCACTAATATCCTCCTTTATGCTGGGGTGGTACCTATGACTATGACTAAGAATTTAACCACAAACATAACGCAGGAATTATTATTCCTTTAGCTTGTTTGTCGAACATCTTCCTCCTAACTACCAACATAATGGTTTGGTTTATATGTGATACGTTAAGAAATTCACATCCCTTTACATACATACATACTAGTTCTTATCAAACTTGTCTTTTTTGGTTATATTATCAAATTAAGTTCAGTATTGTATTGCAACACATTCCTTTATATCATTCGATCATGAATTTAAGTCTGTTGGGATCCCAATTATTTATGTGGAACGTATCAAATGATGAGATGAGATGAGATGGGGTGGTTGTTGCAGTTTCATCCAGGGAAGAATGTTGGACTTGGTAGGGATCATACCATTTTCTCGTTGATAGATGGAATGGTCAAATTTGAGAAGTTTGGACCCGATAAGAAAAAGGTTAGCATTCATTTTCATCGTCATTGTCATTGCCATTGTCATCGTCATTTACATATGTATATATATATATAAAGAAGCCACACAAAACCAAACATGCAATGGAATGCAGGTAAGTGTATATCCTCGAGTGGTACAGCCTGAGAATCCCAATAGTTACAGAGCAAGAAAGAGAGAGTCATTCAGGTTGCAACGGGAGCGACGAAAAGCAAGAAAAGAAGGGATTGTAAGTGAACCAGAAATGGTTCTTGCTTCTGCTGCTACCCCATCTTGCTGAAGAAGAGTATCAGGAATGAATGAGAAGCTGTGGAATGATTTTCTTTTTTAACATTAATATTAGTATTGTATTCTTGGATTCAGCCACAGCAGAGCAGCAAAGAAATGAATCAAATACATAACTTCACCACCCACTTTTGTGTATCTGTATCTACCAATACCATCCGAGAGAGAGAGAGAGAGAAATGGAATCGTTGAGTGTAGACAAAACTATAAGAACAATTTCATTGGCCCATCCATCATCGTTTGATCTGGAATTAATCACCAAAATTCACTTTCCTGCTGCCTATGTAGTCTGTAGTTAGTTTATGTTTGATTCTGGATTTATATATATATATATATGGAATTAATGGAAGCTTACAATGTTGTTATTCACTACTGACTAACAACCCCGAATAATATTAAAAAATAATACTCCCTCTGGTGTCCATATTATCTTTTATGTCTATCCTACGTCTCATGTTATTTTCATATTTTTTGAAAAAGGATAACACACTTTAATTTCAATTTTTTAAATTTTTTATTTTATAGTATTTTAAATTTTAATTAAACTAATTAGTTATCAATCTTAATTTATAATTATTTATATTATAGGACAATTATTTTCATTAATATATTTTTAATTATCTACTAATTATATTTATCCTAAATTCTCGTGTCTACGCTAATCCCGATACGTTACGTGGGACGAAGAGAGTAACATTTTGTCAGTAAGGGATGACCGGGGTATTGGGAGTGAACTTGTGATTATGAGATCAAGGGCTCAAACTCAACGCATCCAGGTACACCTGTCAAACATAGTTGGACTGGAGATTTACCAATTCGCACTTCCGGAGAGCGGCTACAGATTTTTAAGTTATAAATAATAATAATAATAATAATAATAATTTTATTATTATAACCATCACAAATTAATAGAATTTTAATGTCAAAAACTTTAACAGAACGGAAATAATAGAAGTTTCATTTATCTAATGATTGATATTTTTTAATCACTCTACTGTCACGGGTTGATATGCCTGCTCCAGGTTCTCGGCCATAGTCTGGTGTGCGAGCCCTTGTCCTATACGGTTTTCTGATGACATGTATCTTGGTGCAGGTACGTGTTCCGCATGATAATATATCCTGTGCGTGTTGCCGACGGCTGGTCTGGGCCTCGGCGCAGGCATGGCGTGGCTTAGGCGCTGAGCATGTCAGCTTCCGGACACGTTACACTACGATATCTATTGTTGGGTCAGTTCAAACCTAAGTAATAGCATCCAAACATATTAATTTTTTCAAAAATATATATTCTCTCCATTCCCTAAGAAAGATACTATTTTTCATTTTTTTCCTTTAAAAAAAAATATTTTTTAGAAATATTATTATTTTTTTCATTATAAATCAATATAATATCAATATTAAAAAATTTACATATGAAAAAACAAATATTACTCCTCTCAGGGATGATGGAGATAGTATAAAATATAAATACGAGGAAAACACACCCTTGCGCTACATTGATTTAAGCAAAGAGAAAGAAAAGAAAATTTCCATAGGCATATGGAATGACGTAATCTTCCTAATATGCTAGTGGAACAAAATTATAAGGCGTTTGTTCGGGGTTTTGGATTTTGAATTAGATTTGAATAATAAAAATTTTGAATTTGAATAGTTGTATGATGTGATATAAATAGGGGTTGATGTGATGTTTTGAATATAAAATTAATTTTTAATATAATATAAAAAATAAAAAATAAGTGTTTAATTTAATATTTTTTAGAAAAAAAATAAAATAAATACTGAAAATTAAATCAAATTCCCCAAACAAACAGTGAGCTAAATGAATCAAAAAGTCAAATATGCATTAAAAAAAATCAAATATGCACCTGATCCTCTTCGACAAAAGTATTATTGGTAAATATGTGAATTTTTGTAATGCATATTTGACTTTTAATTAATGGTTGAATTCAATAAATACTTAAAAAAAGTTATTGTTTAATCAATTCTAGAATACATGTATATATAATACATGCTATATAATAATAAGGTAAAATTGTCTATAATTCTCTCATAATTTTTAAATTCAATATAAATTTTTCATTTACTTTAAAAAAATTGCATGACGTCTCTTTATATTTTAAAATTTTTTACATGAAACTCCATTGTGATTTCAAAACTCAACGTAAATCTTCATTTTATTTTAAAAAATTGTACGACGCCCTCTTATATTTTCAAAAATATTGCATAAAAACCCCGACATGCCAAACATACAGATAGGAAATATAAGGGAGATTTCATGGTAGTGGGTTTCATGCAATATTTTCGAAAGTATAAAAGAGTGTCATATAATTTTTAAAGTATAGAGATATTTTACTCTGAATTTCGAAACTACATGAGAATTTTACCTAATAATAATGATAACACCACTTTCCGCCTCTTTCGTTCTTTTACTCTGTTGGGCAGAAATATCAAAACTTTTAAGTAATAAAATATTATTTTTATCTGTTTTTAACAATATATTCATTTTTTATTTTACTCCGTCTCGTTTTTCTTTAATAATTGTAGTGTCTACTTAATATTACAAATATTTTTTGAATTTACAATATATTATACAAATATGATTATTTTTATATTATACCATACTAATAAAGCTGGTTTAATTTTTTACCTTTATTTTTGCTTTCTAAAACTCCGTACAAAAAATAAACAAATAAATAAATATGAGATGGATTATTATTTTTTAATTTATTACTAAATCCCAAAAATTCATTAAAAAAAAAAAAAACAACGGTCGGCTCGAATTGGAAGCTTGCGATTCGGTTTCGGTTCGTGCGGTTCAGTTCGAACCGGAAGTTTACGATTCGGTTTCGATCCGGTCCACCGATCCACGTGACCGCTCGCGTCTTTCTGCCCTTTTTCATTAGCTGCTCACGTGACATCTTCGTCCGTTTCTTTCTGGTCCCAATCGGTGAATATATTCTTGAATTTGGAATAGAAATAGAAATAGAAAGATGCACTGAGTTTTCTTTATCTTTCGCTGCAAAGAAAGGAGTGTACGCTGTTTTTGTTTTTCCTGATTTCATTTCTGATTATCGGCCGGCTTCAGGTATTTCTTTTGAGAGATTGGGTCTGGGAGTAATTTTTACCTGTTGAGGTATTATTTGGAATAGATTGTGACTGTTCGTTATATGCGGATCGGATTTTATACGTGGCTTGCGTTGAATTTGTGGTTGAAGCTACTTGCCTGCGTTAAATTTTGGAACTGTGGCTTACTTGAATCGATTGTATTAAATTTTGTGATTTGAGTTGTGGAATTGTCTTCGGATTTGTGTAGATGGCATCGGCTTCTCTTATCTGTGAAACTCAGCCATGGAAGAGTTTGAAGGTAAAGCTGCGGGTCTTTCTGGATTTAGCATTTGTAGGGACGTGTTTAATGGTATGTTTATTAATGTGGCTGATGCATTCAATTTTCAAATTCCAGGTTCATGTTGAAGAAATTAAGAAGACTCATTTGCGTGAATTGATGGGCGACAAAGAACGTTGCCAGTCCATGATGGTGTATGTATGCTATTGGATATATAAAACATGGAATTATTTTGTACTGTTTTCAGCCTTCAATGGTATTGATTATTGTACGTTTGTATTATTGGCAGCGAGTTCGATGGAATGTTATTGGATTACTCAAGGCAATGTGCCACTCTTGACACATTGAATAAGCTCAAGACTTTATCAGAGGTGAGTTATAGGTGAGTCTTTTCTGTACTTTTGGAGACGTACGATATGCAATCTGACTTGTGGAGCTATGTCTGGTGATGTAGGCAGCACAGTTGAAAGAGAAGATAAACAGGATGTTCAATGGAGAGCGTGTAAGTTGATGTTTCTTTTCTGAACTAATCAGTGTAAATACTACTTTCTATATTTCTGAGTAGCTTGGGATGCTTGTAATGGGAAGCAGCAAATTATGTAACTTGAGATTGCCTTTTTTGGGTTTCTTTAAGATCTACAAACTTAGAGAAAGCACCCTAGAAAGAATTAACATGACATGGTACCTTCATTTCCTATTGTGGTAAATGACTCTGCATCACATCCCTTCTTGTATTATTATGAATCAAGAACACCATGCATTACTGTGTTATCTGTATCCAATCCCACCTTGTTGAACAGCAATATTTGTTAATTTTTACAATTATGTGGGATCATCAGATAAACAGTACAGAGAATCGATCTGTCCTTCATGTAGCACTTCGTGCTCCAAGGGATTCAGTCATAAATAGCGATGGGAAGAATGTGGTCCCAGATGTTTGGCAAGTTCTTGATAAGATCAAGGATTTTTCCGAGAGGGTCCGCAGCGGTGCATGGGTAATTCTTATCACCATATATGCTGTTGTTGATTGTGAAAATACTGTTAGTAATTTCTTTTAAATATTTGACAGGTTGGTGCCACCGGAAAAGTCTTGAAAGATGTTATTGCAATTGGAATTGGGGGCAGTTTCCTTGGTCCTCTTTTTGTCCATACAGCACTGCAAACAGGTATTATGATGCTGCATAATTGCGTATTTTAGCAATATTTAATTTTGTTCGTAAAGATTTGCTTGGGCAATCTGTATGTACATGCCATGCCTAATGTTTCACATAATGTTGACAACCTGCAGACTCTGAAGCTGCTAAATTTGCAAGTGGCCGCCAGCTGCGATTGTAAGTTCTACTTTATTGCTAAACAATTCCTTCCATTTTTTTAATATGATGCATGCCTCACTGCATTAGTAACAAATTTACTTTTGGCTAAACACTTTTTTGTTACTTTGAAGCCTTGCAAATGTTGACCCAATAGACGTTGCAAGAAACATTGCTGGGTTGAATCCTGAAACCACATTGGGTACGTTTGATTTATTATCCTTTCAAAGATAAAGAATATATATATTTATATATGTTAATGGAAGGGTGAAGTTCTAAGCACTCTAATGCTTTTCTCGTATTGTTATGGATGTACTGCAGTTGTTGTCGTTTCAAAAACTTTCACGACAGCTGAAACAATGTTGAATGCTCGAACTATAAGGGAGTGGATCTCGGCCGCCTTGGGGTAAGAACATTACAGAAAATTCAATAGTCATACTCCCTTGTCTCTGTATCAACAAACCTGACATGATTAAATAGTACATTGTGTCATAACATTAAGTATAACGGTATGCATTTCTTGAGCAATAATCATTATCGCGAACTTTTCTTTTCTTTTTTTAAAGGACTTACCTTTTCTTTCACTGAAAAGGTTTTTGATGATTTTTATAGCTTGATTTTAGGAAATTTAGGTATAAATGAAGTAGCAAAACTATATGTCTCCTTGTAGTCTTTGAGTTAAAGCCACTACTGCTGCAATTTCCCCAAGCAGCATATGGATTCTGCCTAATGCAGCAATGGGAAAAAAATGTTCATGGAAACTTGCCAAAGAAAAAAGAAAGTATGAAGCATACTTTGAGTTTTTAATGCTCTACATCTCTGAGGAATTCTAAGTGAACTTATGAATGTTGAATGGTATATATATGTGTGTGTGTATATATATATATATATATATGGACATGTTGAAATAATGAAGTAAACTGGATTAGAAAAGCAACCGTATACAGCGGTGGTGGTAATCAGAGGACCTGTTCGCTCCAAAGCCAGTCACCTGCATGACTGAAACTTTATTTTATCTTAGATATTTAGTGGCTCAACATTTTTTAATTTGGACCGAAAACATTTGGACTTGTCCATAACTAATAATTATTGTGCATATAATGTAATTAGATTTATTCGAAAGATTATATTTTATTAATTTATTTTTATTTCAAAATGGGTTGATTGGTAGCAATCACAGCCAAACCCAAACCTGGCAGCTTTCTTGGGTTAGAAAATCCTCAATCCAAGCCTATTAATTTCTTGTTAGGTTTATGTTGTGTTTTTAGGTCAAATTTTGGTACACTGTCAATATATTACACACTGGACTCACTATTATCACTCTGCTTATTAATCACTTGTATGATTCAATGTTTTCCAGGCCTCAAGCAGTGGCAAAGCACATGGTTGCAGTCAGCACTAACCTCACGGTGAATTACCTGATTTCATTTTAATCCCATGTTTCTGTTTTTACTGACATGGAAATGAATCTATATTGCCTTGCACCTGTTTATATCTTCAAATTTGATTAGTTGTTGTTCTACTCCCTTGTCATATGTAAACAATTCACTGAACTAATGCTTTCATCACAAATTTTGAGGAAAGGAAATATAAGCACACTATGAACTTTGCTTCTAAGTGAACAGTTTTCATGTTTTGCTTTGAAGCTGCATTGCCTTCTCACAATTGGCCTTATATTTATTGATATATGAGCGCATAAATTTATAAGTTATTTTTTAGGCAGTTATGGCAATGAAAATTGGTCACCTTCTACCTGATCAATAATTTGAGCTTACTTAAATGATGAATTTAGCCCTCATTGTTTCAAACTGCAGCTTGTAGAAAAGTTTGGAATTGATCCAAATAATGCCTTTGCATTCTGGGATTGGGTTGGAGGACGGTATAGTGGTATGTATGTCGTGTTTTACAGACAATTCTTGTCTCTTTAATTTGGCTGTGGATTTTAATGGTCCTTTGAACCTTTGGTTGCAGTTTGCAGTGCTGTTGGAGTCTTGCCGCTTTCTCTGCAATATGGTTTTGCAGTTGTTGAAAAGTATGGTGACATGCAGCTTTCATATTTAAGGATTTCATTCTTGCTGTAGTGCACACAATATGCAACCGTTTGGAGCCAGGATGGAAAAGGCTTTATGAAATGGTTTTTTCACTGCTTCAAAATTTTATGAAATGGTTTTAAATAAATAACTTCTTCATTTAAAAGATGTTTTTAGTTTTAGTATAATATGTTGAGTGCACCTTGGACCACATAACCTTTAATATTATTCTTTTAAGCATCATGGATTTTTCATTCTGGTTTGTTGTTTTTTGACATTCTCTTTTATTAGTTTTACTTTTCTTAATTGCTTCCTGACATTGCTTTTCCCTTTGGTTGAAGGTTCCTAAATGGAGCTGCAAGTATTGATCAACATTTCCACTCAGCACCTTTTGAGAAAAATATTCCTGTACGTTTCTTTCTGATAGTTAAAATATCTGGCTCTGTCCACATAATTTGAGTTTCAATAACAGTGAAGTAAACAGATTGTCAAACATATGTTTATATGTTGTATATATATCATACAAAAGAACAATTAAGCCTGTTTTTCTCCCTCCAAGTAGTTTTTATTATTTTTTGGATACCCTTGATTATATGTTTTTTCATATGATAGGTTCTATTTAATAGCTTTACTTGAATCTCTTTTTAGATAGTCTAATTACTTCTGCAAAAAATTTTGCAGGTGCTACTAGGATTGTTGAGTGTCTGGAACGTTTCTTTCCTTGGATATCCTGCTAGAGTAAATTTCTGGACCTACTGAGTCTTTTACCTCAGTATTACCTTTCTTGACATAGGCATCAGAATGAGTAGTTCCTTAATTTCAGGCTATTTTACCTTACTCTCAAGCACTGGAAAAATTTGCACCCCATATCCAGCAGGCATGTTTCCATTTTTTTTTTACTTAATATTGTTTCATGGTATGGGCATAACCTTTTTGGCATAATTCTAATGTACTTCCATAGAATTGTTTTTTCAGGTTAGCATGGAGAGCAATGGAAAAGGTGTCTCAATTGATGGTGTGCCTCTTCCGTATGAGGCAGGTGAAATTGACTTTGGGGAACCTGGAACAAATGGACAACACAGTTTTTACCAACTAATTCATCAGGTAACAGATATATCTTGACCATTATACTAATTAAACCCATTGTGACACTAATTTGATATTGCCTGTTATGTGATATTATTTTTTTCTAAACAATCTCTGTTGCACTATCCAACTTGTTGATTTCCAGGGTCGGGTTATCCCATGTGATTTTATTGGTGTGGTGAAGAGTCAGCAACCTGTTTACCTCAAAGGTACTAAACCATCTCTGTTTATCTGTATTTTATACACGAAGAGTGATATTTGTAGGTAATTGCAACATTCAAGCAACTTTTTTTTTAACAGGTGAATTGGTCAGTAACCATGATGAGCTCATGTCTAACTTCTTTGCCCAACCAGATGCACTTGCTTATGGGAAGGTGTGACAGCATTTTTAATTATTGTTCCTTATATAACCCGAATGCCATTTACTTTTGTTTGCAACTTTCATTTTTTATGCATGTGGGCATTAGGAGGATTCAAGACGAACAATATGCTTCTTATGTTCTGAGTTTTGGTCTTTGAGTTAGTTGCCTGTTCGATATATATCTAGCCATGTAATATCTATTATCAAAGCTTCTGAATATCTGTCTGTTCTTCTTATTTCCTTCAGACTCCAGAACAGTTGTTACACGAGAATGTTCCTCCAAATCTCATTACCCACAAGGTTATTTCTTCTCACCATCCAATTCGATGGACCTAGTCTAATTGCTGCAGCTGTTTATGTGATATTAGATTATGTTCTTTTTTGTAGACTTTCTCTGGCAATCGACCATCCCTCAGCCTGCTACTTCCTTCTCTGAATGCTTACAACATTGGACAGGTGAAAAGTTTGTCATTTATCTTATCCTAGTGTCAGGGTGTTTGGTTGCTCTGGTTAGTGGTACACTCTTGGATGCACTAAAGCTTATTAAGAAATGTCTGTTTCAATGCCAGTTGCTAGCTATTTACGAGCACAGAATTGCTGTTGAAGGATTTGTTTGGGGCATCAATTCTTTTGATCAATGGGGAGTGGAACTTGGAAAGGTGTAAATTAGTTTGTTGAAATATCCTACCTCACCTCACCGCCTTTCCTTGATATGTGATTGTTTTTCTTCTTGTTGTAATGGAATCAGTCACTGGCTACTCAAGTCAGAAAGCAACTTCATGCATCTCGCAAAAAGGGCGAATCTTTGGAGGGATTCAACTTCAGCACTACATTGTTGTTGGCGAGGTATCTAGAGGTATTGATTCTCAAAACTCTCGAACCCGACATACATACATACATACATACTAGTTCCTACGCAAAACTTTTAAATGTGACAACATGCTCATTAATTCCAGTCAGCATATTGTTATGATATATATAGCATATAGTTGTTGAAACATGTGCTATATATATATCATTAGCCTATGTTGTTAGCTATATATTATATTATATATAGTGTTCTATTAACATGTGATATACCCTGAGATTTGGTAATGTGTGTTGCATAAACTAGTGTCATGTATTTTCAATTTATACGTTGCATTGTATTATACTAACATAAAATGTGTGCGGTTCGTTTTTGCTTTGCTAACATGTGATATGTGCTTAAGTTTAATAACGGTATGTGTAATACTTCTGCCATCATAAAAAAGTATGCCTATTTGACCAAACATGAGTTTGAAAAAAATGATAAAAATAATTTTTTTTCTTTTTAAGATAAAGAAAAAGTAGAAAAATAAGTATTTTTTTACTAGAAAATGAAATAAGAATAAATTTATTTGATAACAAAAAAAAGTGAATAAATTTGGATGACTGAGAAAGTACGTACTATTGTAACCTGCTTTTAATTTTCATGTTGGATTTGTATTACTTCCTCCGTCCAATTTCTATTGTCACGGTTTTTTTAAGTGATTGTCTTTTTGTTATGAATGGACAAATTTTGTCCTTAAGTGTACGATAGAGATTAAAAGTAATAAATGAATGAAGGATAAAAATGTAAAATTTGTGTTTAAAAAATGAAATAGGATAATAGTTGTTGGACGTCCCAAATAAGAAAGTAAGACATTAGTTTGTGGACGGAGGGAGTATTATATTAATATAAATTGCGTGATTGTTTATTTGTTATGTGATGTGTATATATGTTATGTGTTGTCAGCAGAGCAAGCACACTCCAATGGCTAGTTGGTTACATATTCTTTCTTGTATAGATTTATAACTTAAAACACCAACAACTCTCAAATGGTTTCATTTGTTCTGAGCAGGCAAGCAAAGATGTTCCAGCAGAAGATTGCACCATCTTACCAAAAATGTAAGGTCAGGTCCCCAACTTAGGTTTTGTTTGTTTGGTTCTTTTCACATGTACCATTGCCCTCAAATAAGCATGGCTGGCTGGCTGGCTAAGTTTTCAATATCCATTACCATTATATCTATCTCTTCTTGTACCCATGAAATGTTCATGGCAATTTTCATGACACAAATAAAACATTCTGGCTGGTGTTGAAAGAATGAAAATCCAACTTTACTCAAACATGATAAGTTCGGCTCAATTCAATTCGTTTGCAGCTTTACTTTTGAATATGCAACTTGCCTTTTTTAGTATGAGTGTTGTGCAACCCCAAAGAGCCCTATATAGTCTGAATCCCATCACTGGTTCCTCTCTTAAAAGCACTGAGGTATCTTTTCGTGGGGATTCAGACTAGGAGGGGCTCTTTGGGGTTGCACAAGACACTCATACTAAAAAAAACCGAGGGCTGCCACAAAGAATGGCGGACCTGTTGACATTCATAGAGGGTTTTTTTTTTTTTTTTTTATATATATATATATATATATAATGCTCTGCTAGTCGATCCCCATGACCGAAAGTCCATAGCCGATGCACTTATTTAAATATGTGTTTTTAGAACAATACTTTGTACATAAAATTACGAATTAATTAGCGGAGATATATTTAAATAAACTCAAATTTATAATAAATCAATTGAAATTAAAATAATATGGAATTAAACTAAGAAAAATAAGTCAAAACAAATTAAGATAGAAGGCAACCGATTGTGGCTTTTCCATGAGTTTTGTTGGGTTTCCGGTGAGGATTTGAATTCTTTTTCTAGTGGTTAATTTTTGGTGGATTTTGAGATTTAGAGTTTTCACCGAGCCTTATTGAGGTATGATTACCATATGTCATTAACACCAGAGCAAAAAAAAAAACACTCTTATTTGGAGATGACAATCACACAAATTATTTACGAGCATAACAATGTGACCTTTTTATATATATATATATATATATATTCAGAAAAAGATTAAAAAGGACATGTAATATGTCTTTAAAATAAATATTGTAAGCTAGGTATACTTGGCAAATAAAGATATCAACAAGGATACGTAGTAAGTTTTCAAATTAAATGTTAAAAACTATGCATGTTTTTGCACATAATATAAGAATTCTTTTGCATATATTCTTATAATCAATTAATTGGTACTTACATAAAATAAGATAAGCATCAAAGTTTCATAAATAAATGAAATAGCTTTTAACCAATCATGGTCCAAACAAATAAATAGCTTATCTAACTACGGTCCAATCAAATAAATAATTTTTAGCCAGCTACAGCCCAATAAATAGTTTTTAGCCAGTTACGGCCCAATCGAATAAATAGGTTTTTTGCCAACTACGGTCCAAAACAATAGTTCTTTTCCCAAGCTACGGCCAAAAAAATAGTATTTTGGCAATTGTGACCCATAGGAATAGTTTTCTAGCCAACTTACAACCCATTATACTAAAGATCAAATAGCAAGCAATATATTGTCTCGTAAAGAATGGTCTGATGGTGTAGGGATTGGACTTGTGACCGTGAGGTCATAGATTCAATTGTTATGTCTAATTTGATCTGAATATATATATATATATATAGGTATATGAAAATGAAAGAAGTTATGTAAATATATCTCATTCATATGTTCACCCCATCTTTACAACAATTCAATTCATGTTTCTTCCTTCGAACACATATTGTTATGTCCTAATTCTACTATTAAGACTAGCTTTAAGATAACTTGTACTATTCCTCTAACTCTTCAATTGGGTTGATATGATCTTAAATCTTGAATTTTCGGTGATCTTTCTTTTTTTTTTTTTTCCTTTTTTTTATTACCAATGTGTTATCGCTAAAAAAAAACCTCCTTCAGCGACTTATCCAAAACATCCCAACCGAAAATTGAGTGGATTCTCCAGCTTCCTTAAAAAAATATTAGAAAGAAATTAATCGAAAAAAAAAATAAAGAACAAAAAAACCAAAATCAAAAAATAAATTGAAATGAAGAAAAATAAATTGCTGAAAAATACGGTTCAGAATGTATCCTTTCCAAAATAAACTAATTAGCATATACTACTTCATATCAAATCTAAATTTAAATAAAATTTTATTTTATCCAAATCTATTATATCTTAATCAATTATCTAAAATCAAATAATATATTAGAATTTAACGAACATAAATTTGATCGGATGGAATGTTGACGACAACTACCATTAATTAAGCACTAATTATCTTCAAAGAAACACATTACTACTTATACTCATGAAAGCAATGTATAGGTGTGCGTGAATAAACACTTCAATTTAAAATTGAAAATTAATTAAGCACTAATTATACACGATTAAAGCATATGGTTCAATACCAACCCAACACTAAAAATTCACACACATATATATATATACATACACAAATAAAACAATAATTTAATTATCAATAAACAATAATTAAATAACAACTCATCACAATATATATATATATATATTATGAAAATAATATTTCAATTTCAACCTAACACCAAAAATTAAATACTACTCCCTCCCTCCGTCTCATTTCTCATGTCTACCTTTCCATTTCCGTCCGTCCTCTTATTTTGTCACTTTCTATTTTTTTGAAAATAATTATAACTTTAAGTTTAATTTTAAAATTTTAATTTTTAATTTTAATTATACTAATCAATTATCTTAATCTTAATCAATAATTATTCTTATTATATGATAATTATTTTCACTAATATATTTTTAATTATTTACTAATTATACCCCTCTTAAATTCTCGTGTCTACGGTAACGTGGTCAAATTATCCGGGACGGAAGGAGTACCATTTTAGCACCGCATATCTGTTATAGGAAGCAAAGCCCCCATTTCGAGATATTTTTCAGCAATTTATCAGGGCAAGGCGTATTTGAAATTGTATTCATAAATAATAAATCAAAAAAAAAAGAACAAAAATAAATGGGAAGAAAACAAAAAAATTAAAGAAAGATAACAAAAATAAAGGAAGCAAAGAGAAAATAAAAAACATACGAGAACATAAAAGAAAGTAAATCTCAGAGAAAGAAAAATAAATTGCATAAAAACTAAAATTTGCATGAGAGAAGAATTGTACGTGTATCTCTTTACCTTTATACTATTACCTACCTTATGTAAATTTGGATAAATTTCTATTTTATTCGAATCTATTAATATCCTAATAAATTCTACAGAATCAAATAAAATTTTATCTAATAATAATTTGGGATAACAACTATGTAGATATAAATAAAGTAACAGTTTAATTACCAATAAAATAAAAAAAAAAAAATTAACTACCAATTAAGTACTACATATATATTATGAAAAATAATATTTTCATTCGAACTCGGCACTAAAAATATCTTATAAACATTAAAAATTAAGTAGTAATATGAAGTGATAAAATATCTTATAAACATAAAAAAGATGAAGTTACATGGAAGTATGATAGAGGGCTTAAAATATCTTGTATTTTTATTTTATGTTCATTTTAAGTCTGCATGTTTGTTTGGGGATTGAATTTTAAATACACTATTCATTCTATTTTTTTTCAAAAAAATATCAAATCAAACATCTATTTTTTATTTTTTATATTATACTAAAATTAATTTTACATTCAAAACATCACATCAACACCTATTTATATCACATCATACAACTATTCAAATTCAAAAATTTTACTATTCAAATATCAACTCAAAATCCAAACCCTCAAACAAACACACCCTTAAAATGAGATTAAAGTGTGTAATCATTTTAAAAAAAAGGAAAGTGACATGGTACGTGGGACGGACATAAACGGTAACGTGGACATGGTACGTGGGACGGAAGGAGTAATATACTATGACATTCGCTTGAAAACAATAACAAAAAATGCAAATGAGAAAATTAGTGATGGACGAATGTAAATAATTAATAATATATTAGTAAAATTAATAATAATATCATAACAAATAATTATAAATTAACATTAAGATAACTAATTAGTCTTATATAAAATTTAAGATATAATTAAAATGTGTATATTTTTTTAAAAAATAATATAATATGTGAAACAGATAAAAATAAAAAATATGACAGTGATATTCCCTCCCTCCCAATACAATAGTTTTGTTTATTATCGTCCCAAAATAATAGTTTTATTTTCATAAATAATCCTATCACCGTAAAACTACCATTACTTTTTCATTTTTATTACACAATTATCATTACTTTTTACACTAATACACTCACAAGAGAAAAAAAATATTTTATATATATTTTTTACCGACTACCAATATTAATATTGTTTAAATTTCGTGTCACTTCAATTAAAAGTATAGTTGGGTATTATATAGTATATAATGGAAAATTAAGGAACTTTCCTCCGCCGACCAATCATGGGTGGGTTTCTTGTAGTTCCCACTGACACGTGTAATTCAATTCCATTGTCTTCATTTTGACCCACCCACGGCCAAAAGTACACTTACCTATATTTAAAAATTAAACTAGGTTTAATTAATTACCTTTATATATATATTTAAATAATTTATAAAATATATATTCAATAAAAAAATAAAAATAAAATTAATATATATATATATTATTACAATATACAATCTAAAATAATTTTTCTAAAAAATAAATAAATCAAACAAAGTATGACTATATATTGAATTTGTTTGTTTAATATTTTAATTTGATTATTTTAATTAATAAGATAAATATTTATATATAAAAAAGATTGAAAAAATTCATAAAATTTATAAATTAAAAAATAATATAAATTAATTTACCTCCTCGTAAACTTTGTCATCAAAGATTGGAACTTGACTGTTATTACCACATTGGCTGAATATTTTCTCCACTTCAAATTCAATGGCGTGATGGGCAAAACAATAAAGAAGCAGAATTCCACGAAGACCGGGACCAGGACTGGTCAAAATTGAGAGGTCCAGCAGCAGTGGTCAGAAGACAACCAAAAGGTACTTTCTTCTCCGAGCGAACTTGATTTGCGGTTTCCTTTCTTCCTTTTCGCTTCAGAAATTGAATCAGGGGAAGATCCGGTGAAGGTCTCTCTGGATCCACCATTGATGCGCACCTTATTGACCTTCGTCACATACTTCGCTCAGTACACGGTCAGTTAGTGCTTTTACTTTTCCTTTCCTTTTTCTTCTCATCGCGGATTCCGTGGATAGTTCATACCGGACGATTTGTTGTCGTCCTGAGAAGCTTGATTGAAATTATTGTTCCGAATTTGTGAGAATCGGTTGGTAAAATTAGGGTTTATGCGATTTGGGGATATTTGAACGGAGAATCCCTAAATTGATAAAATTAGGGTTTCGAGTATGGAAGCGGAGGAGGATTTAATTGCAGCCGTAAGGCAATTGATCAAAGCCTTAGAATCGAAGAGGAACTTGACAGACGATACCAGGAATATCTTAGCAGATCTAGGCTCCCAATTGTCCGCCATAGCTCGATGTCCCGACACCTCCAACGAAGAACACGATCAACGCGACCATAGCCCCGACGAGCTCGAGCTGCACCTCGACAAGCTCTACGATAAGATCATGAGTTGGGAGAAGGATCAACAATCAACGATGATATGGGACTGTGGCTCTCAGGAAGCTTACGACTATCTCAAATCCGTCGATGAAGTTCGTAAGTTAGCCGAAAAATTCGAATCCAATGGCGACGTCAAATTGCTCTGCCGTGCTCACGACGTCCTGCAGACCGCCATGGCCAGGCTCGAGGAGGAGTTCAGGCTGCTGTTAGTGCAGAATCGGCTCCCATTCGAGCCAGAGCATATGTCATTCAGGTCTAGCGAGGAGGATATCATCGACGTAGGATCCGTGATATCCTCCGGCGATGATTCCGTCGAGGACGTCGTGCAGAGGGAGAGCATGGGCCGCGGCTCGGAGGAGTATATTCTCGAGCTTATCCATCCCGATGTGATCCCGGATCTCAAGAGCATCGCCAATTTAATGTTCGATTCAAATTACGGCCGCGAATGCTCGCAAGTATTCGTCAACGTCCAGCGCGACGCCCTCGACGATTGCCTGTTCATCCTCGAGGTCGAAAAGCTAAGCATCGAGGACGTCGTGAGGATGGAATGGAATCTTCTGAATTCGAAAATTCGTCGATGGATGCGTGCAATGCGGGCATTCGTCCGCCGCTACCTCCGGAGCGAAAAGCTCCTGACGGATCAGATTTTCGGCGACCTCGACGGTGTCGCCTCCGAATGCTTCGCCGAGTCGTCGAAAACAGCGGTCCTCCAGCTGCTGAATTTCTGCGAAGCTATTGCCATCGGTCCGCACCAGCCGGAGAAGCTGATGCGGATTCTCGATATGTACGAGCTTTTATCGGAGCTCGTCCCCGAGCTCGTCGGACTATACTCCGACGATGCGGGGGTATCCGTCCGGACCGAATGCCAGGATGTCCTAAAACGACTGAGCGACTGCACGAAGGCGACGTTTCTCGAATTCGAGAAAGCCGTCGCCGCCAACGTCTCCGCCAACGCATTCCCCGGCGGCGGCGTCCACCCCCTCACCCGCTACGTCATGAACTACATCAAAGCTCTTATCGACTACAGCAAATCGCTCGAAGAGGTCCTCAACGACGAATCGCCGTCTCTCCCGCCGTTGTCATTGTCGCCGGACAGAAGCCCCGCAAGCGACGAGGAGACGACGTCGACGTCATCGTCAATCTCCCGCCACTTCCGGGCCCTCACAACGATCCTCGAAAACAACCTCGACGAGAAATCGAAGCTCTACAAGGACGACTCACTGCAGCAGCTCTTCCTAATGAACAACACGCACTACATGGCCGAGAAGGTGAAGGGATCGGAGCTGCGGACGGTGCTGGGCGACGAGTGGATCCGAAAACGCAACTGGAGGTTCCAGCAGCACGCGATGAACTACGAGCGGGCGACGTGGAGCTCGATCCTGGCACTGCTGAGGGACGAGGGGATCCAGAATCCGGGATCGAATTCGATTTCGAGGACGATTCTGAAGGAGAGGCTGCAGGGGTTCTACCTGGCGTTCGAGGAGGTTTACAAGAGCCAGACGGGGTGGTCGATCCCCGACGGGCAGCTGCGCGACGACCTCCGAATATCGACGTCGCTGAAGGTGATACAGGCTTATAGAACGTTCGTGGGAAGGCACATTAATCATATAAGTGAGAAGCATATAAAGTACAGTGCTGATGATTTGGAGGATTATCTTTTGGATCTGTTCGAAGGATCCCAGAAATCTATACATGGAGGCCATAAGAAGTGAATCCATGGCTCCTCATGTTATTGCTATGGTTATTATTGTTGTTGATTGGTTGATTTTGTTTACCGTTTTTGTTATTTTTGGGGGTGAATTGTGATGTCTACAATTTTTTTTGAGGGTAGGGTACTTAGTCATGGACTATGAATTCAGCAGACTAAGTCACGCCAAGCCAAGCCAAGCCAATTATGTGTTAACAAATAATAAAATTTTTGTGCATTTTTATAGGAATGATGATGGTATGGTGTTTTATTAGGGGTTTTAGTTTGTGCTTTCAACTTGTTTTCGTATCAGGTTGAATTGTACATACAAAAAATGAAATTTGTCTCATACCATAAATTTATTAGGAGTGTCTGTTTGTTTGTGTTTTCAGAGTCATGTTCATATCAGGTTGAATTCTAACTATATTTAAAAAATGTTTAGAACTCGACCCCAACTTGATTTTTAATCTAAAATTCTAAATGTCAGATCGATCTAATTTTAATTTTATTTTTGATCCTAACAAATTCCATCTCTAATAAAAATTCATTATAAAATCAAAAAGATTACATTAAACAATAATTTTAATTAAAAATATATTATTATTAAAATTCAAAATCAAAATTTCGTTTTTATTTTTACTCAATTTTTTTTTAAAAAAAATTGTCAAATAACATAAATAAATATATCATTAAAATTTAGAATCAAAATTCCACTTTTACTTTTACTCATGTTTTTTTAAAAGGAAATTTGTCAAATACATAAATATTAAAAATATATAATGGCGAAAGTTATCTTTTCATGATTAATATAAGTGAGTAATATATTTAAATGTTTTTATTTATAAATTAATTATATATATAATAATATATTTATAATTTATATAAAAATTATATTTTAATATTGATGTATCACTATTTTTTTTATTAGAAAATAGTATTTTTAGTTTTTAGACGAGGCAATATCACTGTCCCAAATTGACCAGAGACATATTCAAATCCTAAATGTACTAATTCTCTTTACAGAATGGACGGTTTAGATTCATTACGCTAGCTGTTCGGTAGTACACTCTCCCGCAGACGATTGCGGCCTCACTCAACATATTAGAGCTTAAAACCCTTCTCTGCTTGTAGCCATTTCAGTTCGAAGCTCCAGAATTCTGTAGATTCTTCTATCGAAGGTGACGGTTCTTTATTCATCCATAACCCTAAGCGCCTATTCCGCTGTGTTTTTAATTTTTTAGGCACGATTTCTGAACTGTTAGAGGTTTTTGGATCTTCGTTTGAAATCCGAATCAGGTTTAGGGTTTTGGGAGTTTTAAAATATTTGGATTAATTTGTTCCGTACTCGCGTATATGTTAGATGTTGCCTTCTTATCTGTAATTCATTAAGATCGATAGCTCTTTCAGGTTTTTATTTACGAATTCTTCATGGATGTATTTTCGTAAAACACATGATTCTAAAGTAGATGTTAGATGAGTGTATTTGTTGTGATTTGCGTGCATTTTTGGGTTCTTAGAATTGTTTTCGACTAGTTGAATCTGACTTACTGCATTTCTGCGTTATTATATTGAAATTTGAATCTGTTTTTTATGCTTGTAAAGAGTGGTTGGGAATGAAATATGACAGGAATTGTAGATGGTTATGGTCATTTCCTGATTTTGGATTGACAGACGAAGCAAGTTTTATATAATTTGTAATCCCAAGTAGCTGTGATTTGCATTTATAGCATCTAAATATCACCCTACCCTCGGGGATTCCAATTATAAGCTGATTACGACACCTGATTGTTTGATCCCATCGAATTTTGATTTGTTGGAATTTTGCTTTGAGTTTTATTAGTATAAGTTAGGCATCCTTGATTGCATTTGTTTTTAAAAAAATAAATATTATTAATAGATTTTTTCTCAAAGGATTGAGGTTTTGATCAAGTTCTATCACAGTTCCTTTGGGAAAGGTACTATCTGTATCGGATGATGATTAAGCTGGCCTTTGCATGTAGATACAGAGATGGCTTTCCTAAACAGAATCGGGAACTTGCTAAAGCAAAACATCGGCAAGCATGTTTCTTCAAATTTATCTGCCTCGAATCCCTCACTTTTTCAGGCAGTAAGAAGCATGTCCTCATCATCAAAGCTCTTTGTTGGAGGTGGATAAACCTGCCATTTTTTAGATTAATTCAACCCTGTTCTTTTTCTTCTTCCTGTACATATGTTTTAGTTGGGGCTTTGAAATAAATGTGGTGTTCTCTTCTTTCAGGTCTCTCTTACAGCACAGATGAAATGAGTTTACGAGAGGCTTTCTCTCAGTATGGGGAAGTGGTTGAAGGTATCGATCTTCCGACCTAAACGATTGAATCAATATGAATTGCTTTCATATTTGTTCTTTGTATGGTTTTAGTAATTAAAGCACTAAAAAGCTTGTGGAGTTGCTAGCTCTGTAACTTTTGACAGAAATTCTAACCTTTTCTTGATCATTAGGATTTCAGATTTGCAAGTCATGCATTTTTTTATTTCAAATTTTTGCAGCCAGAATTATCATGGACCGTGAGACTGGAAGATCACGAGGATTTGCATTCATTACTTTCACGTCAACTGAGTCTGCTTCCAGTGCCATCCAAGCATTCGATGGGCAGGTAACTTCTTGTGCCGGATAAGCAAGACTGTATCAAATTTTTCCGTTAGCTTGTCTAAAATGCATCTCTCAATTGGCAAGAATGTTCCTTTTTTCTTATTTAATTAAGCTATTTCATCAAATTATTTCCCCTAAACAATCTCCATATTGGTGTAAAGCTGTTGCATTAAATAAAATAATTTCTATGCCTTGTTTTGCACTACTGATTTATTGCCGTCACTCTGATTTTGCTAATGTATCTGTTGTGTCTTGCAATTCTATGACCTATCTGTAGCAAGGGAGCAATGAGAAATCTTTGGTTTAATTCCATTTGTTATAGTATAACTTCTGACCGACAAATTTGGTTGATGGAATGGACTATTTGAGCCATTACTGTTAATGAGCCAAACTGAGCCAAAGTTAAGGATTCTAGCTCGGGTTTTGGTCGTTTGTTAAAAGATTCAAGCTGAATTTTTGTTTGAGCTCGGCTAGCTGAACAAAAAAAAAAAAAAAATTGTTTGTATTTGGCTTGGACCGGCTGGTTAAGAGGATTTCTTGTTTTATCTTATTTAAATCCAAATTCAATTAACAATAATCATAATAATAATAATTATTATTATTATTATTATTATTTATCAATATATTTATATAAAGAAAATTAGAATTATGTATAATATTTATAAAAATATATATTAATTAAATATAATAATATTAACTTAATTTGTTAACAAACACTATCGAATGTTTGTGAACAAGCTCGAACTTGTTCATTAACATAACAAGCTAAAATTTATATTCATATTCAGCTTGTTAGTTTAGTGAAGGAGCTTTTAACAAGCTCAAATGAGCCGAACTAAGTTGGGCTTGCGAACAGATTGTTTGTTTTACAGCTCTAATTTGAGGGAAATAATGCGACAATACTTTGTGGTTTAACATGATATGTCATATTCTATATATGATTTTAGGATCTACACGGGCGTAGGATCAGGGTGAACTATGCTACAGAAAAGCCTAGGGGTGGAGGTTTTGGAGGTGGATTTGGTGGTCCCGGAGGTGGTTTCAATTACGGCGGTCAGGGTGGTAACTACAACCGCGGAGGAGGGTATCAGGGAGGCGGAGGATATGGTGGCGGGGGCGGCGGCGGCTTTGGTGGATACGGTGGTGGCAGCCAATACCCTGATGGTGGATACCAAGGCGGAGGCGGTGGATTTGGAAACAGCCCCCAGTATCCCACTGGAGGTGGCGGTGGCTTTGGTGGTGGGGACAACTACCCTAGCGGCAGTGGTGGTGCTGATTATCTACAAAGTGGTGGAAACAATGCTGGCACTGGCGGCTACTATTCCGGCAACCCGACTGGCTTTGCTGAGATAAACGAACAAAGAAGCCAGATCGAGGATTTTAAGCCTGATGTGGTGGATGAGAATGGCAGGGATGGGTTTGATGCTGCTGAGAACAACAACGATTTTCAGGTGGATGCCATGGATGAACATGAAAAACAGCAGGGATGGCGGTGAGGATGATGGGTCGGAATCGAATCGAGTCGGATACTGCAGGTATGTTCTTTTTTTGTCATAAGAAACTGGTTTAGTTCTTTTTATTTAGCCAGCCAATATTTTCGAATAATCATCTTGGATTGTGGATGTCTTCTCCGCTTAATTTCTTTGAAATTTTGATGATATGTTCATTTCTTTATCTATATTTTGTTTTCTGGTTATTATGGGTGCGCATGATGGTTTGGGGATTGGAATTGAAAATTTTTTGAATTAGAATCTTTATTTTGATTTGTTATAAAGTGATGATAGATACGATGTAAATTTGTAAGAATATAAATTTTTATATGTAAGAATTTTTATATGTAAGAAAAATTAAAAAGGAATAAAATTTTTAAATTTTTATAATTCAAATTAATTTTTATATGTAAGGAATATAATTTTTAAATTTAATAACAATTTAATTTGAATAATAAAAAATTTTATATGTAAGAAAAATGGTAATTTTTTACTTAAAAAAAAGAAACAGGAATAAATTTGAATGACAACTAAAAAAAAATGAAAGTGATAATAGATTTGAATGATAAAGAGATTAAAATAACAACAAAATATCCAAAGCCAGATTCAATCACATACAGGTACTTTTTAATTTGACAAAATAAAATACAAAATAATTGTTAATTCAGTTCGACTCTTATTTCTGCGGGTTTCAACTCAAATATATCTCAATTTATTTAGAATCGGAATCAACTTACAGAGTTGTAAATCTAAACTTAGATCATCCTAAAACAAATTCTGCTCAACGTCAGCAAGATTTTCTTCTTAAAAGTGAGAAATTCATGAAAAAAAAATTTTTTTTGTGAAAAAAATTAGAAATTATATATGATGTTTTATAAGATTATATGTTAATACATTTATTCAAAAACCGTAAAAAATAAATTCTTTAATAATAAATTTAATGTGATTTTTGTAAAATTAAAATAATACTCTCTCCGTCCCAGTGTGTATTACCGTAGACACGAAAATTTAGGTAAAGTATAATTAGTAAATAATTAAAAGTGTATTAGTAAAAATAATTATTATTTAGTAAAAATAATTATAGATTAAAATTAAAATAAGTAAATAGTTTAATTAAAATTAAAGAAATTATAAAATTTAAAATGCGATTAAAGTGCATAATTATATTTCCAAAAATAGAAAGGACAAGTTATGTGGGACGAACAAAAATAGAAAATAGGGACAAATTATGTGAAACGAAAGAAGTATAATTTTAAAAAATTATAAAAATTAAATAGTACAAAAAAATTAAAAAATAAAATAAAAATTAATAGTAATACTATAACATTCATTTATCTGATTTCAAGGGAGAAGTAAAATGATTTATTTTTCCATTTTCATATTTCTACTCAAACAAACAAATATTTCTCTTGTCCATTCTTTGTACCAAACACAGCAATAAGAACCCTTTGATTTTTTATTCTTCTTTACTACTACATATATATATATGGGTGCGTTTGTTTGGGGGATTTGATTGGATTTATACTATTCATTCAATTTTTTTTCCTCTAAAAACATCAAATCAAACACCTATTTTTCATTTTTTATATTAAAGTAAAAATCAATTTTACATTCAAATCATCACATCAACACCTGTTTATATCACGTCGTACAACTATTCAAATTCAAAATTTTTACTATTCAAATCCCAACTCAAAATTCAAACCCCCAAACAAACACACCCATACAAAATTTTCTCTTAAATCATTCTCACCTTCTCTCGACTCAAATTTCTTCATATTTGCTATATACCTACCTTCTTGCTTCTACTTTTACTATGCAATGTTCTTCAATAATATTTTTTTTAACATACATAAAATTAAATTTTGTTTTCCACTATCTTTTCTCACCCAAAGTTTGTTACAATGCATGACAATCAATTTTATCTATTCTTCCTTTGAGATTCAGTGACTTCACCAAAATTTCAGTAAAAATCGAATTGAATCAATTATTTTTGGATTATTTTTTTAAGTGAACATGTGATAAATTGGGTCGCATCTATCCACGCATTGATTGGATCCATTATCGATAACTATGAAGAATATTATAGAAAATGACGAATTTTGTGTGTTTGGTAATTTTTGTATATTTTTCTTGTTACTTGTATATGTTACTTTTCTTTATCCGTCAATTTTATATGTATTTTACTTTTATATTACAAATAAAATAGTATAAATTTGACTGATGAAAAAAATATATTATTTGAATAATATTTTAAAAATATTTTATATCTTTCAAAAATTACATGAAACATTTAGGCTTTCTTGTTTGGGATTTTGGATATTTCTATTGTTCCTTTAAAAGTATTAAATTAAAATATTTTTTTTATAATTTCTTTTTCTTTTTATCGTTTTTGTATATGCCATTATAAATGTTTACTTTCTATTATAATAATTACATTCCGATAAAAAATAAAAATAAAAATAAAAATTTACATACTAATATTAAAATATTCTTACGGTGTGTTTGTTTGAGAGTTTGGATTTTGGGTTGTGATTTAAATAGTAAAAGAATTGAATTTGAATAGTCGTATGATATATATATAAGAATTGATACGACATTTTAAATGTATAATTATTTTTTATTATTATTTTTTTACATTTCATTAAAGATTAATTTTATATTAAAAAATATCATATATTAAATAATTATGTTAATTTAAAAATTTTAATATTTAAATCTAAATTTAAAATTACAACTACAAACAAACACACCCTTGAAAAAAAAAAAAGACAAACATAAAAAAGGTAATTGGGAGTCCAACAATTGCAGGGCACGAACTTATTTCTATTTAAGAAGGTCCTATGATGTCATGATGGCTCAAATTGGGTATCTATGCAGGGCCGAACGGAGGTGGAAGGACAACAGTAATTTTATTCTATTAAAAAAATATTTTTATAATTTAATAATTATGTCATTATTAAAATAATTTTGATGTTTTATTTAAAGTACGAAGGGTGTGGATTTTAGTGGTTTTTAGAATTTTTTAATAGTAAAAAGTTCGGCTGTTGTTTGATAAAATATAAATAGAGGTTATATTATATTTTGAATGTAAAATAAATTTGTAGCTCCGTCCCACATAATATGTACTTTTTAAAAAAATATATAATTATACACTTTAATTACATTTTAAATTTTATATTTTATAATATTTTTAATCTTAATTAAACTATTTACTTATCTTAATCTTAATCTATAATTATTTTTATTGTACAATAATTATTTTTACTAATACACTTTTTAATTATTTACTAATTATATTTTATCTACAGTAGTAATAGACCCATATTTTATGGGACAAAAGGAGTATAAAAAAAAAGTAATTATTTAATGTGATATTTTTGGAGGAAAAAAATAATATAAATAGTAAAAATTTATGGTAAAATTTCAAAAAAAAAAAACATAATCGAAATGTTTTCATTATTAAAAAAAAAGGTAAATTATTTTAAATATAAAATATAAAACATCAGAAATATTCAAATAATTAATATGTAATCGGATTGCATAATTAATTTAAATTTTAAACATAATATATGATTATTTATTTATTTATTATTATTATTTAATTTTTAATTTATCTATTGTATCCCCACTAAAAATATATATATATATATATATAGATCCGTCTCTATATTTTATTTGGGATCAAGAAATAAAGAGAGAAATGTGCTGTGCAGCAGACGATGGTAGTTGGGATAAATTGAATGCTGCAGTGGAGCTTGGCTCGTAAATTTGAATTACGACCTCGTAATCACAGGTTTATCTTTACAGGATAGAATTTTCTTTTATTGCATAAAATATAATGGCAGTAGTTACGGTAGATGTAGTAGTAATAAATACTACAAATTAATATGTAAAGGTATTCATTCCTTATATCTCATTCATTGCTCTCCGATGTTTCGTTATACTTATTAAGGGTGTGTTTGTTTGGAGGATTGGATAAATCCAACTTTTTTCCCCAAAAACATCAAATCAAACATTTATTTTTTATTTTTTATATAATACTAAAAATCAATTTTACATTCAAAACATAACATCAAATATATATTTATATCACATCATGTAACTATTCAAATTCAAAATTTTTACTATTTAAATCTCAATCCAAAATCCAAACCCCAAACAAACACACCCTGAAATAATAGTTGCAATAAAAAATGATAATAATGAAATATCATTATGTAATCGATATACTAAATACTAAAATATTAAAATAGTATCGGTATATAACAAATTCTTCTTTTTTTTTTCTTTTTTTTTTTTTAAATATAACAATCCACCGCGCCTACCCGAAATACACACGGTGAATTCGGCCAAATCTAAAAAAAAAAAAAAAAAAAGAAAAAAAAAAAAGACAAAGAAATAAATAAAATTAATTCAGGTTAACAACTTCGAGGCCCACCTTGGCCACATGTCATGCCAATGACGCCTTTAAGACCCACCCACCACCACTCACTACCAAAGTACACTGCACAGCAGAGAGAGTCTACTCTCCCTCCCTACACACTCATACTCACGCTACACGAATCGGCTCTCTACCTCCCCAAACCAGAAGCAATGGCAGCAGCAGCTCATCTGCCATTAAAGTTAGGGCTCAGAGTTTCCGGCGCCGCAGCTCATTCGGATCCCGGAGGAGGAGTGTTTCCTTCGTTTTTGCCCAAGCAAGTCCAGTATATTAAAGATCCCTACGCCAGAAGCTTGGCTCAGAGGATCCAGAGGCTTCCTGTTCCCGTACACTTGGACTTGTGCTCTGAAACACTATAATGTTTTTATAATGTTAATGCTATTGCGATAATGCTGATATTTGATTGTAGATTGGAGTTTCCGAAGCCTGTATCATGAGCAGCTGCGTTACGCCGGCCGTGCGTCGCGAAGCCGCGGCTCCTGTCGTTCTTCTCCACTGCTTTGATAGGTAGGTCGGTCATTGCGGCTGTATTAGGTGGAGCTAGTTCATGTTTAGCTAGAAATAACAAATGCTTACACATAATATACATATATATATATGTATGTACGTATGCTTGGTTTAGCTCTTGTTTGGAGTGGAGAAGTGTGTATCCATTGCTGGAGGGTAATGGTTTGGAAGCTTGGGCGATCGATGTTCTCGGATGGGGATTCTCCGACCTAGAAGGACGACCGCCGTGCGATGTTCCGGCGAAGAGATGCCATCTTTACCAGGTTAGTTTCTGCCTTCAGGTTCAATGCTTGGTTCTGAGAATAATGTTGGTGGTTGGTTCTATCTAACTGGTGATGTGTATGTAGCTTTGGAAGTCTCACATTAGACGGCCGATGACACTGGTCGGCCCGAGCCTAGGCGCCGCCGTTGCCATCGATTTCGCCGTCAATTTTCCTGAAGCTGTAAGAAGAATGTTGCTTGTTTTTAGCATTTTTGGGTGCAGATTTCCATAATTTTGCTACTCTGTTTGTGATAAGAAGTAGGTGTTAGATGCTGTGGATTGATGCTTTTTAAGTGCAAACACATTTTCTTACTGTAGACCGATTGCCAGTAAGAAGACAAGTTTGGCAACACAAACACACATCATGTTTAACACCTAAACTTTGTACAAATATCACATTCAACTACTATTTTCGACTTCTTCCCATTCGGTGATTTAATTGCTAACCAATGCTTCGACTTACACTCGGTACTGTTGGATGCTCTGCAGGTGGATAAATTGGTGTTGATTAATCCACAGGTTTATGCAAACAGAACGGGGTTTACAAAACTACCGAAATTCATGGCATATGCAATGGTAAAGTTCATCAACTGATTTTTTACATTGGATGCATAATGAATGTTTAGGAGAATATGGGAAAGGCATCTTTCCTTATTGAAGATCATATGAATATTACGACGAAGGCTTTTTTTTGATCTTGAATGCTACACAATCTTGTATTTGATCTTCCTATCTGTAAAGTCTATAATATATTTTGTTCTTCAGGCCTCTCTGCTAAAGAGCATGCCGGTTCGATGGTATGCTAAAGTCCTTGTTTTTGACGGCATTTCATTATCTAAGATCTTAGACTGGACCAACGTAAGTTGCGTTTATGTTACACTATTTTTTCACCTTGCAACTTCTAGACTTATTTAATTGCAATGTTATGCACCCTGTCATGTAATCCCATCAGGTGGGGCGCCTCCACTGCCTCTTGCCATGGTGGGAAGATGCAATGGTCAATTTCATGCTCAGTGGCGGGTATAATGTCTCTGACCAAATTAAAAAGGTATAGAGTTTTATTTTTTTTATATATATATTTTATTTTTACGTAGTCATAACTTAGCCCCAATAACGTAATGTTTTCAACCAGGATGACATTATATCATCATGACTTGCATATTATATGTTGATCTAGCCAAGTCAGGTTCATTTGACCTGATCAGTATATGTTATTCATATAGTACAACATATGATGAGTTATAATATAATATATGTTGTATTATAAATACATATAAATACATGTTGATTACTTGTATAGTATATGTTGATCCGGTCAAATCAGCACCATGCTCACTTGACCATATCAGCCGCCAATCTTTGCCTTCTATCATCTATAGAGGTTCATTATCTATTGCTGCACTGTGCTTTGATTTACGGTCATCATCTGATGGTACATTACTCAGGAAATCTTCAGTTACTTAGAAAATCTTACTGTCAGCAAAAAAAATGCATCGAAAATAATTATTTTTTGTCGTTCAATTTGGTGTTACCCCTATTTGTTTTAGACTCTTTTTTGTTCAGGATAATTATGTCACTTTGCTTGGACACGGGTATGAAAAGAAAATGATATTTTAATATAAAAGTAGAGTATTATGATAAATTTATTAAGAAGCGTCGTTAAAAAAATGATGACAAAATAGTTATGCTTTAAGTTAACCAAAAAATGGGAAATATGACATTTCCCGGATGGAGAGATTACTATCAGTTTTCTATTGATAGTCAAGAAATCTAAGGTTGAAAAGTGGAGATTCTGCAGGTGAAGAAGAGAACTCTTTTGATCTGCAGTGAACATGATAAAATCGTCGATATCAAATTTGCCGAGGTTAGTACTCGGTGCAGCAATGATCAAAATCTAACAAAACTATCTGTCGAGAATTTAGCAATATGGATATATACATGGCTGAGTATTCTTTCACTGATATTTTAATTCTTCAGAGACTGCAAAATGAGCTGCTGAATGCAACCATGCAAAAACTACCCGATTGCGGCCATATGCCTCACATCGAGAAGCCCAATGTGGTGGCGAAGTTGATAGCGGATTTCTCCAGAAGGGCTGCCGCTGAAGAGAGAACGGTGTCGTTCATCGTCAACGGAATCTCCTATAGAAACAAACAAATACACCATTGAGAAATCACGACAAGAAAATGAACCAGGTACCTAATTAAATTAAATCCATGGTTTTTTCTTTCTTTCTTCTTTTTTTTTTTTTTTATGCAGTGTTTGTGTGACTTTGCAGATGCCTACTAGGTGTTTAAATAGTCGTTGTAGGCTCTGTTCTCTATCCTTAATATATCGAGCATTCAGTTACAGGCCAGATATTGTTACGAGTAATCTTAATCTTTTGTACAACTGTATGTAGAAATTTGCTTCATTATATTCTTCATTTTGATGAGTGCCAAATTTACACGCATGATTTAGCCTTAATATCTGGTTTGTTCCAAAAAAACTACTACCTCACCTCAGTTCCATCTATCCATTTGCATTTGGTGGACGGAGTAGTACAATTTTTTCTCTTACAAAATATCTCATCTCATACATTATTTTAATATCAAATTCAAATCAATTTTTTTTTTTTTTTTTTAACTTATCAAAATAAACAATGCACTATTTTTTAACAATTTTATTTTGTTAAATTTACAATTTTGATATTGCTTTTATACTATTTCAAATTTACCTTTTCTTCAGAAATATCAAATTAAATATCTATTTTTCATTTATTATATTACACTAAAATTTAATTTTACATTCAAAATATTACGTTAATACATATTTATATCTATATGGTATCAAATAAAATTTTACTATTCAAAACAAAAAACCAAAACCAAAATTCTACAAATAAAAGCACCATTGTCTGAAATAAATATCATATAGATATATTGAGGTAAATAAAAAAATTTTGTTAATTGCAAAATTTATTGATGATTTGACATGATGGTTTGGCCATTTGGCAATGTTAGGACTAAACGAGTTGAATTGTATTACTTGCTCATGCAAAAAGGGTGTGTTTACTTCTAATATTTTGATTTTTTATTTTGGTTTTGAATAGTAAAATTTTAAATTGAAATAGTAATATGATGTGATATAAATATGTATTAATGTGATGTTTTGAATATAAAATTAAATTTTAATGTAATATAATAAATAAAAAATAGATGTTTAATTTGATATTTTTTATGAGAAAAAAAATTGAAATAGTAAAACGAAAAAATAAATCTCACAAGTAAACACATCCTTAATAATTAGATTATCACGAGCAAAAGTACGATAATTGAATTATTACATTTTTAAAACTAATTCACATGCATGTAAATCTACTAATTTAACTATATATTAGGGTACTTATCAATGCATCTACTATGTATGGTCATGTGTATATTTATTATTCATCTAAATTTTAGATTGTTTTTTTAAATAATTAAATTGCGAACATAATTTTATAATCATTTAATAAAAAAATTCGTCTTGAAAATTAATAACTTTTTATTTTGATATATTTTGTGATTTATATTTATTTAATTATTTGTATATCTATATCAAGTTTTGGTCTTATTTATATTAAGTCATTTAATTCATTTCAATAAATGCATTTGTTGCATCTTGTCTGTTAACTAATTTGTAATTTTATTTTATAATTATTTTGATGTATAAATTAATTGAATTGATGTGCTTATTAAAATATGTATTAAACATTATTTATATGTTATTTAAGTATATATATATATATATATATACTCCCCCTCTCCGTCCAGCTACAAAGTATATATATTTCTATTTTTGGACGTCCAATTACAAAGTAACCATTTCATTAAATACTCTACTTTTTTTCACAGATATCCTTACTTTATATCATATCATTATTTTTATATCAAAAAGTAAGGGCAAAAATGTCATCACACTACTTTTACATACCCACTATGATTAAAATACTATTATTTTTTAAACACCGTGCCAAAAATAAATGTATACTTATTGTTTGGACGGAGGGATTATTTATTAACAAGTAGATATTTAAATTTAAATAATTATTTACTAGATGCAATTAAGATCAATTGCCTTTTCAAAATAAGTCATTTGTTTTGGCAATTGAAAATGCACATACATCCATATGGATTGACAATATATATATTCTTATACACAATAAAGTTACAATGTGCAATTCTTAAAATAATATATTTTCAAACAATTTCAACCTCAATATTGATTCTCCAATTCAAACGAATCTCATAACTAGAATGAGAAAAACTGATAAGATACGATAACTTGATACAAAATAATTGGATTTGAGTTCAGAATTTTGATCCGTATATTGACACAAACACGACACAATAATAAACGAGTCGGATTATGATTGAAACTCTCGACTCTCATCCGACCAGACAAACCTATTATGATATATTAATATTATAATATTAACTAATATATTTTATTATATATGTAAAATTATTTTAATTTGATAATTAGTCTACATATTAATATTAACTGAGTTCAATTTTAAATACATCATTCACTATACACATAATACTATAATCGAAAAAAGCTAACATAATACGACAAAAAAAAAAAAAAAAATTGGATAAAAGATTTCAACTTGATTATATATATGGGTCAATATAAATCTGACACGATAATATACGGATTAATACGAATTCGATACGACAATAAACGGATTGGATTAGGATTGAAATATTTAACTTTCGTAGGTTGTTTATGTGCAAATTAAATTACCTACTAATCTAAATAATTTAGTTTACCAAATTTTATCCTCTTGGATAAAATCAATTTATCAACTAAAACTATTTTACCAAGGTCTTCAAATTTATCAACTAATTTCAACCTAACCTAATCATAACTAAATAAAACATACTCGCTCCGTCCTATAACAATGTATTCATTTTTCTATTTGAGTCTGTCCATAACAAAGTATCAATTTTATTTTTTTTCAGTAACTGTACTATCTACCTAACATTACAAATACCCTTACAACTTACAATATATTACACAAATGTCATTACCTTTATATCATACATACTAATAAGGTTATTTTAGTCATTTCTACTTTATTCCTACTATATCTCAAAATAATACTAATATTTCTAAAACTACATGCAAAAAGCACATAAATATTTATTTATGGGACGAAGAGAGTATTAAATATTAACAAGAGGATAATTAATATTTCCAATCATAATAAAAAAATAGATAATTAATATATAGGTTATTCTTAGTTGTCCAATTATAGATTAATTATTTCAGAAATACTTATATGGGTGTGTTTTTTTAGGTGTGAATTTTGAGTGGAGATTTAAATAGTAAACAATTTGAATTTGAATAGTTGTATGATGTGATATAAATAGACGTTGATGTGATGTTTTGAATGTAAAATTGATTTTTAGTATAATATAAAAAATAAAAAATAGGTGTTCGATTTAATATTTTTGGAAAAAATAAATTATAATGAATAGTCCATTTAAAATCCAATCTCCCAAACAAACACACGCTACTGTTATTTCATTACTTCTATACCGAAAAAACAAGGGCAAAATATATCTATATTACCTTTAACTATTCACTATAATTAAAATATTATTATTTATTAAATTCTGTATCATACTTTCAAATAGGGCAATGGAGTCTATTTTTTTTTTTTTTTTTTTAATTATAAAAAAAGTAACTAGGCAAAATTACAAGAAATTCATATGTTTGTTTCAAAAAATTGCGCATAATTTATCATATTTTTAAAATTGTGTCAAACTCCTTGTGGAGTTTTGCGTCTAATTCGTTCGATCGTCTTTATTTAACGGTATTTGACATTCGCATATACAAATAAAAAATGAGTTTCAAAATCTCTATTTTTAAATATTTACAATAACAAATATTCTTATTATTCTTATATTTATTTTTTAAAAACAATAAAAATATATTTAAAAATAATTATTTCTCATGTTTTAAGAAACTTTTATTGTTTTTAAAACTAAATATAAAAAAATTGAATAGATTTGTAATTTTAAAAGTTCATAAATAAAAATTTTGAAACTCATTGGTAATTTGGACTAATGCAGGTCAAATACCGTTAAAGTAAAAAAAAGTTAGTTTCACTCAATTTTGAAAATATGAAAAATTTAACTCAATTACATAAAATTACATATAAATTTTATATAATTTTATTAACTAAGTATTAGTATTACTTACTTTTATTAAAGCTTATACCCGACCAAATGAACATTAATCATTTTCCAAATTAGGGATGAAATATTATATATTTTCTCCATCGAAATATTTCTTGTAATTTTATAATAAATTTAAAAATAACATTTTATTAATTATATAATTGTATAACATATTTTCATATTTTAATTTTATAAATATAAAATAATTTATGTGTAATAGTAAATTCATAATTTAAATAAAAGTAAATAAATATTTTAATATTAATTTATAATTATTTTTATTAAAAAATATTTTAATAAAATTAAACAAAAATAATAAAAAAATACTTTTAATTGAAATTAATGAAATAACCTTACGATTTTATTATTTATTTATTTGAAAAAAATAATAAATAAATATAAACAAAGCCATGTGCAAACCATTTAAAAAAGTTATCAGAACTTAAAGCACCGCCCACGCGCTCAACTATCACGCGCTTCACACCACTGCAGGCTCTCCTGACTTCAATCCTAACCGTTGATCAAGCCTAAAATCTCAACCGTTGGTTGAATGTTGATATATCACTTCGACCATAACGCGCCGATTCTTTTCGGTGTCAGGCTCGGAAATCCAAGGCCCGAGCCCGGGCCCGGGCCCGAACCCAAAGGGCACTTTCGATATTCCATTCCTGTTTTGTAGATGGCTTTATTATTTGTGCGCTTTTTGTCTGAACAAACAAAAAAGCTTTTTAGTTCCTTCTCACTATTTATTAGAGAGAGAAATAAGAACCTATACGTACATGTTTAGGTGTATGTATATGTAGAAACAGTGAGAGAGAGAGAGAGAGCAAGCGTCTGCAGATTTGATGAGAGTTCAAGCCGCGGGGAGAAGCTGCTGTGTTGGATCTTCATTTCAACAGTTGCTTGGCATTTCGGAAGTAAGTTTAGAAGCACATGTAATCGTGTAATTCTTACTGCTCGCAGTTAGTTACTCAGATCACAGTCTTAAGCACTTTCGATTTTTGCTACTCTTTTTGCTTGCTCGTGTCGCTAGGTTGAAGTACAATTTATTCCGGATTCTGCGACGTGTTGGTGTGGAATCAGTGAGTTGAGCTTGGATTGTTGCCTGCAGGTCTAAATTGATTGTGTTGGAGGTGGAGTTAATTTTTGTGAAGGTTTTGTTTGTGATACTGAAGAATTTTGGGGGAAATTTGTGGCATGCAATCGCCTTTAGAGTCCTCTGATTTTTGGTTGATTGGGTGTTTGTATTCTGCCCTAAAATCTTGCTCGTGCATGAGTTACCGTGGTTGAAATTGCCTTTGGATAAAATATTAAAAGTTTAAGTTAGTTGGAGTTTGCTGGCGGGAGTGGCTTTTTGTTCTTCTTGGCCTTAATTTGGTAATGATTGGTTATTAATTGTTGTTTTATTAGTTAAAGCTTTCAGGTAGTCTTTTTTTTAACACTTTTATCTTTTGGTGGGAATCAATGTTCTTGTTTGTGCATTCTTTATAGCTCATGCTTTTTGCCTGATATTTTATCAAAGTTTTCTACTTTGGGGAGAGTGTTCATGTAGCTGAGAGACTAAGTTGTGTTTCAAAATTAGCCCGGTATGATTAGAGCTATACTTGGAAGAGTTTTACTATTTCTATGATTGGATAACCCTTATGGTTACCATTTTCTGCAGGTAAAGTGTCAGCAACCTCGGTTCTTGGCATATTAACTTTTGCGTCCAGCAGTGGCTTTTCTTGAGCAACATCTGGTACAACACCCTTATGTAAGTCAGCCATTGAGGTTAATCTGATGTACAGATGTTGCAGCGCCAGATTATGTTTAAGCAGCTTCAGGAACTGCAGCGAAGGCAGCAACTTCAGGAATTGGGTGATGCACGGAGTCAGGATTATATAAATCAACTTGTAGCATTTAAACAAGCTTCAGGGATTCAGTTTGCCCCTATAGTCAATGGCGCACCCGGTTTTGATTCACAAATGTTACAAACTTATGGGTCCGGAGTTTTTCAAGGCTCCCCCAATGGATTGGTTCTTTCACAAAGTCAAAACCATACTCTGGGTCCATTGGCAATGTCGCAGCCTCAGTGTGACGGATCTTTGTACGGCAGTCCTGCTTCTAATGTTGATAGGAGTTTAAATCTGCATCCTCACCTTCAAGGAGGATATAGTAATTCTGCTAGTATGTTGACAATGAATGTCAACAATATTCCAGGACTGTCTCCTATTCCTCCATTAGGCAATGATAATTCATTTGTGGGTCATCAAGGCAATTACTTTTCTGATCAGATTGGAATGGCAGGTGATTTTTTTCTGACCGATCAAGTATATCGGGAGAAGAATTTGTTCGGAGAAGCTCCAGTTCAAAGTTTAAATACTGATATTTTATCAGCTGACTACCCGCAGCAGGGATTTTCATTACAGAGAAGTTCATTGCTTACGGAATCAACGGAGAGGTATGGCCATACCGGTTCACATGGAACTGCGCCTGGACAAGTGTCAAAGATGTCACAGAAAAATGACTCTCTAGATCTGTTGGAGCAAAAAATCTTGTTCAATACGGATGGTAAGAGCTGGGTGTCATCATTTGGAAGTAAGAAAATTGGAACACCAAGCTTGGAGAGTACTGTGGAAAACCCATCTTATATGGATGCATCACCATCTATTCAAAGTGGTAGCTGGAGTGCTCTAATGCAATCTGCTGTTGCAGAAACTTCAAGTAGTGATACTGCAATGCAAGAAGAGTGGAGTGGATTGAGCTTCCAGAACCCCGAGCCGTCAACTGACAATCAGCCCATGAATTTCATCAACACTGAAATTTCACAAAATAATTGGATTGAGAGGAACATACACAATGTCTCCTCCCCATGTTCAGATCCGGAGCCATTGTTCCAGAAATCAAATAAGAACTATAATTTCCTCGATCTTAAGCAATCTGAACTCCAAACTCTGAACCAGAAAGATGAGTTTCAGTCAGAGTCTTCCCATGTATCAAGCCAGTATTCTCCTGGAAATACAAGTAACCTGGTTCAGACATCTTTGCATTCACAAGATACTTGGCCTACACAATGTAAGTGAACTTGGAAGTGGCATGCATGAGCCTAACTTTATCCATGGAAAACAACAAGCAGCCATACAGAAATTTCTGTTGCATCTTAGCCTTTTTTATACTGAAAGTCATGAATAATGGGAATGCTAAGAATTTCATAGATTGAATGACATGTAAAATTTTTGTAGCTTATTGAAGCATGCATCTAGAAGTAAATTGCGTCTTGGGCCTCAAAAACAAATTTGGAAATAAAGGGAGCTGGAAACACCACATCTATGTATACTTCATTCTTTCTTTATATCTTGATGGTTTGGAGTGATAATAACAATGAAGGTTTTCATTCCTTGTCCAGGTCATGATTTGGGAGGTCCAACATTGCCCCATGGGAGTGCGCCAGTCGGGAGCATTCAAAAGTCATTTAATCAGGTTGAGGAAAAGTTGAACCCTATTTCGCAATGCAATGCTATGTTTCCAAAAGGCGCATATTTTTTTGTGCGGTCCTTGAAAAAAATGCATTACTTTGTCTATTCTGTTCAGAAATCAAGATACATAATAACCAAGTTTATCAGGTCGACATGATGGGATGTTCCTTCCCTGGCATCCAGAAAAATATAGTAACCGTATCCTATTGTTAATTTTTTGTAGATGAACCAGATGAATGTTCAAAGGTATTCAGTACAATCAGATAGAGTGGCTCTCGGAGACAATATTGCACAGAACTCTGCTCTTTTGAATGCCTCCTCAAATGTTCAGGGTGAAAGTTTCACTGCTCAAAGGTATTTATAGTCTACACTCTACAGGGTGACACTATTTATTATGCCACCTTTATGCTACTTGGGAAATATGTCTATTATATCAAATTTCCATGTAGTTTCATGAAATGGTAACACACATTTTCTGTAATGTATATTTCTGGTTAACATTTGTTTGACCTTACTTTGTTCTGATTTTATTCCATTTATTTGCATTTTGTGTGATTTTTTGGACTCTGGTGATTTCAATGACAGTGAAATTATACTTGAGTTGCTTGGCAAGGATGCCGTAAGAAATGATCGAGCTTCTGGATTCCAGTTCAGCTCAAAAGTCTCACCCCTCAACGTATCACCACCAACTGATGCTTCTGCTGAATATTTTGCCAAACCATGTGATAACAGCCCTGTCTCACAAGGTTTTACCTTTAAACTGGGGCCTGCCGTTTCTGGGAGTCCGGATTCACATTCATTGTTCCCATCTTTGTCCATGGTGGGTAAAATAATAGTTTTCCTCTTAAATCTTGAGTCTTATGAGGGTCTTCAAGATGCCACACCATTTTTGTGTGAATATAATTCATTATATTTTCGTAACGATGATGTTAATATATTGCATGCAGGGGAGCTCATGCATGACATCTCTTCCCAATGATTATAATCAGCGCCAAACTCCAGTTATGTCAAGTTATTCAGCTGCTAAATACCTTCCATATGCCAGTGCTTCGTCACAAGATAGTTTCCAATTGAAAAGAACTGCTGCTGATGGTCTGGCATTCCAACATTCGGAGGAAGTAGTGCCCGCACAATCATCAAGGACCTCAGATGTGTCCCAGGGTATCCAATTTCTAACAGGGCTACCCATTCCATTGCGAGATAATGTTGCACATGGAGGTGTGATTTCCCAAAAACCTTTCCCATCCAATTTGCTTCATTCTCAAGATTCAGTTGCTGGCAATCAAAAGAATGGCTCAGGGGCTCCTAATCTGCAGCCCAACCAGAATTATTTAAAACATGGATATAATGTAGAAGACTTTGGCATATATTCAGGAACATCTGGATATTATGCACAGACATTGGAGAAAGAAAGTTTGATGAATAGAGGCTGGCTACAAATGCCTACTCCAGAATCTATGAGTACAACTGCTCGTTTAATGGGGTCTTCAAGAAATCATTTAGAAGCAGATGTCGTATCTGGTTCGTTGACAGCCTGCACATACCAGAAGCCCTCTAATCAAGCCGAGCAGAACGAAAACACAGCCCCAGCTGTTCCCCCTGGAGACATCAGATCCTTGGGCCATTTTTTGCATCAAAGTATTCCTTATGCAAGGAATTCTGGAGCTGAGTGTAGTAAGAATTTGCTTCTTAAATGTGATAATCAGCAGTCAATTTCTAGTGTAAAGAAGGACCTGTTTGGTGAGCAGAAGTCACTGCTCAAAGATAAAGCAAAAAATGACATGGAGACAATCTTGGCTGGGACATCTCCTGGCAGCATTAAGGGATGGAATTTCTCACAAGAAGCCCAAAACAACCAATTAGGGAGATCTGTATCAGATTCCCCTCAGGACTATCTACAGATGGAAAAATCGAGCCACAGTGGCCCCGAAACTCATTCCATTTGCAACAATGAAGGTTCAAATGTTTCAAATCAGTCGCAGATCAGTCTGCAAATGGCTCCATCTTGGTTTAAGCGTTATGGAACCTTGAATGGATTACCACCATATAACCCAAAAGCTGCAACTAATTCTGCACAATCATATTCTGGGTTGAGTATTGGAAATGTGCTGGACCATAGTCTCCCTATGCAACTAAACTCAGCTAAAGCTAATCACGGAAGTGGTTCATTGCCATCTTCGTCTGCTGCCTTGATGGTGAATAAGAATTTGCCAATCCCCATAGATTTTGCTAATCAAAATTTGACTGCTTTGAAATCAAAGAAGCGCAAACTTGCTACATTTGACATGTTATCATGGCACAAAGAAGTGAATTTTCATGGTTCAAAGCTTCAAAGTATCAGGTCTGCCCATCAGAATCTTAGATTAAATTATATTCTCATGTGGTTGCATTTTTACATCAATCATTAGACTTTCTTCTAGTATCAAACTCATGATGTTGCAGTGATCAAAAATACTAATTTTCCTTCACTAACTTAAGTTGCGTTGGCAGCATGGCTGGGTTAGAATGGGCACTGGTTTTAAATAGAAGGCAAGAGGAGGTAGGCGAGGTTTCCTATGTAATATACAAGTTCTATGTATTAATGAAGAAAATCCTGTTTTGTGAATTATTACATTTTCCAGGCCAAAAATGATGCTGAAGTTGTTAAGGATATGCCCCCTGCGGTTCGATCAAAAAGGCGGCTTATTTTCACGACACAGCTTATGCAGCAGATCTTTAGACCTCCACCAGTATCGATCATCTCAACAGATGCCACTTTAAACTATGATGTTTTTGCATATTCAGCGGCCAGATTAGAACTGGGGGATGCTTGCAACTTGACTAGTAAACCCACGACAAGTCTAGATGATGTGTATGAAAATGCCATTTTTAGTATCGAAATGACAAATGCAATTGTATGTAATGAGACTTTCATATTGTAATCTCTGACTTGTTAAATATTTCCAGGACACCTGACAAGCTAAAGACTTCAAAGGGAAATGGTTACAATTTCTCAAAAGCTGTGGAAGGCTTCATTAATCGAGTGAAGAAGCTTGAAGGAGATCGCTCAAGGTGGGCCTAATATGCATGTGTTATTATTGGTGACAATCCTGTTTGATCAGCACAAATATTACTGGCTTGAATGGTGAAAATTTCAGAAAATATTTACCGAGAGACAAACTGCATATCAATGAATCATTAGAATTCACAGGTGTCACCTAATCAGACTGTATGATAAGAGAAAACTTGGTAAAGAATTTTATTGTGTGCAAGTACCAATTAAAGGTGTGTGTTTAACTAGGTGCAGAATGAATTTGTTCAGATGAGATTATTCATAGTTTTGATTTCCTTTACTTTGTCTCTTGGCTGGATGATGTTACTTTTTTATGGTATATTTGTGGGGAAAATAATTGTCATAAATATGATGGTGCAGATTGGATAAAATTTGCTCATTGGCGGACTTCAAAGCTGAAATCCAGGACCTGGAGAAGTTCTCTACAATCAACCGGTTTGCAAAGTTCCACTTCAGGGCAAACATTGGCACGGTTGATCCAACCTCATCTTCTGGCCAATCTTCACTGCAGAAGGCAACCCCCCAACATGTAACTGGGGACCCAATGGCCAGGACATTACCCGAAACAGTAGATTGTCTTTCTTTGTGATCGATTATGAATCTAAGCATTCCTGACCTGTGATTACAGCATAAAAGTGCCCAGGTTAAGAATGCAAACTAATGCAAGATGGCCCCAGAAATCTCCTCGAATTAAGGATGTATCCTTCTCATTTTTGAGGTAGCAGTACGTATATAAATATATATATATATATATTAGTTCTGTATATATGTATGAAGGTTCTAGCACAGCTTAAGTAGGAGCAATGGATACATTTGTCAGACATGCACAAGTACTGTAATCGATTAATTTAGCTCTATATAAGGTTAAATACTTTCCTTATTGGAACACTTAGTTGTTTATTTTCTTTCAGTTCTGAGCAGCTCATGAGGTTACATATACCACCATATATTTGCTTTGCTGCTTTTAGTTTCTGATGGTATTCTGTAGCCCATTATGTAACACCGTGGATTGTGAAAGCTTCTGATGCCCTATCAAGTGATTTTATTTTATTTTATTTATATTCTTACAAGTTTCAGGGTTTGTTTTCTGGGAGTGATTCTTGGCCCCGGAGACTCCAAAGCCTCCTTTTGTCAGCAAAAAGACAAGATCTCTCTTTATTGCATAAAGTGTGTACACATGCTTATAGTAGTCTGTGCTTGACTTTATCCTCTTTATCTCAATGTGTGGAATGACAGGTCAGCAATCCCAAGATCCTGCTGCCATAGATAACAACATACAGCAACATTGACAGCAGTATGTCACGTCCAGAATCAGATTCTTCTGATTCATAGAAGGTGAAAAGGAGAAAAGATAGATTACTACCACCTGAAAGGTATGGATAATGAAGAGGAAACAGGTATCATTTATTTTTCAGTTATTCATTGTACTAGGGAACAAAATCTTTTTTGTGGCATGAAATTGCACACAGCTTGTGGGATTGGTGGGCTCTTTTCCTTGGGGCTGCTGACAGAATCTCTGTGTGTTCTTGCTTGGCTTTTTATGAGGCATGCTTATTAGTATTTCTTTTGATTTTTGTATTTGTTTTATTCAGATTGTAATAAATGGGTTTTTGTGTCCTTATCTCCCTTTATAATAATATGCAATGGATTTTGAGGTTTCCCTGTTGATATTATCCTGTTAAGGTGTCTTTGAGGTCCAGAATGTTTATTATTCAAATTATAGTATTCCAAGGTTTTAGTGTGTGGAATAATAACCATATGCATACATTTTCTCGTGGAAGATAGATCATATTCAAGGTTTCATCAATCAACAATCCTTTGAATTAACATGAAAAACCGAAAAAGTAAAAAAACAAAAAAAAAACTTTGTTTTCTACCCTGAGAAGTAAATCTACATTTACAATGAACTATTACTTTCCGTAATTAATAGAAGAGATATTGTCCAAACATTTATGCAGCAATATTTGATCAATTAAGGTTTTTGTATAGACCAGCTCCACTACATGTTTAGGGAAAATGACATTTTTTATCATGTAGATAGATATATGTGTATTTCTGATTATTAATTTTGTCTTGCAAATGTTGGCAAGCTATTTTACAAGATCAAAATGCAATCACATCAAATGATATGAAACAATTATTAGAATGTAACTTTCCTGACATGATTCAGTCTGGGATGAAGAATACTTTGGCACGAACATGCCGGCCATGAGCTCGGCAAACTTAGCATGGATTGACTTGTAAGGGCGCAGATCGGGCAATAACAAAATTTGATCTTCGATGTATTGCTGAAGATTGAGCACGCAGTTAAGCTAAGAAGCAAGCTCATCTGCTACACTTGCCTTGCTTAGTTGCTCCTGCGCCAAGAACATTCTCATGCTTCAAGAAGCTCTCCTGATCGGGTAGGCGGTGATGAAGGCAGAGGCTGTTTGATGGTATCGAAGGTAGGTTGGATTGGGATTCGACAAAGATGGAGATGGAATCATCAGACGAGGCGAGGTATAAGGACAAAATGGAGTGTTCTCTTGTGACTACGGCTACTACAAGGAGAGTCGCGGATCTCGGGCCAAAGGTCATCGAAAGCTTCGAAAATGATGGATGTTTGAGTAAGAACTTGAATAGCTTTCTGGAGTGGATCAATAAGAGCATGGAACAAAAACCGTCATTGTTGTAAGAACAAAGGCATACATTTTTAAGATCGTCGAGGCAACGACAAACGAGGACAACTAGTTATACTCCTGTGTAAAATGTTAAGTGAGAAACTACTCGACAGTGAAAGATGGATCTTAGCCGGCCAACGGTAGAACCAAAGATTGCTGATAAGTAGACAGATGACAAGAAGGCAAAAACAGCAAGGTACGAACGATTACAGTAGGAAAATGACGAATCTGGCTAAAGATGGTGACAAAACATCGATGTCGAGACTACCTATAAAGTATTCGGCATCGACAAAAAGCTCGAATCGGTAAGAAAATATTCCGGTGGATGAAGATGGGACGGCCTCATGTGTTAGCCATACCGTATCCAGCGCAGGGACATGTTCTTCCATTGATGGAGCTTGCGCAGTGTATGGCGAATTCCGGCATCCGCGTCACATTTGTGAACACAGAGTTCAACCACCGGAGGATCGTGAAGGCGCTGCCGGATAATGAAAGCATAAGTGAGTTGATCGAGCTGGCTTCGATCCCCGACGGGATGGAGCTCTGGGAAGACCGGAACGATCTAGGAAAGTTAACGGAAGCCATGCTACGAGTCATGCCGGAGAAACTCGAGGCTCTGGTCGAGGAAATAAACAGCGGCGCCGAAGAAGATAAGATTGTGTGTGTTATCGCAGATTATGGCTTAAGCTTTGCCTTTGAGGTTGCGGAGAAGTTCGGCGTCAAGAAGACAGCCTTTTTGCCGGCATCCGTCGCGCTTTTGGCCTTGGCTCTCGATGCGCCAAGGCTTGTCGATGAAGGGATCCTCGACTGCGACGGTAATACCGTTTTATTCGAGTTAAAATCTTTCCCGAATGATCGTTACATGTCGTAACGGGTATGTTGTTTAGGAACGCCATTGAAGGATGAGACGATTCGCCTGTCGCTGGACATGCCGGAAATCAGAACCGTAGACTTGGCATGGACGCGCATCGGCGACGCCGCCGCGCAGAAGATCTGCTTCAACTCGATGCTGAAGTCGATTGAATCTGCGAAACACATCGACCGGATACTATGCAACTCATCTCGTGCGCTCGAGCCCGCCGCACTCAAAATAGTCTCCGCATGTTCTCCCGTCGGGCCTCTCCTTGCCAGCGCCCGTCTCGGGTGTTCGGCGGGGCATTTCTGGCAAGAAGACGCGGCCTGCCTCGAATGGCTTGATGAGCAGCCGTCGAATTCAACCGTATACGCCGCGTTCGGGAGCTTTACCGTCTTCGATCGGATTCAGTTCCGAGAGCTCGCGCTAGGCCTGGAGCTCACCAACCGACCTTTCCTATGGGTCGTCCGGAACGATATCATCGACGACTCCGATAACGCCTTCCCAGACGGGTTCCTCGACCGGGTGAAGCTGCGGGGGAAAATCGTGAAATGGGCGCCGCAGCAGAAGGTGTTGGGTCACACAGCGATCGCCTGCTTTATAAGCCATTGCGGATGGAACTCGACGATGGAAGGCGTCGGGAACGGCGTACCGTTCCTCTGCTGGCCTTATTTCGCCGATCAGTTCCTCAACGCGACGTACATTGCCGATTGCTGGGGAGTCGGGTTGGCGGCGGTTAAAGATGGGAGCGGCGGCGTTGGACGGGAGGAGATTAAGAGGAAGATAGAGAGACTTATGGGTGATGAAAGGTATAAAGTTAGAGCTTTGGAACTACAGGCGATGGCCGGAGAAGATGGGACTTCTGGCAAGAACTTGGAGGAGTTTGTGGAATGGATCAAAGAAATTAAGTTGTAGGAAGACGATTATGTGTGTTTTAAGGATTGATGCAAGATTGTGGATGCGTTTGTTTGTTTGTTTTCTTTGGCATTGCATTATTGCAATATTTATTCACTATTCCTCTAAAGATTATGCCTTGTCTATACGCGTATTTTTTGAGTTATTGGCGCTATTTATCTAACAATTTTTATTTATTTTTTTCAAAATAATTTTATCAAATATACTCTGTCCGAAATGCTTTTGTAGTGGACTAAGAAGCGTAGTTAGTATAAAGGAAATAAATACTTTTATAAAAATTAAAACTATTTTAGTATTTATGTATTAGTATTTTAGTTAGATGAATAAAAAATGATAAAAAGAATACATTAAGCTTGAAACTAAGTATTTCCACACAAATTCACACTATTCCATCAATACAATGTTTAATAAAAATTAGGGGCGATTTTAAGTATGAGCAAGGTGAGCAACTGAAAATCCTAATTAATAAAGTCATATTTTAAAATATTTATTTATTTATTACTATTATTAATCAATCAAGGGTTTATAAAAGCTTATATGGCTAGTTCACATAGTGTTTTATACTCTCTTTGGAGTTTGAAGGTCATGAATCCATCCCAACCAACACGCTACTTTTAATAAGACTATTCATTTATTATTTTACTGATTAGTAAAGTGGTGTAATAAAATTTGGTTACTTTACATTTACAATTTATATAATAATATAATGATATATTTATAATTTACATCAAAATTAATATTATTTTAATATTAATATGGTAATTATTTATTTTTTTCGTTTTGTTCAATCTCATAACAAATTATTCATTTTTTTTAAGGAATGATATTATCTAATTCACATTATAAATATTTTTACAATTTATTTTAATTATTTTTATTATTTCTACTGTATATCAATATAATACTAGTATACATAAAATTTTGTGAAAAAAAAAAAATATATCTAGTTAAAATACTATATTTGATGAGAATATATTATTCTCCCTTTGTTGTTTGTGTTTGTTATATAATATTTAAATTTATGGATAGGAAAAGAAGGGAGGAAGGAAGGAGGAAGGATGGTGGGAATGGATGCCGGGAATGTGCACAACATGCTTTACAAGACAATTCATGAATCATACTAACTGCTTTTCTCTCTCTCTCTCTCTCTCTCTCTCTCTCTCTCTCTCTCTCTCTCTCTCTCTCTCTCTCTCTCTGTCTCTCTCTCACTGTATATATTATATGTATATTTGTATATGTGGGCTAGTGCATGCATGTGGCGTGCATGTGCATCTGCCACCTTTCTTACATTCACATGCATGCCCCCTACTTTTGAAAATTTCTTTTTTTTTTTTTTTTTTCTTTTATAAATTAAATAATTATATAGATTTATATATATATGTGTGTGTGTGATGTCAATTTCACTATTAGCTATTATTTGAAGTTTTAAGAAAATTTGCATTCATCACATGGCCGCTTTGTTACCAATTTAATATAAATATCATTTTCATTATAATAAGCACTTATCCATTTTATTATCCAAACACATCAAGTTATTTAAATAAATAATCATTATTCCAATTAAAAGAAATTATTTAAATAAAATTATTATTATTATTATTATTCACTGAATTTTGGCGTTCCGTACGCCCAAATTCTTCTTATATATATAACCGCCGTTCGCCTTCACCCGCCCTACCGTCACCGCATTTCTTCTTCTTCTTCTTCTCTGCCGCCGCCGGTGCCGCCGTATGGGTGTGAAGCGAGGAATATCTCTTCCGATCGCCGACCGAACGCGGCGGAGACGATCTACGTCGTCGATTTTGAGCGGAACGATCTATGGCAAACCTCGAGTCTCTCGCCGCCGTTGGATCGGTCAAGTCGACAATAATGGCTCGGATTCCGTCTCCGGCAAGCTATTGGCGCTCAGGAGCCTCGTTCCTTCCCGGAGCGAAGAGATAAATCCAGACCGGCTGTTCGAGGAAACCGCCGACTACATCGTGCGCCTGGAGACTAAGGTTTTTGTGTTGCAGAAATTGATTGAGCTCCACGGCTCGCAAAGCGAAGAAATCAAACAGGATGCTGTGTGAGGTTTGGTGCTCGATTTGCTCTCGCCGCCATTGGTGAATCCAAACGAGCTCCGTGGATCGATCCACGCCGCTCATCCTCACATCGTGATGGACGGCGTGGATCGATCTGGTGTTAGAAGTTCGCGGCACTGCCAAACAGCGAGACAGAGGCGTTTGTGTTTTTTTCAAAAAAAATATTATAATTTAAATTATTATTATTTTTAATTATTTATTTATATTGGTTAATTAGCAGACCACAAATGAAGAATTAGTTTTTTTCTTTTTTTTTTTTTTTTTTTGGATTATTGCATTCATTGAGTGGATTTGTTCCTATATTCATTCTTTTGTGAAATCATATGGGCTTCAATGAATTCTTAATTGGCCGCTTTTATTCAGAGTGCCATGTTTGTATATTTGGAATGCTTATTTATTTATGTACATTTTCAATTAATATGAGCTGATTTACATATATTTTGTTTGGTTTGGGTTTGCACTTTGGTTTAATTATGTACAACAATACTCTAATACTCCCTCCGTCCCAAACAAGGTGCAACAACATTTACTTTTGGCACGGTTTTTTGGGTGGGTAGTATTAAGTAGGATAATTTAGAAATTAGGTGATGGGACGGAGAGAGAAATATATATATATTTTTTTATTTAGATGATGTGAAGGGATAAAGTGTGAGGTAGTGATTAAATATAATTAATTATTTTTTATTTTGAAAATATTACAGGGTGTTTGGAATATACTAAAAAGAAAATTTTGTAGGGCGTTTAAAAAGAGGGAGTATGATAACTTTTACATTTTTTTTTTCTTTTCATAAAATATTAATTTAATAAAAAAAAAATTCAAATCCAATCTAGAAGAAAAAGAAAAACACTAGAGATTGTTGGTTATAATTGGTATTGTATTTAGTCAAAGATGATAAATGTCTAACTATCTTTGGGAAGTCTTGTGTGGGAGGCGCAAAAATAAGATAATAGTTGAATTATGAATGAAAAGGGTGTGTTTACTTGTGGCATTTTTTATTTCTGATATTATTATTATTATTATTATTATTATTATTTTTTATCAAAAAACATAAAATCAAACACCAATTTTATTTATTTATTTATTTTATTACACTAAAATCTATATTTACATTCAAAATGTCACATAATATATATTTATATCATATCAAACAACTACTCCCTCCGCCCCTTATCTATTTATCAATTTACTTTTTGCACGAAGTTTTTGGAATATTAGTATTATATTAGGTTATGATATGAATAAAATAGAAAAAACTAAAAAAACCTTATTAGTATTGTGTGATATAAACATAACGATATTTGTATAATATATTGTAAATTGTAAAAGTATTTTTAATGTTAGTAGAAAGTACATTATTAATGAACAGAATATTTCAATTCAAAATTTTATAATTCAAAAAACCAGAATATAAAATTATAATCTTACCAAGAAGGACACCGTAAGTAAAAGATAACTTACTGTAAATTTCTTTCCAAGTTACAAAATTCAATCACTTTTTTAGTTATGGACATAACTAAAAGAGTAATTATATATTATATTATGAAAAAAATACATGTTTTTTTTTAAAAAAATTTGTGTTGCCTTTTAATTATATATTGTGGTTTGAAATTGATTTGAATTTTTATTTATATAATATTTTAATATGATATATATTTTTAAAAATAATGTTATATTTTTATTAAAAATACTACCTTGGTCCCACATACAATGTCTTCTACACGGTAGGCACGTTATTTTAAGAAGGGTATAATTAGCAGATAATTAAAAATTTATTAGTCAAAATAATTATCCTATAATATAAATAATTATAAATTGAGATTAAAATAACTAATTAATTTAATTAAAATTTTAAAAAGAAAATTAAAAAATTTAAAATGAGATTAAAGTGTGTAATATTTTTTTTTAAAAAAAATGACATGGTATGTGGGACGAACAAAAACGACAATATAGACATGGTATGTGGGACGGAGGGAGTAATATATAATAGTATTAATTTTGATTTAAAATTGTAAAAGAATAAATCTATTAATTTGTCAACCCACAAATGCAAACTTTAACTAGTTAATATTACTATAAAAAAAAAAAAGAAGGTTGAGAATATTATAATTTATAGTGAATACTGGCCTGTCTTATTTCCGCCCAAATAGTTATGAAGGATATTGGGTTGAGAATATTATAGGGCTCAATTGGACCGGGTTTTAATGAGAGAGTCTGGGAAGGATCCTATACTAAGATCCATGACTGACTCCGGTCCAGATTTATTATATCAAGCCCGGTCCTTTACAGGGTTAATTTGATCTAGGCCGGGCAGCCCAGCCCATTGGACACATTGAGCTCTATTTATCGATAAGACGTTTTTTACGTAGTCCCATGGAATTAATCGAGAATACGTAAACTCGTAAAACTTAAAACCACGATTTATCCTTCGTATAAATGAAATGAAAAACATCCCAAACTGCAAAAGCGTCACACGCAAGCTTTCGCAGAACAAACGACGCCGTACATCAACGAAACGACGTCGTGTGCCCGTGCTACGCCGCACCTATATAAAGGCCTTTCGTAAACTTGGATAGCTGGCATTGACTGTTTTACTGATATTTTACTTTTTTTACCTGGACAGGCAGGACTCGCTGTGTTTTCGCACGGGCACGTCGGTCTTCTCTCCACCGGCCGAAAATTTCTGCTCCACTTTTTCCCCGCCATTTGTTCCTCTCTCTAGGGCTTAATCTCGGTTTCCCCCAATTTCGAACTCAATTATTGTGAAATCGTTGGATTTGCTCGTTCGATTCGTCTCTGGATGTCGAATTCCAGCGTCGGGAGCAGTGGCCACGGCGTGCCCAAGGGAATATGCCTATCGAACACAATTCATTCCGAAGTTGCGCCTTGCTTGCCGCTGCCGTCGCTTCCGGTGTTCTGCGGGGCGCTGCATCAGGAAATTCATCTATTTGACGACTCCGCTGGCGGTGCGAGATTGAATTCTAGCCGTGGAGATGTTTCTGGCAAGATTGCGGAGCTCCTCCGCAATGCAGATGTGTCTTACTTGTAAGCGTTGTTTTTATATTCCGGATGGTTTTAAATTTGTTTTGCTCTGTGGTTTACGGAACTGGAGTTTGGGAATTTTTGGGAGCTTTGATTTTACTGGTTGCAATATATTTACTAAAAAAAATAAAATTGCGTAAGGGCGGGAATGGTTACATTGTGCAATGGTGTACAGTATATATATATAGTGAAATGTATAGATGGATAATTGATTTTCGAATAAGCGTTTCTACTTTGATTTTGAACGAGCGTGATTGGAATGTTGTCAAAAGAACAGCCATTTTATTGTCTGTATATGTCCAAATCAGTTTGCTTCTCAAAAGAAGGATATGTGAGTGTATTCTTGATGAGAGTCAAATCAGTTTGTGTTTGGATCTTGATACTCAAGTATGGGTGGGTAACTGAGATCTATTTTTTATGCTTTTAATCTACAATTGAATGCTTGTGCTCACATAGTTTTATCTGTAGGAATCTAAAAGATGAAGAAAATATTCAAACGGATGACTCAGTAGGAAACTTTAACCTATTCAATGATGTTCTGAGGCACGATGCTGAAGCTTTTGACTACATCAGTCCAGGTAAAATGTCCACGAGATGCTTTCCCGTATATTTGAATGCATATAAAATGTCAACTTGATTCATTTCCTCAGTGTGATTCTTTTAAGTACTGAAGAGCCTCACCGCTCCCGTGTGGCATGTGAATTTAACAGGCATGGCTTATCAGTCAGATGCAATAAATATTTTTTGATATATATTTGAAGATTACATGTTTTTACGATATTGCTAGTAAAACCGTCAAAGTCCTTGTCAATGACAATAGGAATTCTGTGATTGCTTGATGCATGGTGCATCTTCTCTATCTTTTAGTTCTACTTGCTACAGATTAACACTTACTATTATTGTTACATTTTTATCTTCTACTATAATCTGAAAATTAAAGTTGCTGCTTTTCAACCCTCCACTAAAGTGATTTCAGTAACAGAATATTATTCTGTTCTTGTCTCTTTGATGTTGCTATTCCAATTATCATTACAAGTTAGTATTATTTTCTGTTCTTATCATTACTAGTAAGTGGTAAGACTAAAATTATATCTGGCTTATTATTCATTCCATTGCTCAAGTTTCTCAGGTCCTGCTAAGGAGTCAATGCAGAGTGGTAAGTTACATGAGCTGAAGCCAGTTGAGCGAAGTGTGGCTTCTACAAATAAAGTACTGGATGACTCTGTAGGAACTAAAAATTATCAGCAAGACTACAATGCTTCTAATGTATGCTTTCTTCTAGAAAAAATCATTTGAACTGGGAACATTGTTTTATTGAACACCAAAGTTACCTCATATAATGGTTTAATCCCTAATCACTTGCAGGAAGTTGCTAGTTCTTCTAGAAAACCTAAGGTGAAAAAGAAGGAGAAGGACGTGCCAGCTGCTTGTCCTGATTTCCATGAGCATCAAGGTTCTACAGTTCTACCACGTCACACTTTTGGATATAGAATTTGTAACTTGTTTATATGTTATATTTATGGAACTTGATATGGCATTCTTCCTCAGATGCAGCTATTGCAAGCTTTTCAGAAATGTTGGAGGACATATGTGGCAGAGCAGAGGTTATTTGTGATGATCGAGAAGAAGCAGAATGGGTTCCGTTGACTCATACTGATCTTAAAGCACTTGTGAATGAGATTATGTCGATGCGATCCAAGAAATTACTTCACCTTGTTCCTGCGGATATTCTTTCAAGGACACTAAAGGTTTTAGATCGCCAAATTTATCGAGCTGAAGGATTGTCCATAGATGATTGCGATAATGTAAGTTCACATATGTTTTAACATGCTTCTAACCGTGCCATGCGAATTGGTTTACTGAACTAATGTTGTCTTGTGCCAAAGTGGATATATTTTTGTATCCTTTTTTTTTTTAACTGGGAGCTCTTGTTGTCTAAACTGTTTTCTAACAGAAATGCAATCTTGCATCTTTCTTTATCCCTTCCACTTACATAGACGTTGGTGAGTAGTTCAAATTGCTACCACTAACATTTCTTCCACAATCGGTTTGTGTAGTTATGTTTGGAAGTGTTTTTGTATTTTTGATTGTTTTGGCAGTAATAAAAATTTGAATGGAAAATAGGTGTTGGATGCAATATTTAGATATAGAAAATAGATTTTTGATATAATATTTTAAGTGAAACATAAATATTGGATGCGATATGTTTTGAGAGGAAGATATTTTATGAATAATGTGAAAACAAAGTTGTAAACATAAACAAACAGAGGTTGACTTATACCATCTGCAATTTTCTTTTCTTTCTTGGTTAATATCCCAAATATTCATTGACTAATTCACTCTGTCTTGTTCTGTATTTGGTTTTTGAAATCTTTCTTTTATTCTTTATATAAGTTATTTAAAATTTCTATCTAGCTTTAACTATGCAAATAATTTGATCTTAGTCATAACTGTAGATTTTGTAAAAGATTTAAGGTAATGTTTTAGAGGCTTCTTCCCGATTTCATGTAGCATGCTTTTAAATATATGGTCCACTGGGCCTGTATTTATATTGAACTTATTTGCTATTATTATTATTATTATTATTATTATTATTATTTTGGGCCTTGACACAGATTTGGCCATATTCCATGCATGTGGATGCCCAAACATCTATGCATTTATTTATATTTAGTAATTTATGTATGAATATATATTCATAGTACAGGTTAAATTTACATATAGTCTTCTCATAAATCGGTATATATACAATATATAGAAGTGAGCATAATATTACATTTTTAATTATTAAAATATTATATGTATATGTCTATAATGTTTCTAAATGTGAAAGTTTTGATATTATGTCTTGGACATAAAAGTTAACAGTATCATTGCCCGGTTAGTATCTTGGTTATAATGGAACTTCATAGGTGGGTATTCGTGATGCCTATACTGCCCTTGCGGAAACATATCATTTATATTGGGGATGCTCGCACCTTCATTTTGGAGATTCGTTATTAAATGCAGTCCTCCACATTAATGTCCATAATCCTGTGACATTTATGCGATAAAGGGGCAGTTTGAAAGTTTATTGGCTTTGTGCATGTTCTAAATAATTTGTGTCATCTGCTTGGCCTTTTGCTTTCTTGATATATTTTGGCCTTTTGCGTGGGGAATTTTCAGCTTGCTTCTAAATTCCTGTGACAAAGGAAAAAATAACATTCTTTGATTATGTATTATTTGATATGTATTTTACGGAGCGAGATGTCTAACATATTTAGATACTGTAGTTACTGTTTTATCTAGATAGAAATTTGGAATTCTATAATTGTCCTGATGGGCCACCTTTCATAAGTTTACAAAATTAGGGTCATAGACAAATTTAGAACTTAACCTCATGGGCCTTGTTTTTATTTTTTTTCCCTATTTTATTATGTCTGAGTGTGTGCCATTATCTCCGAGTCTATATTGAATTCCTGTTTCCAATAAAATAAGAAATTATACCCACAAATAAAAACGATGCAGACCAAATTAATGTGCGATTATGTATCTTTGTGTCATCTACACAATAATATGAAAATTTTCCCTATATGCCCCTCCTTCCCAGATATGTTTTCGATGACTGACAATATTGATTTTCATTGAGCTCGTTTGCTATAATGTTTTCTTTTATATTGAAGATTTTATGGTTTCTTTCTTTTTGAAATTGCAGTTGAATGCTGATGTGGTTTCATCCATTTATTGCTCGCTGGAGTCAATCCATGCAGCTTTAGCTATTTTGGCTCATGATGGTATGCCAAAGCAGCTTTATAAGGAGGAGGTATGATAATGAGGGCTATTTTCCAGGAAGTGTCTCCAAAGCTTTTTTGGGTGTACCTTCCACCTCACACATCGCATAATATGGTAAGTTATGAATTCTGATTTTTGTCTATTTTGTATCAGGATATTGAAAGGATTTTGGAGTTCTCAAGGCATCAAATCGTGGATGTAACGTATGCTTGTGATCCAGCGTATCGCGCGATGCATAAACCAAATTATGGTGGACCGCATGATGGTATGCTTACTGTTGTTAATATTGTCATAATATCCCGTGCCTCTTCCTCACTTGAGATAAAGTACGATACATGTATAAAATGTTCCAAAGTTATCCTACATTTTAATTTAAACAGGATTTGCTCTTGTATCTTGTTTCACAATATGGAATGTCTGCCTTGTTATAATCATTGTACTCTTAGAAGCTTGATCAAAATTTCCTCAAGTGTATATATGCTCAGAGCAGCGGCTCATATTGGCCATGCGCATTATCTTTTCAACTTAGTTTACCAACCAAAATTTACCATATAGATTGGACGACGCTGGAAGAAGGATTGGCACTTTTGCTCTGCTGTTTTATATTGCATACTTATTTAACTCTAAATATCAGATGAGGAAGATGAAGAAGCTGGCGATTTCGGATCAGCTAGTAAGAAAAGGCGAACTTCAAAGACTGTTAAAGTTAAAAAGTCAACAACTAGGTACTATACTAAAGTTTTCTGAAAAACCTAATAAATGCATTTTTTTTCTAATATTGTTTCGTCATTTGGTTGCAACACTGATGATTATTGGCAGAATGTCAGCCACAGTGAATGTTATACTTCAGAAGCTGTGCACTATTCTCAGTTTTATCAAGCAATTGTTGTCGCTAGAACGGCTATCAGATAGTTGTGTTCTCCAGCTTGTGAGAACTAGCTTACAAACTCTTCTGGTTGAAAACATCCAGCTTTTGCAGCTCAAAGCAATCAGTTTAATTGGTGGGGTAATGAAATTTTGTGCGCCTTGGTCTCTTGTCTATTTAGTGGCATACATTTTCCATTTCTTCTGAGCTTTGGCTGACAATTTGATTTGCAGATTTACTATTCATGCCCTCAGCATCGCGCATATATGATGGATGAATCTCTTCAAATTCTTTTGAAGCTACCACCCTCGAAAAAAGTTCCAAGAGCTTATCATCTTCCTGATGAAGAACAAAGGCAGATTCAATTAGTGACGGCTCTCCTGATTCAAATGATTCACTATAGTGCAAATCTTCCAGACGCTCTAAGGCAAACCTTTGTAAATCCATCTCCGGAATTTTCAATTGACGCTGATTATCCTTCCAAATGCCATGAGTCAGTTACAGAGTCCTGCTGCCTCTTTTGGAGTCGTATTCTACAGAGATATACAAGTGTAAAAAATCATGATGCTTCGGAATTGAAGATAGTAATGGAGAATCTTGTACTGGACTTGCTGACTACTTTGAATTTGCCTGAGTATCCTGCGTCAGCACCTATGCTGGAGGTAGAGTACTTTGTTATACTTGGGAATCTATAGATTACATCGGTGCCATATTTACAGATTGTTCTGCAGGTTCTCTGTGTGTTGTTACTTCAAAATGCTGGGCTGAAATCAAAAGATAATAATGCTCGAACAATGGCCATTGAACTTCTTGGTACTATCGCTGCAAGGTTGAAACATGATTCTGTCATCTGCAGGGAGGAGACATTTTGGATTGTAAAGGAGTTGATGAATGATGACAGTGCTGATTCTAGTTCTCCAAGAGACACATGTTCTCTTTGTTCTGAGTCAGTTTCCGAAAGGTCTACTTTTGCTTGTCAAAGTTGTGATAGACAATTTCATGTTGATTGTATCGGTGGAAGAGAGCATGATACTCCTCACAACTTTGATTGTCAACTTTGCTTATGTGAGAAACAGCTTCTTGTTTGGAAAACATATTCTGTATCCCAGAATCAGGATGACAAGAAATCTAATCACAATCGTTTGGGGAAGTCTTCTCGAACTAGAATCACAGTCTCAAAAGAAGAGATTATACAACAAATGCTCCTAAATTATTTGCAGGATACAGGGTCTGGAGATGAACTACACCTCTTTATACGATGGTTCGTCCCTGCATTGGAATTGCATTTAGTATGGGTATATTCATTGGTCATTACGTTGAGATAATTATTAATTTGCAGGTTTTATCTTTGCCTTTGGCATAAAGATGACCCTGCCGCCGAACAGAAGTTCCCTTATTTACTTGAGAGGTTGAAATCCAGAGCAACTGTTCCTGATTCTCATGTGGACTCATCTTTCATGTCAAGGGATTCCATGAAAAGAATTACTTTGGCATTGGCACAGAATAGTTCGTTTGCCAGAGGGTTTGACAAGATTCTTCAAGTTCTACTGGTAGGTGAATTGTTGATACCCATAATTTTGGAAGCATGGATACTTATCTAGAGTTTTCATTTTGGTATCACAGGCAAGTCTGCGGGAGAACTCGCCGGGGATCCGTGCTAAGGCTTTGCGAGCGGTATGTCATGACCATCATGTATCTGCAACTGTTGACCTTTCGTTTTTGTCACTTTTCTATTTTATTTTATTTGTTTTTCTGGATTTGGGAGACACTATTTCTTTTTTTAATGCTGACTTAACTATGTTATGTATGCTACTACAAAATGATTATAGGTTAGCTTTATAGTAGAAGCAGATCCAGAGGTTTTGGGTGACAAGCATGTCCAAGCAGCTGTTGAAGGGAGGTTCTGTGACTCTGCTATATCAGTTAGAGAAGCAGCGCTAGAGCTTGTTGGTCGTCATATTGCTTCTTATCCTGATGTTGGTCTAAAGGTACTATGTTTGTTCATTTTTATGTTTTGCACTTATGGTGTCTGTTTTGACTTTCATTTCTTTTTTGGCCTTCCGTAGTATTTTGAGAAGGTAGCAGAGAGAACAAAAGATACTGGAGTAAGTGTGCGGAAACGTGCCATTAAGATTATTAGAGATATGTGCACTTCTAGTGCCGACTTTTCACATTATACAACTGCTTGTGTTGAGATAATTTCTCGTATCAATGATGAAGAGTCAAGCCTACAGGTACTCCATTTGTTTTAAATTTGACAGGGTAGTTTATTTTGAGCCTTACTTCTGAAGTTCTTTAATACCATCTTTGTTTTCTGGTTTAAACCTATAGTACTATATATTATGTATATTAATCAGATAATGGCACCAGAAGATTTGATCATATAATATTTGGAAATCTATTTACATCCAATTAACTAGCCCCTGCTACCATGACTTACTCTGGAAAGAAATTTTCCTTTTTTTTTTTTGAATAGTGGCATCTATAATCTAATTTAGATAGCACTGTGTATTCTTGGGTTCATATGTTTGATTATTTTTCCTGTTTGCTGAACCAAGGTAATGCCATTAAAGGGTTGTGTATCTATGCACAAACTTTATTTTCGGTCTAGGAGTTTGATTTGGTTTGGTGATCAGAAAAGATAAAGTTGCAGTTCAACGATGCATTACAATCCTTTGATAATTCCAAACTTCTTTTTACTATATTGTAAAATTGTTTTAAGTCCCTTGTTCCTTATATACTGTTACAGGATCTGGTTTGTAGGACATTTTATGAGTTCTGGTTTGAGGAGTCTGGCACACAGGGCCATCTCTTTAAAGATGGTAGTTGTGTTCCATTGGAAATTGCTAAGAAGACGGAACAGGTTGTTGAGGTTTTGAGAAGATTGCCAAATCACCAACCTCTTGCAGTTGTCATTAAACGAACCTTAGCCCTTGATTTTTTACCACAAGCAGCTAAAGCTGCAGGGATAAATCCTGTATTACTAGCTTCAGTTCGCAAGCGCTGTGAGCTGATGTGCCAGTGTCTGCTGGAGAACATATTGCAGGTATATCTGGGAATCAGGCAGTAAGCTTTATCCTCTTGTTCATTGCACCTGCATTTCATATTGCTATTTGTGTATTAAGAAGTAGGTATCTAGTATCATGCACTCTAATATAGTTTGATCTTTGTAACTATGCAAGCAAAGACTTAGGCTACTGCCTAGAACTTAAATTGGATTGCACTTCAGGAGTGATTCCTTCTATCCTGGCACCGAGATTTCTAATATTTCATTCCCCAACCTGTTTTATAGGCACCATAAAGTTCATTCTTACAATAGAACTAGTAATGGCCATGCATCTTGTTAGGTGTATGTGAAAATGTAAAATATTTTTAGGTGTATGGGATATGTGTAGAATATTTAAGAACGTGATAGTTCCTAGAAACACTGTAAATAGTAGGACATTACCTAGCATTTAAAGGGAGTTCTAGACTATTCCTTTGTAATGTATATATACGCGTAATGTAATATGCAGAAGTGTGTGGTCAAGAAATAAAGAAATATCAGTTTTGTTTTGTGTTTATTCACACATCTAGAAATATATGATTCACATTCCAACTAAAAATCATTTGGTAGATTATACAATTGGCACATTTTCATGGATTTGCTGTCAAGATAGATTGTTATAATTTTATCTACTTATTACTTTACCATACACACTAGTTTACACTACACAGACATTGCTGTGTGAATAATGTTGCACAATTATTTTAGCGTAACATGGTGGGAAGACCATGTGAATCCATTGTTACCCATTAGTAGAAAAATGTGTCATGTCAAAGGTTTTGTGGACGTAACTTGCTGAGTTGAGGGGGTCTTGAAGGAATTAAAACTAAAATAATACCCCTCCCTAGCTTAAGCTGGTGGGTGTTGATTATTTAACAGTTATATTGTTGTGTTCTCCAGGTTACTGAAAGGAATGTCGATGATGGAGAGGGGCATATGCTCCCATACATTCTGTTGTTGCATGCCTTCTGTCTTGTGGATCCTACATTATGCATACCAGCTTCGGATCCTTCACGCTTTGTAATCACGCTGCAGCCATATCTTAAGAGTCAGGTTAACATTTCAATTTTTATGTATCATAGCCACTACAGTCAAGTAAATCACCTATCCTCAGTAGTTTTCTATAAAGATTTGGATGCACCGTGTATGCATCAAGAAGTCTCTTATTCTTTTTGTTATAATTACTTGCTTTTGTACAATCTGTTATGGTCGCTTCCGATGGTCATTGTGCATTCAGCATTTTATGTTTATATGTATGTAAAGAGGAATTGGCTTGTTTTGACATTGTAGATGCGCTTGTGTTGAGTCCAAACTTCCTGCTGTTTACTATATACTAATTTGCTTCCTAGGGGAACCCTTCTATATGCGATCTAGTGATGTTCTCAAGAGATGTTCTTTTAAACCACTATGAGAGTGCACGTCTTGTATATTATTTAATATAACCTCTGCAAAGTGTGGCAGGGATCTACTTTACTACTTTAGATTGTCTTAAAACTTTTATTGTGCTCAGCATCTGGAATGAATGTTGTTTATAGATTCAAACAATTAGTAATACCAAAGGATTGTGAGTGGTTTCTAACTCAAGCAGGAATTCAGTACTCACAGTATGTACTGCCTAGATATGAATTATTTCCAATAAATATTCTTGACGGTGGACAATTACAATAAAGTTCATTTATAGTTTTTCGTTCGACATTTCTTAGGATGTTGGTGTATGTTTTCTTTCTTCTGATGTTAGAGTTGTAACCTATGTCTTTTAGGTGTAGAAACACTCCGGAAGTTTTTATGCCTTGAAAAAAATTTCCCAGCTGGATTTGAGTCTACTTCATGCTGGTTGCACTTAATGTACTGGATTTTAGTTTAAGCTTGAATGGTTAGTGAGTACATTCCATTCAAACTTAAGGCAAGGTCTGAATAAGAAGCACATTTGATGGATAGCAGCTCTAGAATCTTTGAGAATAGCTTGAGATGTAAAGTTTTCATAACACATTTTTGTAGTAACAAGGGATTTGAATTGTTTATATTCTCTTCAAATGCCCCTCAGATTTATTTCCACCATCAAGATTTGTTTCATGCTTCTTAAGACATAACCCCTTGCACCTTTTCTGGTTTACCCTCTTTTTGGAATATGAATTGGATCTTACTTCTTTTAAATTTTGCAGTCTGACAATAGAGCGGCTGCACAGCTTCTGGAGAGTATATTGTTTATAATTGATTCTGTCTTGCCATTACTGCGGAAGCTGCCTCAGAGTGTTGTAGAGGAACTTGAACAAGACCTTAAGCAAATGACTGTCCGGCATTCCTTTCTGACAGTTGTCCATGCTGGCATAAAGTATTGTACCTCCTTTCTAAAGTATTCCTTTTGTGGTTCAGTTTTTCGTACTGTATCCTGCATGCTCCTCTATGATGCTGATTTAGCAAGTCTTCAAACTTTTACTTGGTATATTATCATTTAAAGTACTGTAGCATGTAACACTTCTCTTTTTTCCTGGGATTCTTCTCAAATATCAGGTGCTTATGCTCTGCTGGTAAAGTATCAGGAAAAGGTGCAATTGTTGTTGAATACCTTATTCAGTTGTTTAACAAACGCCTGGATGCATTGGGATTTGATAACAAACAGGTTAAAATCTTCTTGAAAGCTTAATGATTGTAATGTTCTGCTTCATGGTCCTCTCCCATCTACTGTTCAACAGATTCTCTAGTCTCCATCTTTGTTTTTGCTCTACAAATTTGGCAGGGATGCAGAACCTAACATGTGAATCACTTCTATTCCTTTTTTAACTAGTGAAGTTTGGTGATTAGAGTTACTTCAGCTTTTTCAAAATAATTGTATTTATTGAATTTTGTGGGGTATGACTTCTGAATTACTTGAGATCTGTATTGATATTGCGAACATGGAGTTGATAATGATTGCATTTCTCTACTGGAGTCATTTATTGTGTTAACACAGAGCCCATTAAATACTGTGTCAAGAATTTTATTCGTAAAATGCTTGGGAAAGCAGAGGATAATTATTGGAAAATAACTTCATAGCCAATATAGATTCAACTTCAGGTGCAAAAAGCCTATTTGATCTTTCTAGATACTTCTCCTTCTTTTTCTTTTTTTTTTTTTTTTGTTACCAATGCAATGATGTATATATATATGTCTTTTCCAGCAAGTAGGTCGGTCTCTTTTTTGCCTGGGGTTGTTGATACGCTATGGTAGCTCTTTGCTGGAAGCCTATGCCTCCAACCCAAGAAATATAGATGTGGCAAGCAGCATCAATCTATTTAAAAAATATCTCCAGGCTGAAGATTTCATGATTAAAGCTAGAGCTTTACAGGTACCTGCACTTTGCTGTACTCCTGAGAATTTTAAATTGGTAAACTTACAGTGTAGTTGTGTTACTGCTGCAGGCGCTAGGGTATGTGTTAATTGCTCGACCTGAATGTATGTTTCAAGAAGACATTGTTACTACTTTAGAGACAACTCTCTCTGCCTCTACTGATACTCGTCTTAAGGTACCTTTTTTCTGTAACTTTCCCATATATATATATATTTCTGTAGGTTATATTCATTTTTTTCTATGTCAGATGCAATCACTGCAGAACATATATGAATATCTCCTGGATGCGGAAAGTAAGATGGATCCTGATAAAGCTAGCACCAGTGATGTTACTCCATCAGAAAATGGTGTTCACAGTGTGCCTGTTGCTGCTGGAGCTGGTGATACCAACATATGCGGTGGGATAGTTCAAATATACTGGGAGAGCATTTTAGGGAGATGTCTCGATGTGAATGAGCATGTGAGGCAAGCTGCTCTGAAGGTTGTTTCCTTGTTTCTCTCTTTCCTTTGAGTTGTAGTTGTCTGGTATTTGTAGTCTTATCATTGTAATTGCCTGGTTGTCAGTTACTTTCTATGTGCAATATTTTGAAGCTCAAAATCAGCTCTAATTTACTTCCTGTAATTTGCCAACTTACTTGTTTTGGAATGTTGCAGATATTTCATGCAGTGATTCCTTTGTTTTACTTGCAGATTGTGGAAATTGTTTTGCGTCAAGGGCTTGTACATCCTATTACTTGTGTTCCCTATCTCATTGCACTCGAAACAGATCCGCAGGAGGCTAATTCAAAGATGGCTCATCGACTTCTGATGAATATGAATGAGAAGTATGCTGTTCTTTGTAATATCTGAATAACAGTTTCTCTATACCTCGTATTGTGAGCTAATAAACAGTCTCCATCTTTAGGTATCCAGCTTTTTGCGAAAGTCGTCTTGGAGATGGCCTGCAGCTGTCATTTATTTTCATTCATACCATGAATGGAGGTGTTTCTGAAATTTCAACACTTAAGGCCCAAGCTAGATTATTTAACAATATGAAGGGAAAACCAGAAGTTGGTTCTTCCATGCATGCAAGACATGGGGTTGCTCGAATTTATAAGTTAATTCGTGGAAATCGTATATCAAGAAACAGATTTATGTCCTCTGTCGTTAACAAATTTGAAAATCCTACCTGGAGTGATTCAGTAGTAGCTTTTCTGATGTGAGCTCTTCTTACTCTCATACATGATAATTTTGTTCCGTCCCCTCTTAGCGAACTCTGTCTGACTTGCTTTCCTTTTGCAGATATTGCACAGAGATTCTTGCTTTGCTCCCTTTCTCTTTACCTGATGAGCCTCTTTATTTGATCTATGCTATAAATCGCGTTGTACAAGTAAGAGCTGGGACATTAGAATCAAACATGAAGGATTTTTTACATTCATTGCAAGGAAATACTCAAAAAGCTAATGGAAATGGGGTGGTTAGATCAGATCAGACTGTAAACCTCGGTGGTGAAATAAACATCACAGATGAGGGGAATTATATCATGTCTGGGGGATTACAAGGTCAAAACTTGTTCGGGGACGATGCCTATAAAGATTCCAACACAAATCCTTCAACATCAAGAGATTTTTCTAGTGTACCAGCTAAGGATGTGCAGAAAATCCAGGTACACTTCTTCGTCCTCTTATTAAATTCTTTATTGGAAAAGATTTGTGGTGTTTCCTGAATTTCTATTATTCTATTGTCTTGTTGAGTTATTTTTGGTAAAACCTCCAGACATTTTCCAAACTAGACACTGTTGACCTGAGTAATGGTTTCTTTGTTGACACTGTTGTCTGCATTGTCAATATTTATTCAAGTAATGAACCGTGTTAAATTCTCTGTTACTTATATTTGGATGGGTACTGGTGGCAGCAGCAACACGCATTCTCTCTGTTGACATTAATGAGAGGTCTATGAATAGAAAATGGTTACTGTTGGAGGGTTGAGTCTTGATTTAGGATCGGCATTGCAAGTGGCTGTTATAGTATCATCATTTCTTTCCCATTTCATTAAATCTTCATTCACCGTCGTGCCTGCAGTAATATGCCCTCTCAATTATTGTAAGGGTGTGTTTATTGGTTTGGATATGAATAGTAAAAATTTTGAATTAGAATAGTTGTATGATGTGATAATTTGAATGTAAAATTGATTTTTAGTATAATATAAAAAATAGAAAAATAGGAGTTTGAATTGATGTTTTTGAACGAAATTTTTTGAAATGAATAGTAGTAGAAATCCTTTAAGATCCTTGAAAAGAATGCACCCGTAATGTTCTTTCAATCAAATTGCTAGCTCTTCTTTATTCTTGCCGCATCTTGTCACTCTTTTTACTTCGGCAGGCGGACTGTCTAGCCGCTGGTGCGATGCAACTTCTTCTGAAGCTGAAGAGGCACCTGAAGATTGTCTACAACCTTGACGACGAGCGCTGTCAGGTACTGGATGCTTGTTAAGCTTTCTTTTGAAATTGCTGGAATATATAAGCTCAAATTTTGTTCTTTGATTAAGGCATTTTCTCCTACGGAAGCAGCAAAACCAGGAGAAACTCTATCTCGACAGAATATTCCTTTAAATTTAAGTGACATAAATATGGACTGCCCTCAATGCTATGAAGACCTTTCAAGGAGATACCAGGTGAGTTCATCACTGATGGCGTACTCGTATTTTAACTGTAATTTCTAATAACATTGTTTACCATTTTATGTGCTTATCATTTGTACGTACTTACAAGTATGTTCTTGTTTCCTTAACTTTTAATCTCTTGCATCAGGAATTCAAGAATGCCTTGAGGGAAGACACAGTCGACTACTCAATCTACTCGGCAAGCATCAAAAGGAAACGACCACCTGCTAAGAGAGCCGGGAAACCTAGACGGGGTGTAGTAGTAGCAATGGATAATGAATATGATGAGGATGATGAAGATTGGGGTAGTGCGAACAGGTTAAGTAAAAGTGTTCCGAGAGGCAGCTACATGAGAACCAGGCAACGACAGTAGAGGTGTATATATAGCCATGTAAGTAGAAAAGCTAACCTGTATAGTCAGTCAGCCTATAGGAAAGGATAACTGCTAGTGGAATTATTAGGAACTTGGCGAGGGAGTGGTAAAAATTAAGAAAAGATTGGCTAAAACATAGTTGTTACTGAAAATCGATTTGATGTAATTGTTTGTGCTGGTTATCTAGGACTCAAAATTACTGCTAGGATGTGTGCGATGATATGGGTAAATTTTGGTTAAAGGTGGGACGGGGGCATTCCCTAACTATGACCGTGTGTTGGATGTTTGTTGATTTGTGGAAATGAAATATTTTTCATTGTTTTGATTATTCGCCGGCCGGCGGCTGATGGAATCCTTGGAAGCTGGAGTGGACTTAGTTTGTGTCTCCATTGAGGTAAGTTTGCTTACAAGAATTGCTTGTTATCTTGATTTTGCTTATGTTGGTATTGTATTCATTGATGCATGCGTGCATGCTGTCATTAGTTTAGTTACCTCTTTGGTGAGATAGATATTAGAATGTGCGTGCGTGTCTATATGATGCATGTTTAGGCAAATTGTATGATATTTGATTGGTGAACGAATAGAATATTTGATAGATAAAAATATTAGGGGAGATAATTATGTTCATTCAAGGATAAAACTTTGGTGGGCAAGCAAACCCAGTGTCGTCAAAAAATACACTAAAAAACTTTACTTGCTCGTGTGTAAAAGTATGTTCTCAGTTTGGCACGTGTTTTAATATAATGTGTATTTATTTTATCGTCTTTTATAGTGAAAAAAATAGAGAAAGTAATTAAAATGGTAAAAAATAGGAGTATGATTTTTATTTTTTATTTTGTTAAGAAAACAATAAATATATTTTTTAATGATAGACATATATATATTATGAGAAAAGGGACTATCATTTTTTACTACTAAAAATTACACATTATATTAAAATTATGTCTAAATTAAATGAGTTCATTATAAACATATAGTCATAAATATTTTTAATTTTTAATTAAATTATAAATGTATCCTAAAGAATAAATAAAAAAATATAATTAATAAATAATTAAGATATATATTAGTAAAAATAATTATTAACAATTAAAATAACTAAGTAATTAAATTAAAATTAACAATATTATAAATGATGAAATTATAATTAAAGTGTATAATTATTATTATTTTTTTAGAAAAAAACAAATTATAAAGAACAAACAAAAAAGAAAAAAAAAAAAAAAGTAAACATTCTGTGTAGGACTATAGTACTAATTAGTTCTTCCACTTTTTTTTTTTTCCTCCTTCCATGTTTTTCCAAAAATATTAACACTTTACCGAATATAATTTTTTTTTTCAACATTCACACAAAACAAACACATACGATTATAAAAAAATATATATTATTAATGTAAATGTATATTTTATTAAATATTTAGATTTTTATTTTTTAAAATTATATAGTATAATTAAAAACATATTTATTAAATTTGATAATTTATATTTATAAAATTTTAATTTAATTATAATATATATATATATAAATAAATAATTAAATTCATTATATTCTACAATTTATTTTAAAATTTTATAAATTATGTTTAACAATTTTAAATTATCTAATTTAATTAAAAATCTATATTTTTAAAAATTTGTTATATCAATTATAGTTTTAAATATTACTGTAGATCTAACATATAAATTAACATTAAAATTATACTTATTATTATTATTAACAAAATAATAATTTTAAAGAAAAGTAAAAACATGCTAAAAATAAAAAATAAAAAAATAATAAAAAAAATTGGTGTGTTCTTTTATTAAATTTTACCCAATTTTACTATTTATCAAAATCTTTTTCCTTAAAAACATCAAATCAAACTTCTAATTTATATTTTCTATATTATACTCAAAATTAATTTTATATTTAAAACATCACATCAATATCTATTTATATCATATATTATAACAATTCTAATTTTATTTTTTTTGACTATTTAAATCTCAAACCAAACCAAATTATAACGCGTCCAAACAAACACAGTTATACCTCAGGCAAAATCAATGCAAATGGGACCTTGCACAAAAACTAAACATACAAAATAGATCACTTTTCTTTTTTCTAAAATTATTTTTATTAATGTAGAAAAAAGGTACTCTGTCATTCAACCTTGAAGCCCATAACAAGCAAATACAAGGCAGTAATCTACTTGTTTGTTTTCACAGTACTATATTACACCAACAACAATTCCTCTGGCTATTGTTGCCAATCTAATTAGATGCGTCATTTCAAAGCCATGGCAGTCCAAAAGGGTTTGTTTTACTTGCATTATCATTATCAATGCACAATTCATACAATATATATATATATATATATTGATTGCTAAACCCAACTCCCTTGTCAAAGAAAAATTACTTTTATTGTGCAAAAAATTCCTCTCTATATCTATATATCGATCTTGAAAGGGAGGCCTGTGTGTCTGTGTGTGTACGGGAATTACAGACCAAAGCATTGACTACTACACCTTTGATTATTCTCACTGATCACAAAAATAAGTTTTACATGAATTGGGAATGAATTCAAGCCATCATATACCCACCCACCCACCCGAGCACAACACAAGGAAAATCTTGGCAGAAAAAAAGAACAGCAAAATAAAAAAATGGGATATGGGAAGAAGAGGGTACCTAGTATCGGAGCCAGTAGGTCCTGCGCCTGAACCAGTTGTAGTCGGGCAAGCTCTGGATAGGCCCAACGGCAGCAATGGCAACATCCTACACACACACAGCAACGGCAGGGAATAAATATTTAGTGGTGCTCGGAAACTATCATTGATATTATTAGATTTTAATCATGTGTAGGCACTGATAGTTCATCTTACCTTATCAAATATAAACCTGTCTGCAACACGTTTGACAGTGCCGGCGTCTACAGAGTCTATTCTTGCACATAGCTCAGCAAATGGGATCCTTCTACCATATGTGATCAACTGTGAAACCAAAATTATAAATGGATGGATGGACACCTCAACGAATAACAAAATGAGAAAACTGGTGTACCCGTAATTGCCATTTTTCTACGACATTATCCCGCCAATAAGGTAAGGCATTCATTAGGTGGTATTTACTAGAGGAACGTTTTCAGCTTATGTGTATGTTATATGTTTACTCAGGAAATTATGCATCAAATGTAATGAGCCAATTGATTGATACCTGGCGCCCAATGTCTTCAGCAATCGGACTAGTCCCATCCAGGTGAAGCAGCAGTGAAGATTTTAACTGCAGGCAAACATTAATATCAACAACATTCTAAACAATCTGTCTTACAACATATGATATGCAAGCATAACGACGTATGCCATTAACCAACCAAATGGTAGTTATACAAGCTAGTCCAGTGCCGTGATATGAACTAACTATCTACCTGGTTGCGTGCACGAATCACATCAGCGTCCGATACTCGATAGCATAGCTTGGTAAGTTGATACATTATTGCATAGGACAAGTCATCCAAACAATCCGGCTGCAAACAGCACACACATATACTATTACGAACAGGTTATATAATAAATGGGTAAGCATTAACAATACATGCTGAACAACCAACCCTATAAAGAAGAAGAAGACAAAAACATTGGTTCTATATAGCCAAGCAAAAGACATGTGACTTTTTAAATTGGCACCTTAGGAAAGGCAAAGGAGAGTTTCCTATTATGAAGTTTTCCAAATTGTTTTGCCAGTGAAGTATTAATCATTATCATTCAAGAAAACTACTTCAAACCAAAAATGGATATTTGCAGAGGCAAATGATTTTCTGTTCTCTTTTACAAAAGTGAGAGCTCACCTTAGCGACAGCATAAACACCAAACAGACCAGTGTCTATGTAGTTGGTATTGAAAGCCATCATGCTTTCCGCGATTTCATTGATGCCAACCATTTGAGCTAGCTCGGAACTGCAAATAGATTTCAACTCAGTTAGTGCATTTGGGCTTACATGAATTATAATCATGCACAACAAAATAAATAAGCCCACAGAACGTATCTAGAAACACTGACCCCATATGCTTCCCACCACCAGCATTTTTATTCCAAGTACCCAGCATGGACTGTATGACCATCAGAGCTATTGAATCTGGATCTGTCCAAGAAGCCCCTTCAAAAGCAATCGAGAATTGGGCAAGAGGAATATCATCATCAATCAACCTAACCTGTATTTTATTGGACACAAAAGATAAGACTTTCAATTGTGATTATCTTAACGCATTTAGATTGTGGATAACCATTGTTCCATTCAAATCACATAACCGTACCTCTGAGCCTGTGAATGCTGAAGGTTCTGCAGCAACGAGGTCAGAAGTTGACGTGGTATCTGTCGACAGCTTTGTAAATAGCTTTTTCACTTGCTCAACAATGTCTTCGTGCTTAACAGCTCCAGCAGCAGCAATTACCTATAATACACGGCGAAAGGACCACACAGGAACAAGAATGACATCATATAAGAAAAAGCAATCACACAGAGAATAATGAACAAAATTGTATATATTGAACATACCATTCTCGGAGCAGTGTAGTGAGTTGAGATGTATTTCTGTAGATGTTCTTTGCCAATCCTTTTGACATTTTCAGCAGGTCCAAGAATAGTTCTACCAAGAGGAGTGTACTGGAACGCAGTGGCATGTAGGTGATCGAAAATAACTTCCTCAGTCTGTCCTTCCACCTGCATTCATCAAAGAAGATAAAATCCATAACCGTTATAGATCACAAGCTTGAGAGTTTGTAAAAACCAAGCTGGCATCTGAATCAAGAGCCTGAGCCGTTGGATACGAGAGAACAGATTTCCAATAAGATGCAACGTGGTTTTTAGATCAAATAGCAGATATTCAGTGAAGTGATTCGAAGGCATGCTTTCAGAACATAGTCGGAACCGACATATTCAAAAATTCAAAATAGTGACCTGATGTAAAAGATCTTGCAGAATTTAATAGTTGATGAAAAAATAATAATATTCCAAAGCGGATAATGAAATTCGATTCGAATGCAATACCTCTTCCATCTCACGGAGTATAACCTCCCTTTCCCGGATAATCCTACTCTCTTCGAACTTTGAATTCTGTAAAATGTCAGCCAAAACATCGAGCGCATGTGGCACGTCTTTGTCCATCACCTTCGCGTAGAACGTCGTCTGTTCCCTAGAAGTGTACGCATTCAGATGACCGCCTATGTTCTCAATCTCCTCCTCGAGTCCACTCGCATTCCGCCTCCCCGTCCCCTTGAATATCATATGTTCCAGAAAATGTGCGGTTCCATTGGATTCTTCGCTCTCGAACCTCGATCCGGCGTCGATGAAGACACCAACAGTGGCTGTTTTCAAGGCGAGATTCGACTCGGTGGCGATCCTGAGGCCGTTGGGGAGGGTGGTTACACGCGTGAGAGGAGCGGCTAGGAAATCCGTGTGAGAAACTACTGATGGATGAGGTGAATTGTGCGTCACAAAGCGTGGCTCCGGGTCTTCGAGTCTTCTCAGCTTGTGCTTAACAGATTCAGCTAATCGATCGTAGATCATGGCGGTTGGAGGCGGCGGCGAGGGGAGCGGCTCGGCCGTCGAGGAAGCGACCGCGGTGGAGACAGCGAAGCGCGAGGTGAAGTCATACATCGGCCTTCTGGAACGGCCGGTGAGCTTGATCAGGTGGCGAATCGCCATGATTGCGGCGGAGCTCCGGCGGTGAGTTAGGTATCGATCGGAGGAGGAGGAGACTACAAATTTAGTTACTGGAAATGGCCATCACGCGGACCAGACGTTATGTACACAACGCGGGAGCTTAATACGGCGTCGTATTAGGAGTTTTACAGGTTCGTTGTTGAAAAATAAAATTCTATTCTAAAATATTCTAAAAATTCTTGAATGGGCCTAAAATGCAATGTTGGGCCTAATGGACTTTTAAAATGGGCCCATAAGTGAAATGAGTATACAAATTGGGTCGCTCCAACACAAGACTATATATGTATTGGAAACCCTATTTTCTCCAAACCCTAGCGTTGTAAGCACTTGCATTTTTATCTCTTGTAGGCGACTGAGGCAGCTGCCGCTGTGTTGCGCGAGATCTTGACAATGGCGACTGCGAAAACTGTCAAGGATGTCTCTCCTCACGAATTCGTTAAATCCTACTCAGCTCACCTTAAGCGATCCGGGAAGGTTAGTGTTTTTCTCACTTATTCTGGATTTTTGTGAAATTATTGGTGTTGGTGTCAGTTTTTATTTTTGGTGAATTGGCTGTGTTTCATCAGCATAGGGAATACTTTGTGTGTTGATACGTTTTGGTGATAGATTGGTTTATATTGTCTTCGGAAGTAAATCAAATTTTTTGTTCCACTGTTTTGTAATATTGTTTGGCTTGATAACGCACATTGCTGCAATGTGTGAAATTTGAATGATATTGAAGTCTTCTATGGGTGTTTTACTATAGATCATGTATGTTATTCCTTTCGTTTGAGATTATGTTTATTGCACTTTGATGATTTGAACGTTTATTAAATTTCAATAGATGTATAAATCACGGTGAAATGATGTTGTCTTGGTTGTTGTATGATTAGATTCAGGAAGTCATTTATGATGATAGTGATAAGAATTTCGAAAATCAAATCTTTATTATATATATAATATCTACAGGAAGTTTAAAAAAGTTAAAAGTGGTAATTTTGTTTTTCCCATAATTTCTTATTAGTGTTTAATGTCTAAACAGATGGAGCTCCCTGAGTGGACTGATATTGTCAAAACTGGTGTGCTCAAAGAACTTGCTCCATATGACCCTGATTGGTATTTCATTAGAGCGGGTGAGCCTCTCTTAACCTACTCTTACAACACATTGGGAAGTCAGAAATTTTAACATGAATCTCTATATGTTCTGTTTTAACTTTATTTATTCTTGCCATCTCAAATCATGTTGTCTTGTAGATGCATATTTTTTCACTCACAGTGCATGTGTATTGCATGGTGATGTGTATATTGAAACTGTAAAAACACAAAAGTAAGAGAGGACTGATTTTTGGATGATGGCAGCTTCCATGGCTAGGAAGATTTATTTGAGGGGAGGTCTTGGTGTGGGTGCCTTCAGGAGAATTTATGGAGGAAGCAAGAGGAATGGAAGCCGCCCACCCCATTTTGGTAAAAGCAGCGGTGCTATTGCTCGTCACATTCTTCAGCAGCTGGAGAAGATGAACATTGTTGAGGTGGATCCAAGGGGGTAAGCTTGCAATTATATAATCTGCCTAATATAGTCTTCATGTTCTTGTGGCTGTCTCGAAACTTTCATGGAGATGCTTGATAATCATCTTTCTCTCATTTACAGGGGAAGAAGAATAACATCAAGTGGCCAGCGTGATCTCGACCAAGTTGCTGGGAGAATAGTTATGGTAGCGCAGTAGATTGGTTGAAAGTGTTGAGACTTTGTGTTTTAGCTTGATGCAAACTTTACTAGAAATGAATCGAATCAGAACAAATTTTGGTTGAACAAGTTGGTGGTTTCGAGTTTGTATTGATTTTTGGCTATTTAAAGATGGATCTAGTTTTAATTCGGTTTTGTTATATATATAAATAAATTGTCATATGATCTGCCTTTGTCTGAGTGGGTGGCTGCAAATATCACTTATAAATTGATAATTAGGTGAGTTCTACATGTATTTTTGTGCATGTTATATAAGGTTGCTATTTTTGTCCCAATTTTTTATTTTCAAGAAATGTGAAATGGAAGAAAAACATAAAATAGTTGTAAAGAGAACAAATTCATCATATAGGAGGTGTGTTTATTATGTGTGGGATATTTTTATTGTAATGTTTTTCTTTGTATTTCTAGCATTGATGTGTTTTTTTTTTAGTTCCCTTTGGTTGAAAGTGAAATTTTGCATTCTTGTATAAAGTTTGTGTTGAAATTGTAAGTGATTGTTTATATATATATTATAAAGAGTAAATTATGGAGTTTACACTTGGCAAGGGGATTGTGATTTGTGTATTTTTATTAAAATACAAAAAAAAAAAAAAAAAATTATTTAGTTTCTTCTATATATCCCACAAACCCACCCACAAAAATTCCATTCCATATTAGATCCAACAAAGTCCCCATAATTGGGGAGAGAGTAATGTCCCAAATGTAAGGTCTCTCCAAAACAGTGCAACATATACACACATATCATTGATCTTTAATCCAAAACACACACACACACACACAGAGATAGAATTATATCAAGAATTTATTATTTTCTTCCCTTCCTTTCAGTGGTGTTTGTTATAATGCTGTGAGAAAAAAGTCCCATCATCCAAAGACAAGTTGCATCTAATCTTCTTGTGTTCAGGTATATGGAACTTTGGTTCTTTTGGTACTGTCGGTTGCCTCTCCGACCTGTTGTTAAACATAAAACCATTTCTGATTTTAACTTAACACAAACAAACTAACGACAATGGTTCCAAAATCATTTTTGATTAAGCAAATGCCTGTGTTTGCGCATTTTGCTACCTCTGGGGAAAGAATGGCCTGTCAAAATACGGCATTGGTTGCGCCTTGGGGACGAGCTCCTTCCTTAGTCTTCGGATTTCTTCTTCTTCTTCCATCTGCAAGATTTCATGTTCCTTTAGAAATTTAGGAAAGATGATAGGCTGCAATGCATGTTAGGAACACTGCTTGCTTGCTTACCTTTTGTTGTCTCTCCCTTTCCATTCGATATTGTTCTATGTAGTTCATTTTCAGGGCCACCTGTTGCAAAGATAATTCAGAAAATTAGTTGAGATACACGATTTGAATGCATTGCAGTGCAGATTGTCACACACAATATATAGATATTATATACACACATAACCGAAGACAATGGAAAACAGTAGTGGCTATAAAAAAGCATATAATCTATGTAGTTTCATTTTAAGGGAAACCCTTGCAAAGACAATTCAGACATTTAGTTGAGATACAATTTGCAGCAATTTCAGATTGTCACACAAAAGCATATGTTCTATGTAGTTTCATTTTTAGGGAAACCCTTGCAAAGACAATTAAGACAAGCTGAGATATAACTTGAATGCATTGCAGAAATATATATATATTATATGTATATGCATAACAGAAGCCAATGGAAAAGAGCAAGCAGTGGCTATCCAAAAGCATATGTGTCTTGTTCTATGTAAGTTTATTTTCAGGGCAACCTTATCAAATTAAATACAAATTGACTGCATTTCAGATTAGCAAGCCCTATACAAAAGAAGCATATATATATATGTACATGATCAACGGCAATCAAAAGCATTTTCATATGCACATCAAGAGTAATGGGTCTTGCTGGGGTATATATACCTGATGATCGAATTCAGAGCGCTCCACAGCCCTCACATCACTGTGCAGAACGAGATCAATTGGTCTCGTGCATCCTTTAACTGGAGGCTTCTGCAAACACTAAAGAGGTAGGACACCAACCAGATGTTATGAAATATCTATGAAACAAAAGTGCCGACAACTATACACAACATACATGTATAGAGGTTAAAGAAACAAAGACTATACAAGTTGTGAAATGAAATCTATAAATTAACTTTAATATCGTTGCTTGCCATAATAGAAAGTTTTCAATGAAGTCAAAGAAATATATTGAATTTAATGAAATGAAATGACATATGCCTAAGAAGAAGTAACATGGAGCCTGGTGATAAAAAGGGACCATATAAAATAGGAAATTGAGTACTGGGTACCATAAGCTACCTCGGGTTCATCTGTTGTCCAGGGAAGACCCTGAGCTACAGGAATCCTCATCCTCTCCTCTTCCTCAATCATTTTCCTCAGTTTTTTCATAAACTCTTCCTCTTTGCTTCTCCCTCTTTCCTGCCATAGGTACAATGTCATGAGCTTTACATGTACATAACTAAGTTGAAAGTTCGTTGGTAGCTTTCATTTATTAAGGGATCCCATCATGTTTCAAGCGTTTCGAGCAATTTTGATCATCTCATTCAAAGACAATTGTGTAAGGAGAGTCAAGCTTTATAGTCTCTAGTAATTGCAATGGAGGGAAATGGCTTTTATTTGTCTTTGAACATCTAAAGCAATACCAATCTAAGGTACTTTGTTTACACCACCACACTGATGCTTAAATATCATGTATCACTTTCTAATCCAAGTTAGTGAGGCTGTTCCACAAATAATAGGATTTAATGAGAATATCATACTACTAACCTCCGTTTTTAACATGAATGGCTTCAGAGAAGTAGCTTTCGGCTGCTGCTTTTTCTTCAAGCTTCTTCTCAGCCGGTTACCAGATGATTCAGCACTCTGCAGATATGAAAAAACATGCCAAATGTCCTTCAACCTGGAAAACTTTATGCCCAATTAAAAAGTAGTAGTTTAGAAATCTCACCTTTCGCCTGAACCTCCTGTCACCAGCATAAGTTGTGCTCGAAACAGGGAAGCTGCAAAGGCAACAAAAGTTCAATTGAGGATTAAAACAATAAGATTTCTTCTGGTTTCATCGTAATTGAGGTTTATCTGAAATACTCACTAACCTTTCCTGGCTGCTGTCTAATGAATAAGAACGGCGAGATTCAAGACCCAGGCTCTCTGATGTAAGGAAGAGTTCTGAGGGAGAAAATGAAGAGGAAGAAACCTGCAGTTCTGAATGATTTGCAGCCTGCTGCATTCCAGGTAACTCCCATTTCATTATTCTAGTGTTAACATCATCGGCTTCCTCCGCTTCCTTTTCGTTAGAATCGTCTTCTTTCAGCATTGAAAGTTTCTCAAATTCTTTCACCAAATCCTTTACCTTCCCCGGTGTTAGCGCCAATACACTCCTCCTTGTTTCTTCCAAGAGCCTATCTCTGCTCCTCTTGAGAACTGCATCGTTATTCACCACCGCCTTATCTCCATCCGTAGTCTTTCCACCATTGATGTCAGATAACGCATCAACTCCACTTTTTGGCCTTTCAGATATGCTGTTAATCTTACCTTCTGATTCTACGTTCTCAGATGCAAGATCGTGCTCGTTTATCTTATCAAATACCTCGTCCTGTATATTGCCGCGGTTTTTGAAAAACTCTTCCTGAGACGCACGCAAATTCTCATAGGCCACGCACAAGCACTTGGATTTCCCGATCGCCTTTTGACACTTCTCGCAAACCGCTGCAGCGTTGGCTGTAGAAATCTCTTCCTCATTCCGTAACTTCTTCTTCACGATCACGAACTTCCTCTCTCGAATCTTCTTCTTCGGTGACAGTACATCCTTAACCGCTTGATTCAGTTTCGGATTCTTTGAAGCAGATTTCTTACCGCTCTTCTCAGAATGAGCGATTGCAGGAGACTTGAATAACTTCAATTCCGCACTCGATTCATTCGGATTAACATTCTCGGAGTACCTTAGGTCTTTGTTGGCTTTCAATCTCGCCGATCTATCTTTCCCCGAAGTAACTACGGCAACCACCTTCGGAGTTGAGTCCATCGGGAGATCTGATCGGAAAATGGTTGTAGAAGCGAGAAACGATTGAGGAGCGGGTACAAAATGGATTCATTCACGATTGAGTGAAATGGAAAGGAGAGATTAAAGAAGAACGTTAAGCTTTGCAACGGCTAGTTTTCAGGCCGCGAGTTTTGGATCGTTGGATTGAGCTTTTGAATATCCATCCATCTGGACCGTCGGATTCGCCGTTACTCCAAGAATGGATACTTCTTAACAATGAGATCGGAGGGGATATTTGTTTATTTATTTATTATATATTATGAAAATTAATGAAGGGTTGTTATTCTTAATCACTAATTTGAATGATTTTTTTATTAATATGACTGTTTCTATTCCCCTGATCATATATTATAATCATCGCCATCTGATCAAATTGTATGATGATTTAATAATTAATTGATATTGATCAAAGATGTTTTAAGAATTTTAAAATAAAGTAATTATAAAAACGCTAACAAATATAAATTAGATATACATGCAGTTCTTTTCATATAAAAAATATTAGAAAAGATAATGATGTGCATATCTTCCACTTAATGTCACTAGTATAATGCCTTAACGTAAAATATATATGATGTGATGTTTTACAAGTGAAATATTCGTGGTAATGAATAAATTTAATTTTTCTATATTAAAATATTCAATATTTATTCATGAATAAAATTAACCTTAATTACTGAACTTATTTTGAAAAATAATATTATTATGCTTGCACTTATTCACTAATTTTTTTTATATATTAATTCTAGAATATTTAGTTTTTTGTGTATCTTTAAATATTAATTATTATATCAAAATGTAGTATAAATTGAAAAAAGAATACAAAAATATTTTGAATAATACTAATAAAATAATACTTTTAGTATACATATTTCTATCCTTATTTTACATCACATCATTAATTTTAATTTAAAAAATAAGAAAAAAAATATTATTACATTACTTTTACAGCGCCAGTAAATGTATACTTTTTACTTGGACAGAAGAAATATTTGTAACAAAAATTATATAAATATAAAAATATTTTTAATATTAAATATAACACGCAAAATATAATGTGACTTTAAAGATCAACGGATGGAATAGTTATATGCTACACGTGGAATAATTGCATTCTTCTTTTATCTCTCCTTCCGCTTCCACTCAATCGTGAACGAATCCATTTTGTACACGCTCCTCAATCGTTTCTCGCTTCTACAACCATTTTCCGATCAGATCTCCCGACGGACTCAACTCCGAAGGCGGTTGCGCAGTTACTTCGGGGAAAGATAGACGGCGAGATTGAAAGCCAACAAAGACCTAAGGTACTCCGAGAATGTTAATCCGAATGAATCGAGTGCGGAATTGAAGTTATTCAAGTCTCCTGCAATCGCTCATTCTGAGAAGAGCGGTAAGAAATCTGCTTCAAAGAATCCGAAACTGAATCAAGCGGTTAAGGATGTACTGTCACCGAAGAAGAAGATTCGAGAGAGGAAGTTCGTGATCGTGAAGAAGAAGTTACGGAATGAGGAAGAGATTTCTACAGCCAACGCCGCAGCGGTTTGCGAGAAGTGTCAAAAGGCGATCGGGAAATCCAAGTGCTTGTGCGTGGCCTATGAGAATTTGCGTGCGTCTCAGGAAGAGTTTTTCAAAAACCGCGGCAATATACAGGACGAGGTATTTGATAAGATAAACGAGCACGATCTTGCGTCTGAGAAGGTAGAATCAGAAGGTAAGATTAACAGCACATCTGAAAGGCCAAGAAGTGGAGTTGGTGCGTTATCTGACATCAATGGTGGAAAGACTACGGATGGAGATAAGGCGGTGGTGAATAATGATGCAGTTCTCAAGAGGAGCAGAGATAGGCTCTTGGAAGAAACAAGGAGGAGTGTATTGGCGCTAACACCGGGGAAGGTAAAGGATTTGGTGAAAGAATTTGAGAAACTTTCAATGCTGAAACAAAGATGATTCTAATGGATGGATATTTTATCAAAATCATTTATTGTAACACTCCGCATCGCAAGCCATGCTAAACCAAATATGTCAGGGATCATAAACTGGCATCACAGGTCACGAGTCTTTTCAACTTATTGTCTTTGCTCAATCCATTTAATCTATAATTAATTTTGGATAGTCTAATACTAGTCTATTCACACATTGGAGTTGGCCAAACAACTATCAACTTTGAGGTATTACATTAATATATTATTATTGTCGTTCAAAATATTTTTTTGACAACTTATTGGACTAACGAGCTTGCCGAAGATAGGGTGTATTTCCAATTTCTTTAAAAAAGAAAAAACAAAGATAAAAACAGAAGTAAAAAAATAATAATAAAGAAGGATTACAAGATAATTTTAAAAAAAAGAAACCAAGAAGCAAACGATCAAGAAAAGCAAAAAATCAAATTTCGGGTAGCAACTGCTCATTAAAAAAAAATAGAATTCTATCTTATTCAAACTTTATTATTATTTAAAGATTATTTTATTTCATATATTATTATTAGTCACATAATTCTCTATATTATCTCTTCAAACTATTTGACATAACAGAAATTTTCACGATTTTTCCATTGTTGTAGCCCGTAGGTACGAACGGAATTCATTCGCCATCATCAAAATCTTGGGAGGGGCGGGTTTGCCAACCAAAACACAGTCATGTCACCGGAGTTAAAAATTTTCAATTCCGGTGATAATCTTCATTTTGGATATCACATTGAATTTCCCTACGTCTACTCACACTGCTCTCTTCTCTTGTGAACTAATCAGTACTAACATTTTGCAATCTATTTACATATCTCATAACAACTTCTTTCAATTTTGTTATAATTTTATTTTTGTAACAAGGATTAAATTGCATTATATCATTGTTAATTATTTATAAAGAAATAAGTAAGGAGTAATAATTGTTGTCGCTCAAAATATTTTTTGGTGGCTTATCGGAGCAAAGTCTGCGAAAAATCGGGTATATTCTCAGGTTTTCTCAAAAAAAATTTTGAACAGCGCTCGCAAAAATAATAAATCAAGAAGAGAAGACAAAGATAAAAGAAAAAAAAATAGGTGTATTCTCGGATTTTCTCAAAAAAAATTTTAAACCGTATTCGCAAAAGTAATAAATAAATAAAAAAAAGGACAAATAAAAAAAAGAATTTGAAATCTTGTTGTCAAAAATAATAAATCAAAGAAGATAAAAGAAAAAAAAAAGGTGTATTCTCGGATTTTCTCAAAAAAAATTTTAAACCGTATTCGCAAAAGTAATAAATAAATAAAAAAAAGGACAAATAAAAAAAAGAATTTGAAATCTTGTTGTCAAAAATAATAAATCAAAGAAGATAAAGAAAAATGGAACAAAGATAAAGAAATAAAAAGAATTTGAAATTGTGTTCACAAAAATAATAAATTAAAAAGAAAGAAATTGAAATCATGTTCGCTGTTGGGAAGTGATTTATCAAACAAAACACATTCGAACACTTTAAGGGCCAACTCCCGAAGTGTGGGCGGTTCACATTTATAACTACGTTTCAACAACGAAAAACAATGCATAACATAAAACAACAATAAGACAAAGTGGTTGTTGACCAAGTTCGATTATCAACCAATCTACATCCGGGGTTACCAAATCAGGAAGAATTCTATTAACCAGTGCTGATTAAGGACACAAACAACAACAACTCATTTAACTCTAATGCTAGTTATGGCCAACCCAGGAAAATACCTCCTAACGTTCTCGTTGCTACAAAACGAACACACAACAGAGAATTCCAGAGCTTGATCATTCACTCCGGTTGGAACATCATTAATTATGAACACCTTCGACCTCTCCGGCGAATTTTTCTGTCAAAAACTCATTCAAAACTAAAAGGAATCGATATGGATAGATAGATGATAACTTCGCTCAATATTCTTTTCCTAAAGTATGATCTCCAAATCACACATTACCAATCTTCAACTCTAAATCACTCACGTTCGTGGAATAAAAGATTCCACGCTAATTTTTCTTTGCACCCTAATAGAAGGAGTGAGTTTTCACATTTTGATCTTTCCTCAAATATATGCCAAAATAATTTGGGGGAATTTTCATTCACATTCACAAAAATAATAAATTAAGAAGAAAGAAAAATAAATCAAGAAGAGAGAAAACAATGAGACAAAGAGAAAGGAGAAGAAGATACGAAAATAAAAAGATAGGAAAGGAAGCAAAAAAGGAAAATAAATAGAAAATAAAGAAAAAGAAAAATGCATAAGAAATTGACTGAAAATTATGGTGCTATGAGTAGTGTGTCCATCTTTGGACTATATAATATATATATATATATATATACACACCATGTCTCGACGAATTTCTCTGATTAGGATTTTATTTTATTCATATTTTATCATTATTCAAAAATTATTTTTACTTAATATTATTTCATCTGGGTCGTAATTTGAGTTTTAGCATTTACTTGGGTTGAGCAGTTATATTGTCTTCTCTTGTGTTAAATTCAAATAATATATCTTTTAGATAACAATACTTATATATCAAATTAACATAATATATATATCTATATATAATCGGATTAATATTAATATTATTATTATTATTATATACGCATCAAATCAATGTAATTATTAATTAAACAAACATAAATGTATGTACGTATGTAATTATTAATTAAACAAACTTTAATATTTTATTTGAAAATATTCATGTATGCAATTTGATATTTTCCAAATATATTGTATAAAATTTTATTATTTATAAAATAATACTAATATTCTAAATATTTTATTGAAAAATAATACTAAAAATATTAAATACACATTAAATTTTTTTAATCATATATATTAATTTATATTTTAAAATACGAATATCATTATTCATATAAAATAATAATAAAATAATATTATGGTATATTATTAATAAATCACTAATGCTACCTAAAGAACCATATATAAAAAAATTCATCAGATGTACATGTTGGTTGCAGAGCTAGAAATTTTATTTTGATTAATGTAATTTGTATGAAATTATTAATTACTAAATTTTAGGATAATATTTTAAAATTTAGGTCTCTTTGAATTATACTTTAATTGATTTTTTAAATGCAATTTTTAATTTTTCAGGTAATTCCCAAAAATTCAAATATCCAAAACATTGGATATTTGAGAACTTTTGAATTGAATGAATTTTTCATTAGATATATCTTGAATGAATAATATTTCAACTCTTCCCCTGAGGTCACATTTATCTTATTATTTTATTTGTATATATTTTTTTTATACAAATATCATTTTATTAGTATTATAATAACGTATTAATGAAAATGTTTTTACAATTTTCTATTTAGTTTTAATATAATAATTAATATATAAAAATAAAATCAACACGTAAAAAAATAAATGAATTTTAGAACAAAATGAAGGTAATATTTATTTATCACAAAATATCGTAACAAAATCCTATTTAAATAAATAAATAAATTTCAAATTTAAAATCAAACCAAATACTGTAAATATCAATCAAAACAAAATATCTTATAAAACAAAATTTGCAACAAAAAAATAAAAATAAAAAAGAACAATAACAAAAATCACAACTTCGATAAGAGCATTCCGATCAAACAAAAAAGTAGTGCACAAATTAGAACAGATCGGAACATCCCACCGTGCATGAAATACCAACATAGAGGGCAAAAACGGCTACTTTTAATCAACCATTCCTTTAAGCAATGCCGGTAGAAAATATCGCGACAATGCAGCGGCGGCGGCGTCGTCTCTATAGAGTTCGTCGACGTCTCCAAACCCAATTCCTCCATCGACGGCGGGATTTCACCTTGCCAATCGAAATGTTCTATATACATGTCGACAGGACATGGAATCTCGACGGCATTCCACCTCGAGCCATTCGTCATCGAGCACAAAGAGCTGATTGCACTGTAAGCTTTTTCTAATGCAAAATCAACCACTGTCAGGCGGTCATACCGTCCGTCGACATAAGGATTGATGAGATCTTCGATGAGTTTCGAGGTATTTTGGCGATTGAAAAGTTGCTCTTTTTTAATTTTGAGGTACCTTACGAACTCGTCTTGGATAACTTGTTGCTTTGAATCTCTACATACCGACCCCGATGGATCTGTCCATGTTAGCGTCTCTATTATCCGGAATTTGAATATGAATTTGAAGGTGATCGTGAATCCGACTTCCCCGGTAGTGGTAAACCAATTATTGTCGATTTCGACTAGGCCCGGGTACACAATTAGTTCATAACTTTCATCAAATGGAGGGCCCTGCATCTTCCGTATATAATGTTGCATAATTGAGAATGAATGGGTTGGAGTACCGTCGAGTGTGAACTGATCGTCCATCTCGACTCTATTAGAATAGCTAATAGATAGTATTATGTTAATTTATAAGTGTATATATATATATAATTATATATAAATAAGATTTGATCACTTTCGGATAGTAATTGTGAATTTGACGTCGTAAAAGAAAAAAAAAAAGATTTGGTGAAGACGAATTATTAGGGCGTGGATATATTATATTCACAACATATCCAGAGTGTATTAGAATAGCTAATGGATAGTATTATGTTAATTTGAAAGTGTATATATATATATATATATATTATATGGATAAAATTTTGATACTTTCAGATAACAATTGTCGGTTCTACTTCTGCGGACAATGTTATTTTATTTTTTTGGGCCATGTGGACATATATTATAAGTATGTATATATTATTATATTTAAATTTTATAATATTTTTATGTCTTATAAAATTTTATATTTTTCATCATGATATCATATATATATATATTATATGGATAAAATTTTGATACTTTCAGATAACAATTGTCGGTTCCACTTCTGCGGACAATGTTATTTTATTTTTTTGGGCCATGTGGACATATATTATAAGTATGTATATATTATTATATTTAAATTTTATAATATTTTTATGTCTTATAAAATTTTATATTTTTCATCATGATATCGATATTAAATATGTTTCTATTAATTAAGAATTTAATTATTATTTTAAAGAAATTATTAATAAATTAAATGGTAATAAAAAAAATATTAATTACTTAAGAAAAGATTTTTAATTTTAGAAAGAATACATAATAATGTGGGAAAAAATTAAATAAAATCTTTTGAGATAAGTTTCTTTATTGTAGATTTTAAAAAAAAAATTGAAAAATAATCTCTGTAAAAAAAATAATTATATGAATGATAAAAATAAGTAAAAATACTCATATATTAGTATATTTTTGTTGTGAATGCCCGCCCTTGTTGCCCTCAATGCCGTTTGAGTTACCAAAAAGCAAGAAATTAAAAATTAATTTTAAATTTAAATTTAAAATATTATGAACCTAATTTGGTTGGCGTGTTAGCTTATCATAAATAATATAATCGTGTATAATAATACATGTTTATATTGAAATGGTTTGAAATTGTATTGAAATATAAAATTAATTATTTTTTTATTATGAAATATTGAATATTAAAAGGCAAGTCAATAAAATTATCTAAAATTATTTATTTTTTTATTTTATATAAAAAAATAAATTAAAACAATAAGGGGGATAAATTATTAAAAATACATAATTTTATTATTTTTTAAATTAAAAAGATATATATTTTCGGGGGCCGGGACCCAGGGCCCCCACATAGATTTGTCGATATGTCAACTTCGTTAGTTTTATTAATGGTTGGACTTAAAATTATTTATAATGAAATTAAAATCGAAGAAATTTTATATTGAAACAAAAATTGATATTTTTGGTTATATTGACACCAATTTTTTTTTTATTTTTTTTCATTTAAAAAAATTATAAAGTTTATTAAAAATCACAAACAAATTTTTTTTTTTTTTAAGTATATTAAAAATCACAAACAAATGTATGCTAAATATGGATCCTAAAATTGTGTAGATTTAATGATAATACTGTTTCGAAATAATAATAATGTTTCGAAATAATAATAATAATTTTATGTCATTATTAATAATTTTATACAGTTCGTGGAAACGGCCGTGCTTGGCTGTTGACAGTGGTGGCTGGTGCATGCACCGCGGCAGTCAAAACGCGTATTAATATTTCTCCACCGCACCGTACATTACCATCAAGTACGAGGGTAATATGGTAACTTCACTGCCACTAAAATTCTGCATTTCCATATTGCGTCCTTCTCGGAGGCTCTGCTCTGCAGCGGTGTGAGGGGCGTTATTGTCATTTTACATTTGGATGGATCTCCGGTCCCTTGACGACTATAAATGGAGGTTCGTGGTCTCGCCACCCTCGTGTTCATTCCCATTATTCTCTGTTGATTCTCTCTGCAGATCTCTGTATCTGAAGGAAGCCAATTGCGTAATCGGAGGTAGTTTGTTTGTTATTTGTTATTTGGTATGGTTTTTTTGTTGAATTTTTGTTCTGCGAGCAAATGGCATGTTTTTTTTTCTGGCAAATGTTGATTTATTTGTGTGCGCGCAGTTTATTTGATGTAATTATCTGGAAATGAATGCAATGATTTTATTTTACTTATTATCCTCTGGCATTTTGTTTGGTCGATTGATTTTTTATTTCGTGTGTCTGATTTAAGCAGAATTGGTATCATGGTTTGTGATTCCCGTGATTTAGCTTCTTTTAACGATTTGATCTCTCATTTGGTTGGGAACCTTAGCTTTCATGGTTCCGATGCCTGAATCTTGTTAGATCTTATAAATTCACGAGGTCTATGAATGGATTTGAGTTTCTGATCGTGTGGATTTAGCATAAATTGCGATGTGTAGGTTATTATACGGTTTTTGTGCTCACTACATGCATTAGGATGCTGTTAGTTGTAAATTGTGATAGATCTGTTCATATATAATAAAAATGCATGCATTTCTATACCATTGGAAAATTTGTCATCTGAATTTGCTGCTACTATTATTGTTTTAGCATTTTTTACCATTTGTTCCCTTGGATTTTGAAGCTAGGGGATGATGTGTGTCTAATGGTCATGGTACGTTTCAATGGTAGCTGGAAACTGGGCAATGTTTTTACCGGATAGGCATCAGGATATGATTATTTAGATAGACATAGTCCATTGCATAACGCAATTACAGATTGCACTTTGATGGGAATATACTGATAATATGCTTATCTCATGTTTCCTTTCATGTGCGCTCCGTATGGATCTGTTCTATTTGTTTATATATTTTTGCGTGTCTTACCAAAACATGCTTCCAAAAAATGTAATGTTAATGAGCAAATTTAATGTATTCCCAGGTATCAGCACAAGGTAAAAATGGTGAAGATTTGCTGTATTGGAGCAGGGTATGTGGGAGGCCCTACCATGGCTATGATTGCGCTCAAGTGCCCCTCAATTGAAGTGGCTGTTGTCGATATTTCTGTCCCTAGAATCACTTCCTGGAACAGTGATCAGCTCCCCATCTACGAGCCCGGGCTAGATGATGTAGTTAAGCAGTGCCGAGGCAAGAATTTATTCTTCAGCACAGAAGTGGAGAAACATGTTTGTGAGGCTGACATAGTATTTGTTTCGGTTAATACTCCCACCAAGACTCGCGGTCTTGGTGCTGGCAAAGCTGCTGATTTAACATATTGGGAGAGCGCAGCCCGGATGATCGCTGATGTATCTAAATCTGACAAGATTGTGGTTGAGAAATCCACAGTTCCTGTGAAAACAGCTGAAGCCATTGAAAAAATCTTGAAACACAACAGCAAGGGGATCAAATATCAGATTCTGTCGAACCCCGAGTTTCTTGCTGAGGGGACAGCCATCCAAGACCTCATCGAACCGGACAGGGTTCTCATTGGAGGTAGGGAAACCCCAGATGGCCTTAAAGCAGTTGATACATTGAAAAAAGTTTATGCTCATTGGGTTCCCGAGGATCGGATCATTACCACTAATTTATGGTCCGCCGAACTCTCGAAGCTTGCTGCTAATGCATTCTTGGCTCAAAGAATTTCATCTGTGAATGCCATGTCTGCCCTCTGTGAGGCCACTGGCGCCGATGTCTCCCAAGTGTCGTATGCAATCGGAAAGGACACGAGAATCGGACCCAAGTTCCTCAATTCCAGCGTCGGCTTCGGCGGTTCTTGCTTTCAGAAGGATATTCTCAACTTAGTCTATATTTGCGAATGCAACGGTCTCCCAGAAGTCGCGGAATACTGGAAGCAAGTCATCAAGATCAACGACTATCAGAAGAGCCGCTTCGTCAACCGCATAGTCTCATCCATGTTCAACACCGTTGCCAACAAGAAAATCGCTATCCTCGGGTTCGCCTTCAAGAAAGACACCGGAGACACAAGAGAGACTCCTGCCATTGACGTCTGCTCGGGTCTTCTCCACGACAAGGCCCAGCTGAGCATCTACGATCCTCAGGTGACAGAGGACCAAATCCAACGAGATCTCTCGATGAAAAAGTTCGACTGGGACCATCCCCTCCATCTCCAGCCGATGAGCCCCTCCACGGCTAAGAAAGTCCAATGCGTCTGGGACGCCTACGAGGCTACCAAAGGAGCACACGCCATCTGCATCCTCACCGAGTGGGACGAATTCAAGAAGCTCGATTTCCAGAAGATATACGACAATATGCAGAAACCAGCCTTTGTTTTCGATGGACGGAACATCCTCGACTTTAAAAAGCTCAGGGAAATTGGCTTCATTGCTTATTCGATCGGCAAGCCTCTGGATGCCTGGCTTAAGGACATGCCTGCGTTCGTCTAAACTCGTCGATTCGACCGATCAAAACAGACAACATAGATGACCTCCGGAGCCAGCCAGGTTAGATATGCTTAACTCTAATATATATTCTTTTTTACTCGCTACTACACATTATTGTTGATGTTTCTGTATTTTTTTTCTTTTCGGGATTTGAGATTTGATATATATAGATAGATGGATGGATAGATTATAGATAGGATCATTTGATTCTAAAAATGAACTGGAGATGATGATGCATCATGGCTTCACATTTCTCTGTTCATGGCTACTTAGCCTCTTCCCTCCATGTTCTCCCCTAAGTTTTCCAACTTATAACAATTCTTCATTATTTTTATTTTTTATTTTTACTTGTTTTGTTACTGCTGCTCCTTCACTCCAAACTTGTGTAGATCTGATTATTATTATTGAATTCTCACAAATCACCTAATTTTCACTTCCCACCCAAGTGGAAGGCATTTTCACGATGTGCCAGCATTTTCAATTCAGACTTATATTACATAAAATATAGTATAAATAAATTAAAAGAAATAATAAAAAATATTATTGAAACTTTTAATAATCTTTACACTATTTGTTAACCGTACCGCAAAACTTCTTATATAAATTGAGTAATTTGTGGAATCAAAGAATATGGAACTGTATACTCCTATAATATTGTGAATTTATTAAATTCAAATTTTTAAAGTTTATTATTTAAATATATAAAAAAAATTTTTTTACAAAGTATCACATCAAATATTATTTTAATATCAAATTCAGATTAAATTTTTTTAAAAAAAATTTAATTGAGAAAATCTACATAGAGTGACTTTTGTACTCGTGTGCCACACGCACACACACGTGTGTATCACTGTATGTGAGTGAGTATATACATGCAAGTCTTCGTCTGCTGCTTCTTCGTCGTCTTCTTCTTCTTCTTCTTCCACAACTGATGAAATCAGCAGAGAGGGAGTCTCTTCCATCAATCAGCCATCTGACTTAAACAGAGAGAGATAATACTGCTTGAGATCGAAGGTACGTACTTTCCAATTCCTTTCAATTTGCTTTCCCCCTTTCTCATCACGATTATTTCATTTCACTCATTTCCCCCTTCCCTTTTGAATCTTCTTCAGCTCGGTTGATCTATTAATCCAAGAAAGCTCTGTTCGAGAGTACCAATTAGTTAATAATATCTATCTTATTACTTAGTCGTTCAATTTGCTGTTCTGAATTCGATGATGATCTTGAACCAGTAGTTTCTTGGCACAATCTTCAATTCCATTTCCATTTCCATTTCGAATTCCTAACTGGCATTGAATCGAATTGCAGCAAGCCAGCAACTACTTCTTGCAATGCAATGGGGGGTTACAAAAAAGGGCAGAAATACATATGCAAGATATGCAGCAAAAGCTGTGCCAGTGGCAAGTCTTTGGGAGGCCACATGAGAGTTCACTTAGCCCTAATCTCATCTTCCAAATCTGCATCAAAACACAACCACCATCATCAGCCAAAGATCGCAAACGACAATCAAAACAGCTGCTGCAAACTCGAAGAATCATCCAAGAACCAATCCAACACCGCAGCAGATGAATCACTGATCGTAGAACAGAACAACAACAACAACAGCTATGAATTGAGGGAGAATCCCAAGAGATCTTCCCGACTTCCCGACTCCTCGGTAAATCCCCTTTCTTGTAAGCAATGCGGCAAAGAATTCTCCTCCCTGAAAGCCGTCTCCGGCCACATGAGGAGCCACTCCCATAATCCTCCGGTGGTTGGAAACAGCCATCTCCCGGGGAGCCACAAGTGCGCGAAATGTGATAAAGTGTTTGGGTCAGTAAGAGCTATGTTTGGCCACATGAAATGCCACTCGAAAAAGAGTTCGTCCTCACTGTCAACAATCATCAGCACAGCTGCTGACCATGACTTGCCGGAGTTCAACAATTTGTGCCACATTCGTCGTAAAAGATCAAGAATCAAGTATAAGACTAGCCCGAATCCTTGGCAAGACGACGAAGAAGATGTGGCTGAGAGCTTGATCATGCTTTCGAAAGGTGTGATGAGCTTCGGATCGAATCCAGATTCAAATGAGAACAAGAACTCTGCTGCTGCAGGGAGTGATGTCTGTTGTGTCGATGATTATCGAAGTTGTGACTGCTCCGAATGATCGATGGAGGTAAGGGCAGAAGAGCCTCTTCTGGTTTTGATAACAAGTGTTTGTTCTCTTCATTAGAATGATCTGTTGAAGGATCTAATGGGAACTAATTGATCAGGTTCAATGAGTTTTGTTTGCTTTTTTTGCCATACTTACAAATTCATCGCTGTAGAATGAATAAAATGTATGTTTCTTTGAATGTTAGTACATACGCTTTTGCATATATATATATATATATATAGAAGTGGTCTCGTAAGGGATGGCTTGGGGATCAACTCTGACTGACAGGTAATGATTCAAATCTCCAAACGCTTTTATATTATTTGTTATTTGCTTTGTCAGATTTAATTTGACCGAAGTTTACCTAGTGCACTTTTTCGAATAGTGAGATATCGAAATAAAAATATTGAACACTTAATGTAGAACTAGCAAAGATATACACAACTCAAAAACCTGATAGCCCGAAAATTTCGATAATGAACTGGACCGGTAATATATATTATAATTGTATTAACTAATAAATTAGTGACAAAAATAGAATTATGAGTTAAGGTTGTTATCTTACTTTCATCTCCCACAATAATAATAATAATAACAAAAAAGAGTTATTGAGGTATATGGCATGGAGAGAGTATTTTCTTTATATTATATGGAATATAATTTATATATTGTCTTATTGATCGGATTTATATTGTGCTAAATTTTGTATATGAACATAGTATATTGTCTTAAACTATTTAACAGTATATATATATACACAATATTCAGCTCACTGTGTGAGACTCAAAATAGGAAAACGGTTCTTAAAATCATTTGTGGGTGCGATTGGAGTTTTCAAAATCCCTAAATTGATGGTGGCTGCCGCCGGCCGGGGTCCGCCATTGCCGCGTGCTCTGTCGCCGGTCTTCTCAACCGCCGTCTCGCAATACGAGTCGCTGCTGCACCGCTGCGCCACCGCCGGAAAATCCCTGGCCACCACGGAGAAGCTTCACGGCCGCTCGATCACTTTCGGCCTCATCTCCAATTACATCCTTTCTCTACTGACCTCCGCCTACGCCCTCTGCGGCCATTTACCCTATGCCCGCAAACTGTTCGACGAATTGCCCAAGAAGACTGCGATTGCTTGCAAAAGCATGATAAGAATGTACGCCGAGAATGGGCGTCCCCGCGACGCCCTCCACCTGTTTGTCGAAACACGGGCGTGTTATTCCAACACGGCCGATGAGTATACTTACCCCTTCGTGCTCCGGGCGTGTCGGGACTTGGCTATGGTGGAAGTTGGAATGGTGATCCATGGATTGACGATTAAGAGTGGCTCTGCGTCGGCGACATTCGTCAGGAACTCGCTGCTCGCCATGTACATGAGCTGCGGCGACAGAGAAGGAGCTTCGAGAGTGTTTGCTGCAATGGAGACGAAGACCGCCGTGTCATGGAACACGATGATCAGTGGCTGCTTTAGGAACGGCAGTGCGAAGGAGGCTTTGATGGTTTTCGACGCCATGGTGGAGAGCGATGCCGATGCAATCGATTCTGTGACGGCACTGTCGGCTCTGCCGGCTTGCGGACATCTGAAAGACTTGCAGTCGGGACGACGCATTCATCGTTTGGTCGAAAGTAAAGGGATCACGAAAAGAATAGCCGTTCAGAATGCACTTATCGATATGTACGTCAAGTGCGGAGAAATGGATTCGGCGCGCGGCGTTTTCGATGGAATGGCGGAACGAGACGTCGTGACATGGACTAGTGTGATCAACGGCTACATTTCCGTAGGCGATACGAATGGTGCGTTGGAGATGTTCGGTTTAATGCAAGTCGAAGGCGTGACACCAAACGAGGTTACATTAGCTTCGCTTACGGCGATGTGTGCTGCTTCCCGCGATTTAAATCTCGGGAAATGCTTGCACGGATGGACCGTCCGTCGTGAGGTCGAATGCGACGTTAACGTCGAAACTGCGCTGATCGATATGTACGCGAAATGCGGCCGTATGAACCTTAGCTTGAGAGTGTTTAATACGACTTCGAAAAAGGACACAACGCCGTGGAGCGCAATTTTCTCCGGGTACATTCACAACAAGATGGCTGCCGAAGCGATTGATCTTTTTAAACTAATGCAGAGGGAAGGGACGAGACCGGACGAGGCGACATGGAAGAGCCTCCTGCCGGCGTACGCCGTCGAAGCTGATATGCGTCGAGCTATGAGCATCCACGGATACTTGCTGCGATCGGGATTCGTTGGCAAACCGGACATCATAACGACGTTAATGGATATATACGCGAAATGCGGATGCCTACGCTACGCGCATGACCTCTTCGACGCTCTCCCGGCAAAAAATCGGGACATCGTCGCGTGGAGCGTGATCATTGCCGGTTACGGGAAGCACGGGCAAGGCCAGCTCGTGCTGTCTCTCTTCGACAGGATGGTCGAGTCGGGCGTCGAGCCGAACGAGATAACGTTTACGTCGGTGCTGCATGCATGCGGGCACGCGGGATTGGTCAACGACGGGTTGAAGTTGTTCGAGTTCATGCAGCGAAAGTCACCGGAGATTCTTCGGATGGATCATTACACGTGCATTGTCGATCTTCTCGGCCGGGCTGGCCGGGTCGAGGAAGCGTATGCCGTGATTCGTTCGATGGGTTTCGAGCCCAGCCACGCCGTTTGGGGGGCGCTGCTGGGGGCGTGCGCCATACACGAAAATGTGGAGCTCGGGGAGGTGGCGGCTGGGTGGCTGTTCAAGCTGGAGCCGGAGAACACCGGGAATTATGTGCTGATGGGGAATATATACTCGGCGGCCGGAAGGTTTGGCGCGGCCGAGGAGATGAGGCGGATGATGGACGGCGTTGGACTAATTAAAGCTCCGGCGAATAGTGTCGCAGCTTAAGGTTGAAGAGACGATGGATCGGGATCAAGTAAAAGTTCTGGTGTGTTTTTTTACCCAAATTTCATATTTATGTTATTTGAATTTTGGGTTTTCAAATATATATATTTTTTTAAAAAAAAGTATTTCTAAGGTATATTATTTTAATATCAAAGAGTTATCAAACTCCATAAAAGAATACACCCGATTGTTGAAATTAAATATATTAAAGCTTTTAAAGTAAGTTCGTAAAGATTCACAAGAAAAAAATTGTGGGTGTATTTTGTTTCGGAGGTTTTGATTTTTGTATTGTACTTTGAATTGGTAAAAATTTTGAATGAATTTTTGAGATAATATATTGAGGGGGTGTTTGGCCAATAACTTTTTGTATTGAACACGTTTAACCAATTAAAAAGCTAATTTAGGGGTGTTTGACAAATAATTTTTTTTAAGAGTTTTTAGCGAACAATTTTTAGTTGTTTGACCAGTCAAAAAGTTAATTTAGGTGTCCGGTAAATTAGCTTTTTGGAATAGTTTTTTGGACCCAAAAAGCTAATTTCTGAAAAGCTAACTTACCCATCGTTTTGAAATAGTTTTTTCCGAAAAAAATTTTTATTCCTTATATGCCCTTAAAAATTTATTATGCATTTTACACAAATAAATATATTTTGATTATATTAGAATATTTTATTATAATATAGTTTTACTTTTATAAATTTAAAATGATTAATTTTTATATAAAAATTATTTTAATTGTAAAATATATAAATTTATTAAAATCAACATAAAATATAAAATATAAATATTAATAATTTATTTTTATATTAAAATTACATTATATAAATTTTATACTAAAAATAAATTAAATTTATTGAAAATTATAAATATAATGAACTAATCGATAACTAACATAATAAATATATACACGAAAAAATTATTATTTTATATTTTACATCATTTTCAATAGAAAAAACTATTTATATATTTTAATAAAAATATATTATTTTTTAAATCTAACTGTAATAAAAATAAATATTTTTATAACACTTTTACAATTTTCAATAACTAATAACAAATTTTTTTAAACATTCTAGACTCAAAAGAACATAATTGAATATATTATAAACAAAAATAAAATAGAAATGTCCTCAATTGTCATTTTTACGTATAAACAACTAATATCAAACTGTTATTTTACCAAACATTTTAATACAAACAGCTAATCGAATCAGCTAATATAACCAGCTAACAGTTATCAGCAATGTATTATTAATTTTTAATATGATATAAAAATAGAAAATATATATTTGATTTATATTTAAAACAAATCAAATTAATAAACAATAAAAATATTATAAAATTTGATAAAAAAATATACATCTTCAAGTAAATATGGGTGTGTTTCTTTCCAAAAAAAAACATTATATTTCTACTTTTCACAATAAAATATATAAATTTAATACATGTCAATGTTCCGATTTGTCTTCGAGTCTATTTGTAAAAGATATTTTTATATCTGTTGTTTTGGGTCGGGTTTCAGGTGTGATCAAGTCCAAATATAATCGAGTCCAACTCGGTATCGGGTCCAATCATATACATTCGGGTGAGGGTTGGATCCAACTATATATATTTGGGTCGAGTCTTGGAAATTTTATATTATAATATAAAAAAAAAAACGAAAAAATAGATACATATACATTCATGGTCAAAATTTATTATTATTATTATTATTAGTTTAACTATTTTTCCATGATTCGCTGAACGATGATCATAATATAAGCATCCCGAAATAAAGCAATCGCCAGTTTCTCTCTCTGCGCATTCCGACGGCCGATCCAGAGAGAGAAACCGTCGCATCATACGCACACCGGAGACGGCAGCGGAATTTGCCGTCACTCAGGGATTATTCATTCGCAATAATTTTGAATTCGATGTATTAGTGTTATCTCGATTAGTTTATTTAGTCATTCATTTATGCGAGCTGTAACTGGATTCCGTGGAACGATCTGAAACCCTAGATTTTGTAGTCCTTTTTTTTTTGTTTTATGTTTTTCCTTATTCTTTGGTTGCTGAAATTTTCCGAATCTAGCGAGGGAGAGATTAAGTTTTGTTGAATATCTGATGCGGCGGATCTGATGTTCAGGAGCGCGGTGTTGATTTTGGGAGAATTTTCAGGACGTGTGTAGGAAAAGTAATAAGGTTCGTGGAATTGCAAGAAAGTGAAAAGGGGATAGTGATTGGGGAGGATGATGCAGGTGCATTTCTCACCTAGCATGAGAAGTATAACGATATCAAGTGGCAGTGGAGGAAATGGAAATGGAGGCGCGGATTTGATGAAGATCAAGGTTGCTGCACGTCACATTTCGTATCGCACGCTCTTCCACTCCATTCTGATTCTTGCATTTCTGTTGCCATTTGTATTCATTCTCACCGCCCTTGTCACTCTAGAAGGCGTCAACAAGTGTTCCTCAATAGGTAATTTTACTGTCTTTCTTACCTCCTTTTGCCACTGTTGTTGTTGTTGTTCAATTTTGTTCACTTAGATGTTGATTTTATGTGTGGCCTCTGCACGTGTTTATGTGCATGAATGTATAAATTCTGTTATGGAAGTCTATTTGTTCCTGATTCATCAAGTTAGGTTGGTTGGTGTTGGATCTTATTTCGCAACTGAACTGAAATGAACTTCCGTGAGAAAAGACTTAAAAAAAACTTGTGCCCCTGAGGCTTAGCACGGGCCAGGGCCGAGGGATTGGGTCTTTAGGGCTTTTGTAAGGTCGTCAACCTGCTTTGTACAGAACCGACGGGGAACTACCAAGCCAAATCGAGCTATTTGTCGAAGTGGTATACTATTAACTTTTATACGAGATGTAACCCCTATGCCACATAATGGCTGTAGACCCCCGAAAAAAAGACGTGTGTAAGGTAGTTCGGTGTAAGGTACGTCGTCCGGTAATGGCCCTTGATAACGAAAAATAGAACTGACCATTAGGAGTAGATTTTGACATGAATAGGTGTGAGCTTGATCTAGTGTTTTAGTCATAGTGAGTAACCCGTCGAGAAGAGGAGCAAGTAGGGTAGTGCCCTCTCATTCGAGTTACATCCATGCAAATAAATGTAATGCTTTGGGTTGTTTTCATAGAACTTTTTGATGTAAATCTTTGTAAGTGATCAGGATTAGGAATTTGGACTTGGTTTTCTGTAATAGAATCTTTCATTCAAAATTTTCTTGTCTCAATGTTTTGTCAATTTGTCAATTCACATAATTACCCTCTTGTGTGGCAATTTTGCTGTTAACAAGCTGAACTGTTGTGCATTTATCTGTTCTGCCCTCACTTTACAACTCCAAATCTAGACTTTTTCAAGCATATGTGCATGGGAATTTGCCCCTCAGGGAATGAAGAATAAACGCTGATTAATGTGATTATTCCAAGTTTATAAATGTTTACCTAGCTAATTATACACTGTTCTTCATCCAAGCTATTTTTGCTGCTGTGAACAGTAAGACAATTTGCTCCTTCTCAGTTCCTTTCGCTAGTTCCTGCATTTTCATGCTAGCATTGCTATTATATCAAAGCTACATTGCTTAAGATGCGGTGAAAATCTAATGAAGATAATTGACTGGATAATTAAATTTAGTTGTAGCAACTAGCAAAGCAGTTCTATTAACTGCTGTGAATTCCAGCCAAATTGAGTTGCATGATAACAATTGGATGAAAATGCTCTAGGTCATTTACTGAAGCATTTCCCCACTTCTTTACAGATTGCTTAGGAAGAAGGCTTGGGCCAAAATTTCTTGGTAGAACAAGTGATTCTGGAGTAAGTTATTAGATCTAAAATTCCTGCGTCAGATTACGTTCTTAATATTCTGTTGAGGTCATTTCTTCTTCTGAGAATGCCTTAACATGCTAAATTTTTGCCCAATGACAGAGGCTGGTGAAGGACTTTGTTAAGATCATGAATCAAGTGAACTCAGAGAGAGTCCCCGATGGTCTAAAGCTCCCAGAATCTTTTAATCAGCTTGTTGCTGAAATGAAAAATAACAAATACAGTGCCAAGGAGTTTGCTTTAATTTTGAAAGGAATGGTATGTGTTTGTGTTCCCTGGCTTTTTCTATCTCCATACATAATTTATTTCTATATTGGTACACCTGTTTTTGTGTGCTTTTTTACCCCCTCCTGACAAGTATACGGCTTGCTTGTGAGCAGTATTACTCATTCCTAAACTTATTCAAATAATAAATTGCAAAAGTATCTTAAGCTTGGCTAAACTTCATAATCTTTTCTTAGCAAAATCTTACTCACCATTGTGTACTATTTCCTTTTTCTTTTAATAAGCTTTTTGATTTTATGCAGCAACTGCATATATTGATTTAAATCAACTGATTAAAATGAGATCATAGTATTTTCTTGTTTTTTTTTTTTTCTTTTTTCCAACTTTCTGGCCTAATTCATGATGATATGCATGTGAAAGACTTTAATGGCATTTGATGTTGCAAGGAAAGAAATACATATGTTTATTTTATTATTATTATTTTTTCTCACATGCCATTTCATGAGACGAACAACAAAATTTTTAATGGGTGATATTTTAGGTTTTCCTTTGCAAATTTTGATGCTGCCAATGGATGTGTGCATGGAAAGTTTATTATCTGACCTCTGGCAGGCTATGTTTCTTGAATGCTTTTATATTGAAGATTCTTCTTTTGAGAAGTATTCGTCCGCATATTTAAATCTTAATTAAAATGTTTCTTTCTAAAATTCTACATTTATCACTCATCAGATGCCCTATATTGATCTTTTTCATTCTTGCAATTCTTTAAAGTGAGTTATATCCCCCCTTTAATTATCCCACAGAAAACTTAATATTTTCCTGTAACAGATGGAGAATTCCGAGAGGGAAATCAGGGAATCAAAGTTCTCTGAGTTGATGAATAAGCATTTTGCAGCTAGTTCCATCCCTAAAAGCATTCACTGCCTTTCATTGAGGTTGACTGATGAATATTCTTCGAATGCTCATGCGCGGAAGCAGTTACCTTCCCCGGAGTTACTTCATTTGCTCTCAGATAACTCCTACCATCACTTTGTAGTTTCAACTGACAACATTCTTGCTGCTTCGGTTGTTGTCTCATCTGTAGTGCAGTCATCTGTATCCCCTGAAAAGATTGTTTTCCATGTCATTACTGACAAGAAAACTTATGCCGGTATGCATGCTTGGTTTGCTCTAAATCCTCCACATCCTGCTATAGTTGAGGTTAAAGGTGTGCATCAATTTGATTGGTTAACAAGAGAGAATGTCCCAGTTCTTGAAGCTGTTGAGAGCCACAACGAAATCAGGAATTACTACCATGGAAATCATATTGCTGGGGCTAATCTTACTGATACAACACCGCGAACCTTTGCCTCCAAATTACAGGCCAGGAGTCCCAAATATATCTCCTTGCTGAACCATCTCCGCATATATCTTCCAGAGGTAATCACTTACTATTGAAAATGCTCATCTGACTTTCTATACAAATTTATGTTACTGCTAGATGGTCATAATTCATTTGTCATTGTTGCAAGCCCACATTATGCATACGGTGCTAGGTTTTTCATTTTTAACCCTTGTCGGACCTTAACTAGAAAAGCCCCAATACTAGGATGTACTAAATTGATAGGAATTTTCTTCCCTTGTTGCCCTTGATACAATCCTTGATGTGATGCCTAGGCATTTAGATCGAACCAATGTGTTTCACCATGCTCAATAGTTAACAGTCAGTTTTTCTGCTGATATATATATATATATATATTTATCAAATAATTTGAATTTTATGAGTTAGAGAAAGCATTGGATTGATCTGTGCTTTAGTGTATAGTTGCTTGCCAAATAGTTTTATTAATTATAGCTGGCATGGAATTTATTTAATTATGCTCAATGTTGAGAATAATATTGTCATTCTTTGCAGCTATTCCCAAACCTTGACAAAGTGGTTTTCTTAGACGATGATGTAGTGATTCAGCGAGATCTGTCTCCTCTATGGGACATTGATCTTAATGGAAAAGTTAATGGAGCTGTTGAAACTTGTAAGGGTGAAGACAAGTGGGTTATGTCTAAGCGATTTAGGAACTATTTCAATTTCTCGCACCCACTTATTGCAAACAACTTGAATCCCGATCAATGTGCGTGGGCGTATGGCATGAATATTTTTGATTTACAAGCTTGGAGAAAGACAAATATCACAGATACTTATCACTCTTGGCTTAAGGAGGTACGGTAAATTGTTGTTCTCTAATATCATGTCTAATATAAACGTGCTCTCTTATTCAAATATCATAGGGTTATATTTTGGCAGTCTTCTAAGAGTTTCCTGACAACATGACCCTATGCAATTGAAGCATTAGCTAATAGCTAGTTTGTTCATTTGATAAATTTTTTCTTATTCAAATATCATTTATATTTGGCACTCTCAACATGATTTGGTAGTTTTCAGTATTATAACTACTCTTACCATGGGTTAGTCATTTTGTTGCAGAATCTAAAGTCAAATCTCACATTATGGAAACTCGGAACTCTTCCTCCGGCCTTGATTGCATTTAAGGGTCATGTTCATACAATTGAACCCTCGTGGCACATGCTCGGGTTGGGCTATCAGAGTAATACCAACATTGAGCATGTGAAAAGGGCTGCCGTAATTCACTACAACGGCCAATCAAAACCTTGGCTGGAGATTGGATTTGAACATCTCCGGCCATTCTGGACCAAGTACGTTAACTACTCTAATGATTTCGTAAGGAATTGCCACATCTTGGAGTAGAAATAAACCAACAAGGCACTATCCGGAGAAACTATGGGACAAAAGATGAAAACATTTCGATTCCGTCCTTACAGGCTGTATTACTTTTGTCAGTATTTCGTGAAGAAACAGGGAATTTAAAGAGCATACCATATCAAAGAAAACACCCTCGATGGCAAGGTATAAGTGTCCCATTTTCGAAGAAAGAGGATTCAAACAGACAGGCTTGGGCAATTGGTATTTTGAGATTCATTCTTTCAGTTCATTTGTTGATTATTTTCTGACCTCACAGGTTGAGCGTGCTTCTCGACTCTACCTTGGTGCTCCTAAGAGTAACATCATCGTGTACTAAAACTCGGGAATGCTTGTTTTAGTACATGAAAGAAAATATCCCGGAAAACAGTTAAAGGTCTTTAAGCCACATTGGCTGTGGAGATTAAATTCTTTTACTTACCATTTTCTTCTATTGAGACTTTGGTGCTTTTATCCCTCCCTCATTTTTGGTTTTGTGTTGCCAATTGGCATTCTTCTTCTAAATTGAGTTATGGAGCAGTTCACATTCACATTCACATTCACATACATATATGCATTCCTTTCCTGATGGTATAACATTTACAGCTTATGCAGAGGTCGGTCTATCATTCATTCATGTGTGTATGCATGTATATACCATATACTGATACATATTACATTCATGGGATATATGTTTTAGGTTAAATAATTATTTTTAAATTGTGAATTTGCCTTCTTTTTTCGCAAAAGGTAGATTTTAAATAAAAACATTTTTATATAATAATCTGATTTTAAACATTGTTTTTGATATGATATTTTTAATAAAGAAAATTATAAAATTTGCAAACAAAGGGTGTGTTTGTTTAGTTTTTAAATTTGAGAGATAAAAAAAATTGATAATATAAAAATAATATTTTCAATTTAATTTTTTGTTTCTGGTGAAATAATAATATATATTGTGCTGATTATGAATTATATTAAATGTCAATGGAATATTATTAGGCAAACAAACTCAGATACTTGCGTTTAATTATTTAATTATTTATTTTCTTACTATGTAATTTCTATGATTTCATATAAAAAAATATATATTATTTTATTTAAAAAAAATATTATTGCGTTCAACAGTTGTTATTGAAATTCATAATGCTAACATATACCATTTGTAGGAAAAATTCAATTCATTGCATCGATCCCCTATTATAACATGTATTTTACTACTCCTCAGCTTAGGTATTTAGTGAAAATAATTATTATTTAATAAAAATAATTTTAAATTAAAATAAAAATAACTAATTAGTGTAATTAAAATTGAAAAAAATTAATTTTAAAATTTTAAAATTAAAATTAAAATGTATAATATTTTTTCGGAAAAAAAAAATGATAATAAATGAGATAGATAGAAATAAAAAGGTGACACCGTAAGCGGAGCTGAGGGAGTATCTAGAAAGAAATGGTTTAAGGTGGTTCATCATCTTTGCTGCTGCTTTTTTAGGGTAAACGATTCCTCTGCTCCATTATAGGCTTAATGATGCGATAAGCCTAAAATATATACATGAAATAATTTGTTCCCTTTGAAAATACTACTTACTATATCTTAATTTAATAACTGCCACTGCGACTGATATGTTTTGATTCCATCTCATTTCTTTATTTTAATAACGAATCTGATCCACAGTCCGTCCATAGCTCTAATTATGTATGTATATTCCAGAGGCTAAATAATTTGCCATTTGGCTAATCTCAGCAATTTACAAATCTCGAAGAAGCTACAATCGACTTAGTAAGCGGTGGCTAATAATATGTTTGTTTGGACGATTGTCCAAAATTTTCACTATTCATCATTTTTTTTTAAAAAAAAAAAAATCAAATCAAACACTTAATTTTTATTTTATATTATACTAAAAATAAATTTTACATTTAAAACATCACATCACTATTTATTTATATTACGATCATACAACTATTTTAATTCAAAATTTTTACTAATCAAATATCAACTCAAAATCCAGACCCAAACAAAAGTGGCTTTCAATGGATATTTCCCCGTAGAAGTTTGGCAGACCAAACCAAAAGTTTATCGACTATAATAATTATAATAATAATCACTGAGCTTTTGGTTTCCCAATTTTCAATTGCTGGGCCTAAATAAAGTAATTACTTGAGCATTTGGTTTATATTGATTGTGCACTTCCTCCCTTTTACATCCACTTGGGCTCTCTTTTGGTGCTTCTTATTGAAACAACATACAACCACTTCAAAAAGAAGAAGCAGAAGAAACTCCAGATCAGGTAATTTTGGTACCTTTCAATCACACACAGTAGGTGAAAAGGGAAGATTGGAAATCATTTTGATAATCATTATTATATTATTGTCTGTTCTTGATTCCATTTGTGGGGTTTGACTTTTTATTATTAGTTGATTGATTGAGAGATAGAGAGAGAAATATCATCTCTCAATCCATCAATCTATGCACACACACACACACGTGTATGTGTGTGTAGTTAATCAATGGCTAAGAGCCACTCTGAGAAGAATTATTATTCTGGGCTGGGCAGGGCAGGGCAGAAGAAGAAGAGCTGGTGAGATTCCTGCATCACACTTTTCTTTAATTGGCTTCTCTTTCAGTATCCCTTTGTGCCATAGTGGAGTTACAGTAGATCATCATCTGTATCTATATCTATATCTATACACACACATATATATATATACATATCCAACCCCCCCTCCCCCACCCACCCCATCTTTCAGATTCCTTGCTACAGGGCTTCCATAGGATTGGATTGGGAAGCCTTTATTTGTTGTGTTTTCTAGCAGTGCCTCACTTCCCAATATGCATAAAATTCTCTCCAATCCATTTAATACTAATAATAAAATAAATTGTATTGTACATCAGATGCTCCAGATAACCCTAATCATAATCTGCTGTATTTATTCCTTTGGATGTTTGTGGGCATCTCATCTCAGCCAACTTGTGCTCCATTAATTCTAAAACCATATATACTTTCAGATGCACAGAAAAAAGAAGGGCTGGCTCTCTGATTGAATCCTAACATCTAAAGACAACTTAGTGTGGAGGAATTCTTGGTCTGAACGAGTGTAAGAAAAGGGCAGTCGTTTTCGAGTTTTTTGAAGATGTTGGGAGGGCAAGATCAGCTGGAAATCAAGTTTAGATTGACCGATGGATCCGATATCGGCCCAAGAAACTTCCCTGCTGCTACTAGTGTGGCTACCTTGAAGGAGAATATCATAGCTCAGTGGCCTAAAGGTTCTTTGAATCTTCATAGTTTGGTTATTCTTACTCTAAAGCTTTTATTTCAGATAAGTGATCACTTTTTGTGATTTAAGTAAATGTAATTTGTACTAATTGTGTTATCTGATATTAGAGCCTAGGCTGTCCTAGAGGTTTCCTGAAAATAAAATCTCGGTTTCGCGCTAGGTTCTTCTTTGTCTGTGACTTTATGTTCATGTTTTCGATTGCCTATGTTGCTAAATGCTAAACAGAGTTTTCGCCTATTCTTAAGCAGAGAAAGAAAATGGTCCGCGAACAGTTAAGGACATCAAGTTAATCAGTGCAGGAAGAATACTAGAGAACAATAGGACTGTCGGGGAATGTAGGAGCCCGTTAGGTGATGTTCCGGGAGTTACAACTATGCATGTTGTTGTTCAACCACCTACGGAAAAGGGTAAGGTTTAACCTGTTTATCTATCTATTCACAGAAGACTGATATGTAAAGTTTTGAGAAAAAATTAATTTTCATCCCATAAAATGACATTCCTTACTATTTTGCACGTGACGTGACATTCACTGTGACTGTCGCGTGCAGCTATAGAATTGTTAAGAGTGATGGCGAATGAGATATTAAACTATTTCAATAATCTATATAGGGTTCAATTAAAAAGGACCAAAATAATCAAAGGATTCACTTAGGAGACCAAAACTATAGATTCAGATCTCTAAGATATCAATGTCGTGTTTGTCTAACTAGTGAGTGTCTGGTTATATCTGTGTTCACTGCCTTAGCTCTTTTTTTCCACTTATTTTTCTTCTCATTGAAGTGTACTGATCATTACTTAACAGAAATAAAATTGGCAAGTGATCCTAAGCAGAACAAATGCTTATGTACCATACTATAAGAGACACGAGACATATACTAGTTCCAGGTTAGCAGTTCCTATTGATGGTTGTTTGTTTAGATTTGCTCGTGTTAAACTAACTTATTCCCCACTCCTATCTTTTCAGATTTTCTGCACAGTTTCTGGGGAGAGTTAAAGTCAGACTAGTTATGTTCAGACAAAGCAATTGGAAACATGCTGAGGCTTGATCAAACATAATATGAAGCTTAGGCAAGGCAAGAGAACAAGCATGTAATAATATTCATGAAATATCTCAGAGAATAATCGATTACATGCTTGAAAGATGCCAAACTACAGAGTTCATTTAAAACAGTGTGTTGATGCTAGACATTTCTATTTATTGAAAGTCTGTTATACATAGTGGTTGATCGATTATATATCAAGATTCGTTTGCTTCAGCCATCATCTATAATTCTATATAAGCTTCATTATTTCCAATATATATTTTTTTAATCTCATCAACTAAGCTTAATTTGAGCCCTTGAAGATTGAATCAGATTTATTGGTATTATAAATGTTTAAAAGACGTTTTAAATATGAACATCACATACAGTATCGGGCAATATAACAGCATTTCTTGGATGGTAAAATTTGAAGCACATAAAGCTGTGATATGTTTTGAATTTGATTACCTTTTGGGTAGACTTTGCAGCATTAAAGCCCTCGTTTTGCCATCAGGTTTCAGGCCAATCTCCCGCATTCTCGTGTACAGTTTTCTCGCCAAATCCGTCTTTCTCCTCAAGCACAAGCCCTGAATAGCAGCATTATATACTGATCCATTGGGTGCCACCTGCGAAATATCTCGAATGAATTAATCACAGATCTAACAAAGCAACTGAAAAGAATCTCAAGACTCACGTTAAGAATTTCCTCCATTTCATTCCAAAGGGATCCCCAAATACAACCTCGTATTAATGACATCTGAGTAAATATGTCAGGCAACTTATTCTTCAGAACCATGTGATCATAAACTTGCAACGCAATCTTGGGCTTCCTTGCAGACTCACAAGCTGCAATAACAAGATTATACGATGTAATAGAAACATGAAACCCAGAAGCTTCCATCTCCCACAGTAGTTGCATAGCACGGTCCCATAATCCAAGCTTCTTGCAAGACATCAAGCAAGTGTTGTATATATGCAGATTCAAGATGGAGCCATGCTCTTTTCTGATGTGCTCAAAGAGAAGAAGAGCTTCATCGTGTTGATTTGCCCTGTTCAATGCACCAAGGAGTGCATTCCAGGTGTATGCATCGGGAGTGTGCCCTAATGCCTTTACAAGACCATAGACATTAAATGCAAGCTCAACCTGAGATGCTTTTCCAAGAGAATTGATCAAAGCATTACAAGCTGTTAGACTGGGCTTCATATTGCTATATAAGAAACTCTGCAGGATGTTGAGTGCTATATCCCACTTACCCTCCCTTGTACAAGCTCCAATAATTGCTTCCATAGCATCATCACTGGGAGTTAACCCATTTTGAATCATCTCATGATATGCATCCAGAGCCAGTTCATTCTGACCACATCGAACAAACGTGCAAACTAAAATTCGGTATGTGACCAGGGTGCCCACATGGCCACTTTTTTGCAAGCCCCTCCACATTCTCTCTGCCTGAACCCAATTGTTTTCTTTACTAAATATAGCTATCATTGTGCTGTAAACAAGTGTATCCAAACAAGCCTCAGTTTTATTGTCCTTTTTGGCTTCCTCAAATATACTCAACGCCTTATCACTACCCCAAGCATTGGCAACTGCTTTTAAAATCAAGCTGTAAGTGTGGCCAGTGATGATCTCCCTTGACTTTACAAGCTGAAATATTTCCATAGCAACATCTAGTTTTCCACTCCTCAAGAGAGAGGAAATAAGTGAATTACAAGCATGTGAATTAGGGAGCAGACCGGAAGACACCATTGACCTATGCAATGCTAATGCACTTCTCACTTTATTTGTTCGACTGAGCTTCAAAATCCTCTTTGATAATATCTCCTCATTCCTCTCCTCCAAGTAATACATCTCATTCTCAGCCTCATCATTGATTTTCGCAGGATTCCTTGAATCACTCTCGGCATGATTTTGATCTTCCAATTCTTGATCAGGCAAACTACTCCATGGCGGCAATATCTGCTGTGGGTAATTCTCACTGACTCTTTCCCCTTCACAAAACAAATCAAACCCTAGACTCGCAACCGCATTAGGTTTTAGAAACGAATTATCAATTTCTACGGACTTGCACATTAAAAATGTTTCTTGAATCCTCTGTTCACCAGATCCTGGCCGTGTGTCGCACCTTGACCTCTCAGCTAAAGCAACCACTCTACCGACATGAATTTTGGAAAAATGCGGCTTAAATCTCAGGTTCCAGCAATAAGAAACAGAAGAACAACCAATACATTGAAAATGAATTCCAAAATCACGCCTTATTGAACAGTGATGCGAGGAGGCTTGACGGTTACTCAAGTACGTGGAAGCAGAACATGCTGGAGGATTTCTCAGAACCTCCACCATTATCATATCCAACACAAAAGCGGAAAATACAAGAGTCCAGATACTCAGTCCTCTTTACTGAAGCAAGCAACGCTCAATAATCCAATTCCTAGAAACAACTCTTCAGAAGATCAAAATAAAGAACTGTACCTCAAGTAAGCTGCAGACAAATTCCATATCCAAGCAACTCGGCGAAGAAATCAGGCCAAGAGAACATAATCCGCTTCCTTTTCGGGAGAAGGAACCATGAGAGCAAACCAACTGAAACCGTGGTGGGAAAAATGAACACACACAACAAATATCTCACAGGAGAAGATAAAATTATAACAACTATAAAAACTAACGACGTCGTTTTAGTTTAACCCGAAACACCAGGTCCTTGAATATTAGGGTGTGTTTGTTTGGGGGTTTGGATTTTGGATTGGGATTTGAATATAAAAAATTTTGAATTTGAATAGTTGTATGATGTGATATAAATAGGTATTGATGTGATGTTTTGAATGTAAAATTGATTTTTAGTATAATATAAAAAATAAAAAATAGGTGTTTGATTTGATATGTTTGGGGAAAAAAAATAGGATGAATAGTGGAAATCCAAAAAAATCCCTCAAACAAACACACCCTAACAAACAGATCCGACCCGACTCGCCCGAAGCTCTTCTTCCATAATCCAGACCCGACTCCGAAAGTTTAAAAAAGGTTCGGGTACGGGGCAAGTTTCACCCGATCCAAATTTGAACCCGCCCGATCCAAGGATTCAAACATATTTTTGAGTATGTTTCGGAAGCAATGTCAATATGTATTTCATGTGTAACAATAACAATTTTTTTAAGTATTTAAATATTTAAATTCAACTTAAAATATAAATATATGTCAGATTCTTGTTGGTGTCACCATCAGCAATCATCAAACGTGAGAAGAACAATTAAACCATGCAAGATCAACACGAGCTTTTGCAACTTCCTTCTTATCACATAACATACATGATAGAACAACCTTCACCTCTCTCTCTGTCTCTGCAATTTCCATTATTGTTATATAACTCAGCTTACTTAGCTTACGATGAAGGTTTGGTCTCATGGAGGGAGATGACCGTTTCGAAAGCTCCTACCAGTGCTTTAACCTTACTCTTCCGGCTTTCGACGAGCTTGCTCGCCGTCTCCTCGATCACATTGTTCAGCAGCAACACCGGCGATTCTTTCTTGTCGTTTACGTCTTGGTGTTTCAACACGACCTTCTGCGACGATTCATCTCCCGCAGCAGTGACGTCGCCGCCGGAACCTCCGCTCTTTCTCGTCGTTCTAGCCCTGTCCTTTCGATGCTCCGCTCCGATGTCTTTCGCCCTCCTGAATTTGAGTCTCCGGGGAACGTTGTTATCCGACTGGACGTCTACGATCCTCCCCGGTTTGAACTTTAACTTCACCGGAGGAGATCGATGATTGTCGTCGGAAATCGCAGCGCCGCCGCTCTTTCTGAATGTCTTCTTGAGATCATCTTCTTTGGTTGCAGCTTCGTTGTTACCGTTGCCATACTCAATCTCGTCGTTATCTTCGTCGTCGTCGTGAGACGACAAAGATGAAGGTGAGGATGGGGAGTCGTCATTTTCGGAGATGTATTCATGTAGTTCGTCTTCGAGGTAATCGATCTCTTTGATTTCTTCTTCGTGTGGGGACGGAGACGATGATTCTGCATGAGATGACGATTCCGGCGACGATGAAACAGTAGGCAGATCCAGGACCGGCTGTATTTTTTCAATCTCTAGTGACTCGCCATTGTTGATGATGGATTCGCCTGCTTCATCATCGATATGCTTAACCTCTTTGTTTTCTTCGCAAGGCGATAAAGATGAAGATGACGACTCTGGCCGAGACTGTGATTCGGTTGACAATGGAGACGAACATGTCGAAACAGCATTGTCTATGGGGACAGCCTGCGCGGTGGAAATCACTAGAGACTCGTCCTTCTCGAAGATCTCTTTGTTTTCTTCTTCGCCATCATGATATTCAATCTCCTTTTTATCTTCTTCGGGCGATAGCAAAGATGGGGACTCGGCATGAGACCGTGATTCAGTGTAAAGATCATCTGGCATTGAATCATCGAAGATATTATTTTCTGACGCCTTCTCGCCATCAGGAGTGTTACTGTGATCCCCGCCAACGATATTACAGACATTTGGAGAAGATGCCGATTTCAAGTTTCCAGCTTTCCTTGATCTACTGCTTGCAGTATTATCAACAGAAAGATTAGGGGATGAAGAACTACCCAAAGATACCAATATTTTTGTTCCAGATGCTTTCCGTTCATCCTTATTTCGACCTGTTTCAGCGTCGCCGTGTTTGCTCTCTTTCCCGCGAATGATATCCGACTTTTTCGAAGCAAATGATGGTTTCGGATGACTTGATTTCAGAGAAGAATGCCGGCTTGTTTTCTTCCCCAATCCTTGACTCGCATTCGCCTCAGATGGATACGACACACTTTTGATCATTTCATGGGGATCTTGTGAAGAGCCTTCCTTAGTAGATGACGGCTTGTTTTTCGGGGAATTCGTCTGATTTGGCCTCGAAGATGAAGTGTTCTCTTCCGAGGATGCTCTGGGTTTTCGAAGATCACTTGCAGATCTGGTTGAAGCCTTGTGCTTAACAACCTGTCCCCTATCCAAAGACATCGTTGATTTTGGCGAAGGAGATTTTGTTTCGGAAGAGGTTTTCAGATACGGTGATCGAGCTCTAGCATTCGAGGCTGTCTTACGACTAAATGCCTTTAAATTCTTGTCCCCATCAGAGTCCATCGTCTGCAATGAACTCTGCTCAACAAGCAATGTTGTTGTCATTGCACATCTCCTTCGCCATGGTGTCCTAACCGGATCCTCCGATTCATGTCTAGTTCCATGTTTGCAGAAATCATGGCAAGATCCGGTTGAAGCTCTGAGGTAACGGGACATCACATTTTGGTTGCTACTGAAGGAATCAGACTTTCCAGCAGAAGAATATCTCATTGCGCCGGAAGAGCCATTCGAGGTTTTGTGGTGAAAGGCACGAGCACTGCTGCTGCTTCCATGGCTCGGAGGAACTGATTTCTCAGCAGCAATGTTATTTATGTTCCTTCTCTCCAATTTAAGTTTTTCTGGAGTTACCGGCGAATCAAAACCTTCTCCAGACATTCAAATTACCCTCGAAAGAATATCAAGATTGTAATTCCTGCCAAAAGATAAGCCCTTTGTCACAATGTGCTTAAGGATTATATACTACGAACAATGCTACAGCTCCATAAGGCGATGACATGAACTTTATTTTAAGAAGCAACATTGCCAGTAACACCGAAAAGGATGTAAATTTTTAAAGCACTGGATACAGATAGCTACATCAAAAATCTACACTTTGGCATTACCAAAAGACAGATGAACAAAAAACAAGATTATCATGGTGAGATACACAGGTCAGTAACTTGAAAGATCGAAGCTCCGACACAATGCATTTGTAAATAATACAACGAATGGATCCAAATCATGCCCATATATATACACTGTTGAGAAATTGTGAAAATCATGATAAAAACCTACAAAAATAAAAACTATAATTTGGTGACCTAGTTCGATTAGAGTCAAACTCATCTACGATTCAAGCTAGATATTTTCCCAAGTATTTTTGGGATAAATTTGAAAATTTTCAAAGAATACATCAAGTATTTATTGATATCCGTGGCCCAATTGTACATCCAGTTGCCGTATAATCGAACTGGTCACCAAATTATTGCTTTTTTCTTCTTGACTTTCACAATTTATCAGCATAACAAAATTATAGTTGCAGCATGTAGAAAGTATTACCAAAAATATGCAAAAAGATCTCTAAATCCATAATCACTGTATGCACAATTTCAATATGCAAAACTAGTTTTGATCAACAATGGACCTTCTGGACAGGATAAAGAACAACCACAGAGAAGATTCAAATATACCAAACAAAAAGTTTAAATTGATTCAATCATAGAAAAAGCATTCTAAAAACAGTGTGTAAAAGTTGTTAGGGTTCCTATAAGATTCAATCACAAGAAACAGCAAGAAGACAGTGCAAAAACAACATTGAATTCGAAATCAAAACCGCAGATGAGAATTATCAGTTATCGGAACAATCAATACCTTGTTTCTCCTGGAGGACTAAAATCAAATGAAATCAAATTAATAGCGAGGGGATAATTCACCGAAAGGCGATTGCCAAAATCCTCACAGAAGACTTGCAGAACAAGCAATTCAAATCACCAGAAGTGCACCCACAGAATCATCACCATCTGCCCCAAATCGAAGAAAAGCATAGCTTAAAACCGACGCAAAAACAGAAAACAATGGCGCAGAATCACAACATGACCTCTCAACGAATACCTAGAATAGACACATGAGATTGCCCCCACAATTCACATGAAAACGACCGACCTCGAAACACTGAATGCATTTTCGAAAAAAAAAAAATCAAAACAGTCCCCAATAAAAACGTGTACCTTCCTTCCTTTTCTCCTTTTGTTCCACACTGCTTTTCCGCAAAAGCTTCGAGAAAAATCGAATCCAATTCAGAGCTAATCCAATCCATCCAATCCAATCCAATTAAATCAACACTTACAAAAAATCATATGCATGCGTTGCCATCAACACAACCGCCTTTTTTCCGTCAAAAATTGATCGAGTCCGGTTGACATTGAGACGGTGATCGATCATGCGTTGCAGTTTCGGTGAGAGTTTGAGAGACAGAGCTCAGTCAGAGAAAACATGGCGATCGATGAACAAATACAACATTTTTTATATTGCCCCTATTCAATTTTCATTTATGCTTTCCCACTAATTAATTATTTAATTAATGCGCATTTATTTTTATCCGCCGAATTAGATTTATTGCGAAACTGACTTATATTTAATTATTAGATATTTTGCTAAAGTTAGCAAAATTTTATCCATAATATGCATTTTGTTATAAATGGAAAGCATTATATAAAATATATTTATTATTAATTTCAAATTAAAAATAATAGTAAACATATTTAAATATTATTCTCTCTCCCAGTTAATTTATCTATTTTAATTGGACACAAGTAATTAAAACATGTATTAATAAAAATAATTATGATATAATAAAAATAATTATAAATTAATATTAAGATTATTAAAATAAATTAAATTTTTAATTTTAAAATATAATTAAAATATATAATTATATTTAAAAATATAACAAATTATCTACGGAAAAAAGTATTATAGTACTGTAAATCATTTAGCAGCATATACTACTATTATTATTATTATTATTATTATTATTATTATTATTATTGATGTTGTTATATTAAAATGCGTGCCGATCCAAATTCGTAAAAATGGAAAGTTAAATGCAAATTTTGATACGAAATTGAAATTGAATATTATTATTAGTAATCAAGAAAATGAAAAATGGAATCAAATACACACAATCAATCTAAAGTAGTATTGTATTCTTTTGAAATATGAGTTTTTTTATTTAAATAATAGTTTCAACGTAAAGTTTTGTAAAATAAAATGTATCTTTACAGAGAATTACAATAATTGAATAATAAAGAAATTGAAATTAAATTTTATAATAATATAGTAATAAAATTTGTATTTAGGTAATATTTGGTAACCCATAATAATATTTTGTACATGTACTTATAATTTAATTTGATTAATAAGATTGTTGAGTTTGACATGCAGTTGTGACCTAACACAAACCATTTATTTATATCATAATTTGCAACTACATTATTTAATTAATAAATTGTAATTTATTTAATGGTCAACCTCACTTCCCAGCTAAACTCATGCCTATTGCATGTTAACCACTCTCCCTCTTACGGTCACATATGCTCCCTCCGTCCAAAAGTGTAATCTTATTCTGCATACGAGATTGAAGAAATATTAATATTATATTAGTAATACGTAAAAAGGAAGAATAAGTAATTTTTTTGTCTTTATAATTATATTAGTGTAAAAAGTAGTGATAATTGTCTAATAATAATGAAAAAATAGAGAAAATTTTATGGTGATATAATTATTTATAAAAACTAGACTATTATTTTAGGACGGACAAAAATGGTAAACAAGTAATTTGTATTTGGACGGATGGAGTATTAAATAAAACATTAATGCTTTCCCTCTTCTTAAACGTATTTTATTGATATTTTGTCAAATGCCTTGCAAAATTTTCTGAAAAAGTTTGGGAGTTTTCAAAAATGCATTTATTATCTACTTTCGATTTTTTGTTCAAAAGAATTCACCTTAGAAATTTAATAGAGTAGATATATAATTTAGGTGTATTTCTCCGGTCCAATTTTGAGCTGAAATACTATACAAATACAGTTCAAAACTGGGTTGTTTTGGGTTTGGGGAACACAGCCTAACAGACGACTATTTCATTTTTTACCTGGTATTTTTAAATTATAAATTTTTTGAAAATTATAATAATTATAATTTAATAAAATATATATAATATATATATCATTTTATAGACAATAAATTTTTTTATAATATTATATTCATTACCATCAAATCAATACACATCAAAACTCACATAACACAAGAGAAACATATAAATTCAAACTCACCTTAAAATTCAAATAAAAATCAAATTCAAACTCAAATTTCCCCAAAAGTTTACAGGGTATTAGGTTCAGAATGCGAGTAGCAGCTGCGGGTTCCCACGTCATAAAAAAAAAAAAAAAAAAAAACATTGATTTTTCTTACAAAAAATTATACTCCTATCTTAACTACTACTTGGATTTTAAGAAAAGGGAAAAAAAAATTACAAACCAAATACCATAGAGTATATTCTTTTTTACTTTTGTCTTTATATTTTTGTTTTTAGTATTTGTTATTTTGATGCACTTGAGACGAAGTCAAAACTCTGTTCTCCTTATATTAAGATATAAAAATATATTTTCATTTTTTTACAAACTATCCCATAAAACTAATATTAAATTATAAATTATAAATAAAATAAAAAATAAAAAACACCCCTACTTATTTAACATGATAGTATTTCATATAATAATTATATATTACACATTTGTATGTTTTTCTATTATTTATATATATTTTTTTAAAAGGAGGTGTTTTAACTAAAAATTAAATGTTGAATATAAAAATAATAAAAAAAATGAGGTGTTTTAAGAAATAATAAAAAATTAAACAGTAGAAACTTATATTAAAAAAAATACTCCCTCTATCTATTCCAGACATTATTGTGATTAGTGGATACACGAAAATTTAAAAAAGATTGTGATTAGTAAATAACTAAAATTAATTAGTAAAATTAATTATAATATAATACAAATAATAAATTAAAATAACTAATCAATCTAATAAAAATTTAAAATGACATAATATGTGAATAAAGGAAAATGAAAATTACGACATTATTTGTGGGACTGAGGGAGTATCAAATAATCCGGCTCATATTTTATCTTTCAATCCAACTAGAAACCACATACAGTTAGGCCTTGATGTAAAAATTAAAAGCTATGTATGCATGGCAAATACTATTTATGCAACACATTACCATTAAAGGGTTCTACTTACAGAACTTCCGGGAAGTTTAAGCTCATTTCTTCCGGCCGGAGACGGTCTTCTTCACGGCCCCGACGGATACAAGGAACTGGTCGAGGGACGAGAGAGTCCTCATGTCATCGGGAGGGAAGTTGCTGGCTGCCTTTCCCAGTAGGGACATGAAAAGCAACGAGAGGGAAGGGCGTGCCGCGACGTAGCTTTCGCCTAAAAGATCGTCAAGAAAACCAAATGCTGTTAGGAAATCGGACCTGCTGACATTGATTGGCGCGGCGAAATGGGCTGGGATTATTCTATTGAATCTCCAGTCCTGTGTGATTCGATCTATCCAGTCGCGGACCTGAAAGTTTGCGGGGAAGATGAAGAAGTCATCCATGTGTGTACAGCAATTTCAAGAGCTACTAGATAACTATCGTTGGCAAATAAATGGGTAAAATTACTTGTAAAAACACTTTGTCTTTTGGAAAATCTGTATATTTTACTTAATAATTTAGAAAACCGTCAACCTTCATTCCTATTTTAAGGGAATAGTTACGGTGTTGATTTAAAATTTTCAATATATATAAACAACACATGTTCTTATAAAGACATGTGTTATTTGTTCATAATTACATATGTATTGTATAAAAGTATATCATATACTAAAATCAACTGTTGTATATTGTATAAGACTATAATATGTGTTGTATTTGTATTATATTAATATATACAATATTTTGTCTGTAATAATATTGTCTGCTGCCATAAAGCGTTTCTCAGTACAGCACAGTGTTGAATTTTAAATTTTTAAATTCAACATTGTAGTCGCCGCCCTATTTTAAAAAGTATTATACAAAATACACTGAACATCTTAACTTAACGGATTGGTGTAATGTTAGTGTTTGATATAATATTTTGGTAAACAGGAATGAAAGACTGTAAACTATGCCGGGGATTAGTGCAAACTTTTCAAATGACATCGAAGCACTTATAGCAAATATATATGAACAAAAATTTAGCTATGGAACTTTCTAAATTTATCAACTAATATTGTTTTCCTATTATCAAAACCATAGCTCTATTTAGATCGATATTTTGGAAGTTTTAAAGTTTTGAAAATTCTTTTAAATAGTAAAAAATATAATGGGATATAAATAGGCTTTCAATGTGATGTTGCGTATGGAAAGTAACTTTCTAATGTAATATTTTAAATGAAAATTAGGTATGTGATAATGGTTTTTGAAAAAATTACTGTTGATAAATAGTAATATAGTTTCAAAACATAAAAAACATTGCATCTAAAGAAAACAATATAAGAAAAATCAGTATCTATATGTATGTATGTACATTGTGACTTGCCTTTTCAGGAACTTTGCTGAAGACAAGCGTCTTGACGATAGGAGAGACAATGAGCTTTTGAGACATCTGAGAGAAGGAAGCATTGGGTTCCAACAGATTCGAGGGGCCGAGAAATAAGATCTGGAGCACCATTCGCTCCCATCCTGTGGCGAAAAAAGGAGACGAGACGACACTTGAAAACAGTGCTGAAATAAATATATTGTCTTAACAAGACACATACCTTTTTGCCTGTTTGTCTTGTTGTCCACAACTGGTTCCTCGGGGACTTCTTTTCCTTTGCTGAGTAGTTTGACGGCCAAACCATTCTTCGCAGATGCTAGCAATGAATCTTTGCTAATACATTCTGGCGGCTGTCGGGGAACATATATTACAGCATCTGTTACTAGAAGTGTCCTAGTGCGTTTGTGGTAGAATGCCACTTCAACGTACGGTCCGATTCCTGGAAAATGGAAATGCACGTTGTGTTATTTTTTAAAAACAAGATTTAATATGATATAGAGAAAATGAAATGTGTGTATTACCAACTTCAGGACAGCTCAAAACTTTCTGTTCGATTTCATCAGCCCATGGAGCAGATGTGTCTTCATCTTTCAATGTTTTGGAGCGAAAAACTCCAAAAAATTCGAGGGGCAAATTCAGGGGCCAACTCCATTGCCTAGGTGCCACCCAAACCTGAGCTTCAGGAAACTTTCTTGAAAAGGGGCCGACAAATATTTTATGCTCGTATGCAAATGTAGGTAGGACTATGTACTCCACAGGACAACCTAATTCTTTTACAAGCTGCAAAGAGGATTAAACATCAATATCAGTTTGAAATTTTGAATATGCAACAAATAGTCAGAAATCAATAAGAAAGCTATGGCTGAATCGAACATATAACGACCCTACTTAAAGAGCAGTGAACAGACGTGCAAACATGGCAGCCGTTGGTATAGAACCTAAAAAGATCAGAAATCAATAAGAAAGCTATGGCTGAATCAAAGGAAATTAAATCTGTGAGACTTAGATTGAAATCAAGAAACATTTTCCAAAGACTTTTGAAGATCACGAATAGCTTTTACATACATAGGCAATTCTTGTGATGCCAAATCAAGTGCGCATAACGATTACTTCTTTTTAGATCAAAGCACAATATATCAACCCGGTGATAACCTGGATGCACTCTTGCGTGGGAGCAATAGGTGCATGAACAAATAATCCCCCAGACTTAAGCTTGATAACTGTCATTCGAATGTTGGTCGAGACACTGCTGAATCCCAGAGCTTGCTCTTGCTCAAACAACCATATTGTGTCTTTCACAGCCTGAAATTCTAACAGAAGAAACAGTTACACTCAAACATAAGTTACACATTTGATCTACAAACACCAGTGATACAAATCTTCATTCACCACATAAGAACAGAAATGGAGTTTCAGTCTGTAGAATCGATTGCACTGGATTGAGCAATGTGAAAGTGTCATCAATCCTACATGAAAGCATCTATGGCAGATAGGCATCTTAACAAAGTTTCTATTGTCTCTGGTGCCTCATCAGATCATAACAAGTTATCCTTCATGGATGTTCGTTCATATGAATTCAATTTCGAAATTCTCCCCCAAATCACTTCAAATTGAGCTCAGAACGACAGAGTACCAAATACTCAGCTATGGAAATTCAGAACAAAAACAAGCTTCAGTAGCTACTTCTTCAAACAGAACTCAAATATAGTCACTCGTATTATCCAGCTTCGCTGCAACCACTACGGAATTACTCCAATAATTGATTAAACAGAGGAGAAACTAATGCAATGGAAAGCATTTCACTCCACTACTGTTAAATTAAACCAGCAACTTCAATTTGCACGCTAAACCTAGAAACGAATGTAATTAAAGTGCCAACGCTCCACTCACTGGGCAGCAGAACTAACCTCGTATCTCAATGTACGGCGGTTGAGGAAAGGACCGAGTGGGAAGGGAAATCCAGTGAAATTGAAGTAAAACCTTCCTCCACCGCCGGCGGCGGCGGCAACGATCAATCTCACCTCATTCCTTGCTTTCCTTCGATTCAGTTTCACCGGCAACGACACAGCCTTCAACGGAGAAGCACTAAAAAGTGCGGAATTAAGCTCCCGAGAAGGCAACGGAGAATATGTCGGCGAAGGTACTGCAATGGCCGCCACCATCGTCTTCTCCGATCGAGTGTCGATTGAACAAACTCAGGCCACTAGTGCAAAAAATTAATAAAAATAATAATTGAAAAAATAAATATATATATATATATATATATTCAATATTAATTTCAGGGTCTGTGAAACTGACACGTGGCATCTATTTCGGGCTATCTTTGACACGTCGAATTTCTCTCAGGAAATTAGTTACATCTTTCGTGGTTGACAATAATTTGGGATTGAAATTTTTAAGAAATTATTCTTACGAAGAATCAACTTAAACGAAAAAATAAATTAGGAATGATGCAATTTATAATTTTAAAAAATTTGTCAAAATATAAAAATGGAAGATTGTGTTCTCTAGCATGAGATATTTTATATTAACTATTAAAAATTATTAAAATATTTTGTTTAGTAAAATAGTTTTCATTTTTGTTAAATATCTTTCAAAATAAAATAACATGCTTTTATTAAATAATATGAATAATTTTTTATTAAAAAATTATGTAAAATATAATTAAAAAGAAAAAAATAAATATATAATTATGATGGAACTAGCACAATAAAAATAGAAATAATACATTTAGTAAAAAGAAAATGATAAATTACAAATAAAAAAGTTCAGATAAGAGATTTAAGTTTTAGAAAATCTTAAAATAGTTTTTTAAAAAATAGATATTTAATATAATATTTTTGTAAGAAAGAAAACATATATTTCATCCCTCCCGATACTTGTTTAACTGTTTATTATTTTTCTGTCTTAAAACAACAGTCTTATTTTCATAAATAATCATATCACCGTAAAACTACTTCTACTTTCTTATTTTTATTATACAATTATCACTACATTTTACACTAATACACTTATAATTATTCATATTTTTTACTCACTACTAATATAATATCAATATTCCTTCAAATCCAATTAAAATTATATTTATGGGACGGAAGGAGCATTTGACACCAATTTTTTAAAAATATACTATTGGCAATATTATAGCTGAAATTTGGTTTCCGGACGGCAGGAACATATTAGACCCGTCGGAAGATTAAATGAGTGGATTCTCCAACCGATTCAAAAAAAATTCCGAACTAGTTTAGTGTGTTTGTTTGGGGAATTGGATTTTAAATACACTATTTATCTCATTTTTTCCCAAAAAGATATCAAATCAAACACCTATTTTTTATTTTTTATATTATACTAAAAATCAATTTTACATTCAAAACATCACATCAACATCTATTTATATCACATCATACAACTATTCAAATTCAAAATTTTTATTATTCAAATCCCAACTCAAAATCCAATACCCAAAACAAACACACAAAAAATGGAATAAGAGACAATTTATCTGTCTAGTTTTTCATCTTTCCTTCGATCTCCCAAATTCTATTTTCATTTAAAATATTATAAAAATTGAATAAATAATACTAAAAATTTCTAAAAACATAAATGAAAAATAGTATGTTTGCTTTATATTTTAAATTTGAAGTTATTTTTTTTATATAAAGTATGCAAAAATGTGCCACTCATATTTGTATTGAATTATTTACCCTTTTGGTATATATTTTGAATTAATATATAATATTTTTATAATATCAATAAAAAATTATGTCATAACAAATTTTGATGAGTAAAGAGACCCTCAATACTTTTTACACAAACATACCTTTTTGGCGAAATTTATATCATAGTAATTTTTTTTAAAAAAAGTATTCAATTAAATATCTATGGTCTCTTACAAAATATCACAGCACTAATCTTTTACCAAACACCAATTCATTTAAAACAAAAACAAACACACCTCTTTGGCAACAAATATTAAAACACATACCTTTAGCCACAATACAAATATATAGATAAAGTGGTAATGAACTAATGATTAAACTTGACAACAAAATTATGTACTTAAATAAAATGAATATGGCTGTTAGGTATCAAAACGCAATTAAAATTTCATCAAAAGTCATAAATCATATGTTAGTGTTATACAAAAAAAAAAAACGTCAAATTTTGCAAGGCAAAACATAACTTCTTTTCTTCTTGTTGTCTTAAGAACCGTACAATGTATGACAATGTATTCCTGGCAAAAATATTACTACTATACACACAAACACTGCACCATTTGTCATATGAATAATAGCTGTACAAATATAACAACAAATAACCACTAAAATCAAGAAGCTACATGCAGAATGAAAGCGGAGTCATACCCGGAAAAAGCAGAGCCCACTGCCGGCAACGGCGGCGGCAGAGAAGCTCGAAAATGTCTCCAGAAGACCAATAAGAAGGGAGGCAGACAACCTGTCATGTAATAATCTCCCTCACCAGCCAATCCAAGCTCGGATACGCAAAGTAAAGGATGAGGAACGCGGGCAGAGCAAAGACGAGCGTGATGATAATGTACAGGGCCAAAATGGCCGCGCTGGCCGGAATTGCGTAAAGTATGATGAGGAGGAATATCATGATCAGGGGGAACTTGGCAGTCAGATGAACGAAGAAAACGAGCGATTTCTTCAGGGAAGATTGCAGTCTCTCGATTGGATTATAGCCGTTGAATTCTCTCCTGTGATGATGATGATGAGTCGATTCTGACGGTTCTGTGTGAGGATCGTTGTGCTGCCCCCGTCGCTGGTTAACCCCGGGATAATAAGTGCCCACTGTTTTAGTACCAGCCGGCCAATCTGCGCAGTCATCGGTGGGGTGAGATTTTCCTCTGTCGCCATTGATGCTCTCGAGCATCCACAGAAGGAAGAAGTTCTTCCGAGGGAATTTCAGGCTGCCCTTGTAAACAAAGCGTGGCGATATGAGATTGCACCATGGGCAGGATATGAAGAGCGGGAGCTGAAGAGGTATGGTTGGGAATCTCACAACTGCACATTGGAGTCCGAGGATGCAATTTTTGCACAATGTATGGCCACACCACAGCACATAAGGGATGTTTTCGACAAGATTGAAGGATTCCCAGCATATCGGGCATTCCATGCCCTCCCCTTGGCTATTGACGGAAGATGCTTCGTCGTCTGAGCAATCCATTGATTCTTGTCTTGGCTTCAATGAGTCGTTCTTTGGCACTGTATTTCTGGCTACGCAACCTGATGCAAAATTCCAGATTGCGGAATTATATAGCCGACATTTTCACCTCCATGCCAGCAGATGATAGGGTACCTATGCAGTGAAAGCAAAATATAAATACCATTGTTGAGATTTCATAGAACTCGGAGTACCGATGGGAAAACCAGTATGGAGGTTTAACACAGCATAGAGCTCATCTAGTAAGAATTGAAAGTTGAAATAGCACAGATGAACAAATTAACTTTTCAGGAGTTTTCAGATCTGTTCATCTGTGTTTTCAACTCAATCTACTGTCAGTTGTTTCTATAAAACAGGAAGAACATCATTTTCAATCACTCCACTCTATACAAAAGACAATTTCCAATCATTATACTCAACTCCAAATGATTAAAATCCAAACAATCACAAATAAACAGATTCAGTGTCATTTGACTCAATCTGATCCAACAACTTCAACATGTTTGTAAGAGTAATGGAAACCGAAGAAGTCGAACAAGGTAAATAGAGTATGTACATTCATATAAGCTCCAAGCATTCTTCTGACAATAATGTTTCAGAATACGCATTCTCGTTTTCCAGTTTCGATGATTATTGAGGTGGAATGCCTAAATCGATCTACACCAAAGTTCCCGCAGGCATCGTAAAAATCACAGAGTACCAAATTAAAAAAGATTTCAAAAACATCAACGAATAAATCCAATAAAAACAATAACTGTATTCAACAAACCGACACCTGCAATACATCCACAAGCTAAAACCAAACATTTAACAACTTACTTATCCAACAGAGGACGATAAGACGGCCGCGATTTTACCTTTTTGCCAAATGCAAACAAAGGAACTCAAATAAAAACACAGAGACCAAACGATTCCAATCCAAAGAAGATCAAATAGCGTTAGCGAACACGGATCCAGGAGAGGGCAGAAGGAGAAGCGATCAACTCACCGGAGGCAGATCGGAGGTAGCCGGAGTAGATGCAAAACGACGAAATGGATCGAGATATTCTGACCCCCACCACCGGTGTATGGATGGAAATCGCTGTTCCCATCCCCTCTCGAGAAAAAGATATTTATATGTATATGTCATCCTCTAATTTTATAAATTTTAAAATTATATTTTACATTAATTCACTATAATTAATTGTTTTTACAGGCGGAAAATCACAAGTAGTTGGTATCAAACTGCTTAGTGATTATAATGTCATGTTTTAGGTACTCTTTAATAGACATTTTAGTAATTTTTTAAGGAGTAAAATTACATTAAGGGTGTGTTTGTTTGGGGGTTTGGATTTTGAGTTGGGATTTGAATAGTAAAAATTTTGAATTTGAATAGTTGTATGATGTGATATAAATAGGGTTTGATGTGATGTTTTGAATGTAAAATTGATTTTTAGTATAATATAAAAAATAAAAAATAGGTGTTTGATTTGATATTTTTGGGGGGAAAAAATGGAATGAATAGTAGAAATCCACCAAAATCCTTCAAACAAACACACCCTAAATAAATATATATATATTTTTATAAAATATTAAATAAATAAATAAATAAATCTTTAACTAGAATTTTATGATAATTTTGGAAGTTAGTGTTCTTGGAATTGTTAGTTTTATTTGGATTTTAGAAATTTTGATGAATATTGGTTTAATACTAAATGATGTAAATGTTTAATGTAATAAATAAAATACTTCCTACCTCCCGTAACAAATATCAATTTTAGTCCGTCTTATAACAAAGTATCAATTTTATTATTATTATTTTTTTTATAATTGTACTATCTACATAATCTTACAAATACCTTTACAATTTACAATATATTACACAAATGTCATTACTTTTATATCACACATACTAATAAGGCTATTTTAGTCATTTCTATTTTATTTTTACTATATCCCAATATAATACTAATATTCCGAAACATTTATATTTTATTTTTACTACATTTCAATATAATACTAATATTTCTAAAATTACGTAAAAAAACAAATAAATATCTAATTATGGAACAGAGGGAGTAATTTCTTTTTTTTTTTTTTTTAAAAGGTAGATTAAAAGTATGAAGTAAAAGAGTGGCGCGATTGTATAATGTTTCAAAAATTAAAATAAATGTATTATTGATGTGTTTGTTTGGGGAATTGGATTTTAAATTCATTTTTCTCTCAAAAATATCAAATCAAATACCTATTTTTTATTTTTTATATTATACTAAAAAATTAATTTTACATCCAAAATATGACATCAACACCTATTTATATCACATCATACAACTATTTAAATTTAAAAAATTTACTATTCAAATCCCAACTCAAAATCCAAATCCCCAAACAAACACACAAATTGGGATTTTATTGTGTGTGTGTGTGCGTATTTTTTTTTTTTTTTTCATTCTGATCAAAGTATAAGATAACATCACAATTTTTAAATGTGTTAACGATGTATGTCGATGAATAACAAAAGATTATATCATATATGTATAGCGAACTGAATCAAAACTTTTAAAAAAAATGCGAAACAGGTCGATAAAATTGTGTGCTCAAATATTTGAACATGAATTTTAACAAAAAGGAATAAGAATTATAACTTTTTGTTTTTTTTATACTAAAATAATATAATACTACATATATAAATTTTTGCTAAAATGAAAACGATAACATTTTTCTATGATAATCCACAAAGAAAATTAAATATAAATTTGGATGACGGAATGAATAATATTTTAAGGAATATATAATATATGGATTTTTTTTTTCTAATTGTAAATTAAATAATTAATTTTGATCCATGATAGTTAACACAGGCTGAATATGGCGATGTTGGATAACCCAATAAACTGATTAAATTTTAGAAACAGTCAATATGACCGGATTTGATCGCAGTCATGTTGAATGCTCTATTTCTAATATTTTCATGTTATTATGTTTCTTCTATGATCATATTTATTGTCATATTCATAGTTGTGTTTTTAACATTGTCATATTCTAACATTTTTATGGTAAAATAATTGCAATAAATATCTTTTACTTATTTAATATATATTTGGCAAAAATTTGTAATAAACATTTGTTCATATTACTAATTATCTTTTTGGCCACCCTTTCAAAATAATATAACAATTTTTTTTTTTTTTTTTCCGCAATTTTTATCCTAGATGGCACTAGTCTTCTCCTGCCTTGAGTCTACCGAAGTCTTTTGCTCTAGATGCAGACAATATACTGTAGTTATGAACAAACAACGCATGTATTTATTATAAACTACATTATGTAATAAAAATATATGTTATTTTGTATTTTATATATGTCGGACATAGAGAGGGACATCATTGGACTTTGATGTCATAGAGATGATTATATTAACAAAATTACTACTGACTATACTTAATACAAAGGATATTAATATTAACACAACCCACGTTGAGGATAATCAACCACAAATCACACCTAACAAGTCACTCTCAACCTTATTAAGTACTATTTTATTACTATACAGATTATATTTAATTCATATTTTTGATTTTTTTCCTTAAAAGTTTAGATCTAGGACTTCTATTATTCGTCAAAATTTATGTCGCAATGAATATATTTTATTTTATTTTATTCAATTATTAGTCATTTCTTGGACCATACTGTACTGAAAGGGCAGTTCAAACACGTGTGGAGTTCCCTGACACCAAAACCCCAGCTAACACAACACAACTCTCAACTTCCAACTTCATAGATCACAGTTTTCAGAAATCATAGCGTTTGTTTCTTTCTTCCAAAAAAATGGCTTCCTCACCTCACCATCCTCATGTAGCCCTAATCCCATCTGCCGGGATGGGCCACCTGATCCCCTTCCTCCGCCTGTCGGCCATGCTCGCCGCGCGCGGCTGCGCAGTCTCCATCATCGCCGCCCATCCCACGGTCAGCGCCACCGAGTCAGATCATCTCTCGGCGTTCTTCGCCGCCTATCCCCGAATCAAACGAATCGATTTTCATCTCTTGCCTTACAAGAAATCGAACTTCATTAACGAAGATCCTTTCTTCATTCAGTTCGAAGCCATTGACAAATCGACTCATCTCCTTCGTCCTGTTTTGTCCTCTCTATCACCGCCTCTGTCTGCTGTAGTCTCAGACCTTCTCATTCTAAGAAGCATCGCCCAGATTACTGAAGATCTTTCCATTCCTACTTATACATTGATTACCACTTCCGCTAGGTTTTTCTGCCTTATGGTTAACCTTTCTCTGCTATTAGCAGCAGGGAACGTCAATGGCGGCACCATTGATGTTCCTGGTTTAGGTCAAGTTCCTGTCTCGAGCATTCCTCCACCAATGCTCAATCCCAATCATTTCTTTTCAGCTACTATTACTGAAAATACTCCCCCCCTGCCTAAACTAAAAGGCATTCTGCTCAACACATTTACCTGGTTTGAATCAGAAGCAATTGAGGCACTGAATAGCAGTGGATTAGCACCCATCCTTCCTGTTGGACCCCTCCAGCCATTACAGGCTGTACAAGGAGGATCCAATCTTCCATGGCTGGACCAGCAAGCTCAAGAATCAGTACTCTTCATTAGCTTCGGCAGCAGGACAGCTCTGTCAAAGGAACAAATAAGAGAATTAGGTGCAGGGCTAGAGAAGAGTGGCTGCAACTTCCTGTGGGTGCTAAAGGGCAGCAAAGTGGACAAAGAAGACAACCAAGAAGTAGAAGAGTTGATTGGTGAGGGATTTCTTGAAAGAACACAATCCAAGGGGCTGGTTGTGAAGGGTTGGGTGGATCAAGATCAGGTTTTGGGACACCCATCAATAGGAGGGTTTATGAGCCACTGTGGATGGAACTCAGTGATGGAAGCAGCCAGATTAGGGGTGCCCATTTTGGCCTGGCCATTACATGGGGATCAGAAGATTAATGCTGAGGTGGTTGAGAAGATAGGGCTGGGGCTGTGGAGCAGCAGGGATTGGGGTTGGGGTGGCCAGAAATTGGTGGGCAGAGATGAGATTGCAGATAAGATCATGGAGGTGATGATGGACAAGAAGGTAAGGGATAGAGCCAAACAGATTAAAGAGAAAGCCTGTCTGGTTAGGGATGCTAATGGAGACACAGAACTCAAGCTTCAGGAAATTATTCAATCATGTATTAAAGAAACATAGGACCCTTTCCCTCCTTGTCCATTTCTATGATTCTATCTGTGTTTGATTAATCCTAATTAGCATTTGATATTAACATATAAATTGTGTGTTTTTTGTCTTACCGAAGTTGGATTATCCAATCTTGTCGATACTTTGGGAAATAGCTCAATCATTAGAGATGCTTCTATGCAAATGACTACCTAGTCAACTCTTCCTTTTTGTGGTCTTTCCATGGAGCCGACAACTTTTCAATGATTCTTAAGACGACGATAGATTCATCCATCTTTAAGTTGAGCTTGTGCAAACTAACCAAGGATGCGAATTATCAGCCCTGATTCCACCATTTTATAGCTGTTGAAGTCATTAATGAACAACTTTTATCGTATATTTAGCTCTTTCTTTGATTTTATGTTTTGATATATGTCGAAAAATCGATATGACATTGCATCCCACGGCAATATAGTCATTATTGTCTCCACTTGTTCCTCTGATGCCTCTAAGGTTTCATTTTCGGTTTCTTTGGAACATAGAGTGCTTAGAACATATACAGCTTTCAAAGTAGTAAGAAAGAAATGCATTTTATTTACTTTTTTATGTTGGTGATGAAAATGCATACCTCGGAACTTTAATAGCTTGCCAAATTTGGGTTTCACTCGCCATGATCGTCAACTAATTATTGTACACCCTCCGTTCGCAAAAAATTAGAACATTAGATCCATGAGCTAGCCAGCTTAGCTCGCCACCGGTCAGCGGGTTGGGTTGGGTTGGGCTGATGAAATTTTGATTCGCCCCGCTGCGAGTTAACTCGTAAACAACTCGCTTATTTGCAGGTTAGGGTGAATTGTGGGCTAATCCGTTCCACTAACCCATTTTAACAGGTCTAAGCGCACGCTTGTACATTTTTATTCGTGTGCTTGTTTAATAATCCCTCCGTCCCATATATTTTGGTGTGTTACTGTAGATATGAGGTAAAGTATAATTAGTAGGTAATTAAGAAGTGTATTATTAGAAATAATTATTATTTAGTAAAAATAATTATAGATTAAAATTAAGATAAATAAATAGTTTAATTAAAATTTAAAAAATTATAAAATTTAAAACTTAAAATATGATTAAAGTGAATAATGTGGGACATACAAAAATAAAAAAAATAAAAATAAATTATATAGGATGGAGGGATTATTACAAACAAATTCAATTATTCTACAATTATCAACACCATAATGATGTGGCATCCCACATACAAGTTACTCCCTCCGTCCCACATATCATGTCCACATTGCCGTTTCTGTCCGTTCCACGTACCATGTTACTTTATTTTTTAAAAATGATTACACACTTTAATCTCATTTTAAACTTTTTAATTTTCTTTTTTTTTTAAATTTTAATTAAACTAATTAGTTATTTTAATCTTAATTTATAATTATTTATATTATATGATAGTTATTTTCACTAATACATTCTTAATTATCTACTAATTACACCCCTCCTAAAATTAAAATACAGTGTATACGTTGTAGCAGACACGGTATGTGAGACGGAGGGGTATATTATTTTTAAATGATAAAATTTTATATAATATAATTTAATAAAAAAATATATTTATTTATTTATAAAATAAATTATTTTTATATATTTATATTTTAATTTTATAATTAATATTAATTTTATTGTATTTATTATATTTAATTAAATAATATTATACTCCCTCCGTTCCGTTGGAAATATGACGTTTGTTTTTTGCACGTAAATTTTAAATATTAGTATTATATTGAATTGTAGTAAAAAAGACAAAATATTTAATACTTCCTTCGTCCCCGGAAGAAGAATGACATGTATTTTTTGCACGTAAATTTTTTAATATTGGTTTAAAGTAAAAAACAAAAAAAAAAAACAAAAATATCCATATTAGATTGTGTGATATAAAAATAATGACATTTATGTAATATATTAAAAATTGTAAAGGTATTAATCATATTAGATCAATAGTACAAATATTAAATTAAAAAAATTATAAAACAGACAAAAATAAAAAATAGAAGGAAGTATTATTTATAAATTTTAAAAATTATAGAAAATAATATGTTCATTAACCTGCAAAAATAGTGGTGTGATGTGGTTGAAGATAAATTATTATAATTTGAAAAATCAAAAAGATAGAAGATTTGATTGAAGCTGAATGATTAAAAGGCTCTGCAAAAAATAGAAAAATATATTACTCCTCCGTCCCAAAAAAATAGTCTTTTGTCGGTTTAAAACAATAGTTTTATTTTCATAAATAATCATATCACCGTAAAATTATTCCTACTTTTTATTATTATTACACAATGCCACTATTTTTACACTGATATATTCAAAAAAGCAAAAAAATCATTTATTATTACTTTTTACCGACTACCAATATAATATTAATATTTTTTAAATCACGTGCTTTTGGGATGGAGAGAGTACAAATTTTGTAAAAATAAAGTTATAAGTTGGAAATAATCTAAATAGTATAATTAGAGGGCACAAACTTCATTTATGATACTCTTTCCGTTCCAATACAATAGTCTTATTTATCATTTTTGTCGTCTCAAAATAATAATCTTATTTTCATATATAACTATATTACATTATAATTATCTATATATTTTTATTATTATTACACAGTTGTCACTACTTTCTACACTAATATAATCACAAAAGGCAAAAAAGTCAATATTCCTTAAATTCCAACGCAACTATACTTTTGCGCTTTAAACTGGCAAGACAAGTCCAATTTTGGAGGATTTTGGAGAATTTCCACTATTCATCCAATTTTTTCCCCCCAAAAACATCAAATCAAACATTTATTTTTCATTTTTTATATTATACTAAAAATCAATTTTACATTCAAAACATCACATCAAACCCTATTTATATCACATTATACAACTATTCAAATTTAAAATTTTTACTATTCAAATCCCAATCCAAAATCCAAACCCCCAAACAAACACACCCTTATGTAAGCAAGTAGAATCGAGGACGTCGGATTCGAACCATGATCTCCACATCAGCAGTACAGCATACACCCATATTTTATTTTATATGCTGTACTGAAAGTGCAATCAAGCTGAGCGAGGAAAACACGTCACATGTGGAGTTCCCTCACACCGCAAACGCCACCTAACACAACACAACTCTCAACTTCATACATCATACTGATAATGGAGACTGGAGACTGTTCGTAATAAAGTTCATCGTCTCACCACTCATACCTTTTGCTTCCTTCTTCCAAAAATGGCTTCCACACCTCACCATCCTCATCCTCATGTAGCTCTAATCCCATCTGCCGGGATGGGCCACCTGATCCCCTTCCTCCGCCTTTCAGCCATGCTCGCCGCGCGCGGCTGCGCAGTCTCCATCATCGCCGCCCATCCCACCGTCAGCGCCACCGAGTCAGATCATCTCTCGGCGTTCTTCGCCGCCTATCCCGAAATCAAACGCATCGATTTTCATCTCTTGCCTTACAAGAAATCGAACTTCATTAACGAAGATCCTTTCTTCGTTCAGTTCGAAGCCATTGACAAATCGACTCATCTCCTTCGTCCTGTTTTGTCCTCTCTATCACCGCCTCTGTCTGCTGTAGTCTCAGACCTTCCCGTCCTCGGCAGCATCGCCCGGATTACTGAAGATCTTTCCATTCCTACTTATACATTGATTACTACTTCTGCTAGGTTTTTCTGCCTTATGGCTAACCTTTCTCTGCTATTAGCAGCAGGGGACGTCAATGGCGGCACCATTGATGTTCCTGGTTTAGGTCAAGTTCCTGTCTCGAGCATTCCTCCACCAATGCTCAATCCCAATCATTTCTTTTCAGCTACTATTGCTGAAAATACTCTTCCCATGCCTAAACTAAAAGGCATTCTCCTCAACACATTTACCTGGTTTGAATCAGAAGCAATTGAGGCCCTGAATGGCACTGGATTAGCACCCATCCTTCCTGTTGGACCCCTCCAGCCATTACAAACTGTACAAGGAGGATCCAATCTTCCATGGCTGGACCAGCAAGCTCAAGAATCAGTACTCTTCATTAGCTTCGGCAGCAGGACAGCTCTGTCAAAGGAACAAATAAGAGAATTAGGTGCAGGGCTAGAGAAGAGTGGCTGCAACTTCCTGTGGGTGCTAAAGGGCAGCAAAGTGGACAAAGAAGACAACCAAGAAGTAGAAGAGTTGATTGGTGAGGGATTTCTTGAAAGAACACAATCCAAGGGGCTGGTTGTGAAGGGTTGGGTGGATCAAGATCAGGTTTTGGGACACCCATCAATAGGAGGGTTTATGAGCCACTGTGGATGGAATTCAGTGATGGAAGCAGCCAGATTGGGGGTGCCCATTTTGGCCTGGCCATTACATGGGGATCAGAAGATTAATGCTGAGGTTGTTGAGAAGATAGGGTTGGGGCTGTGGAGCAGCAGGGATTGGGGTTGGGGTGGCCAGAAATTGGTGGGCAGAGATGAGATTGCAGATAAGATCATGGAGGTGATGATGGACGAGAAGGTAAGGGATAGAGCCAAACAGATTAAAGAGAGAGCCTGTCTGGTTAGGGATGGTAATGGAGACTCAGAACTCAAGCTTCAGGAAATTATTCGATCATGTATTAAAGAAACATAGGACCCTTTCCCTCCTTGTCCATTTCCATAGTTCTATCTAACATAAATAAATTGTATTGTTATCCAATCCTATCAACATTAAGAACACTCTGCATATGTGGGCTGTCTCTGAAACTGGAATTAGTGAATTTGAATACATCAAATGGCATGAGTAACATCAGAAGAAAGTGGTGTTGGAAAAACATAAAGCAAAGAAAGCTTTAATATTTCAAAGGGAGGCAAGATTATTATACTCGGATGAACAATATGAGATGAAAACTGGACTCAGGAAGAAAGAGCCTTCTTTGAAATAAAGTCGAACGATATGCCATTCTCTTGTAGCCGCTTTTCCAGGTCCGTCGGGCCAAAGACTATCCCCGGGGTGTAAACCCCTCCTTTTGGCAGGTTGTCGCGGTTATGGAGCAGCACAAGTGCACACTGAACTAGAATTATCGGAGTTGTTAGATACCCGATCTCTGGTCCCATTACCCTTGTTATCACTTCAGTGTCCGGTTTCTTCTTCCCCTTGGACGCTAAGCTTATGTCTGAATATCCCTGTCCGACAAACCACATCTTGAAGGAGGCGCTGGCAACTTCTTCCTCGGAAGGTCCAGTCTTCCTAAATGCTCCCATGCTGAAAAATGATGGGAATTTCAGCAGAAGCCATATCCCTAGTGAGAATCTGGTCAGAAGGCCAAGGAATACTCCGAGCACAATAGCAGGGAATAAACCGAGTATTGACTTTTGCCCAAGCTTCACCCCGAAATGAGCTGGCTTCATAGATTCCCAGAAACTTGCCCTCTTTTCAGCATGCTCGGCAGTCTCGTTGACACCGGGTAATCCTTGGGGATTCTCCGTCAGCGTGGAGAGTGTTCTTCTCACCACAATAGAATCCGCTGACGGGAGCTTCAATCCCCACAGGCCTATGTCTTTCTGGTGTTCAATCAAAGTCCCTTTTGATGAAGGGCCTGGAATCTGCAAATTAAACATCAAAGGATTCAAAACTTCAACAGGCATGTCGATCTTTCAGCATTTCATGTCTCAAATGGAAATAGACAATTATGGAATCAACCATTTTTTTCATATTCATTTTCTTCAATGTGGCCCAAAGCAGTTATGACTTATGAGCTATATTATATATTCAGATCAGTGTTCAACTTTGTAGAGAGACAGATAAGCCAACTGATACAACAGAGAACATTCTTTGAGGACTTCAATTACAGCAAAAAGTGCAGCTAATGACCAAATAAGTACGATTGATAGTGTGAAACGTAGACAAATCATAAGAGGTACCTGCGGCCGGGCCCTTCTAGGCCTGGACCTTCTCAGCTCCGCGAGCTTGCTAGCGTTGGCAACTCCCAGGACCGCCGATTCGTACGTCCCAAAATTCCCCACAATTCTCCTATCCGACTCCAGACTCAGATACGCCTCTACCTTATTAGGAGCCGAGGTCCCGGACCAGTGCTTGGAATGAAACATCAACCCTAACTCCGCCGGAACAGAATCGAATCCGCACGCCGACACCACCAAAGCGCCGCTTGCCGCCGCCTTATCGTGGTACAGCGCCTCCATCTTCTCCATAAACTCCGGCTCACCGCTGATGTCCAAATAATCGCAGCCGGACTCGACGCAGGCCGCCACAACAGGCTCGCCGTAGAGCCGGAACGGCCCGACGCAGTCCAGTATAAGCCTCGTCTGCGCGGCGAGGCGCGCGAGGGAGCTCGGATCCGAAGTGTCGGCGGTGAGGAGAGAAACTTTGGGCGGCGGATTGGGGCCGGCCGCCCATTTTAGGGCTTCGGATAACCTCGACGTGCTCCGGCCGGCTAGGGCTAGCGATTTGAGCGCGGAATTAGGAGTATTCAGAAATTTCAGCGCCTCTCGAACGACATACTTCCCGGTGAAGCCGGAAGCCCCTAGAATGACCGCGTCGTAGATCCTCTCCGCCATAGATCCCAACAGGAAGCCGTAATTCGAATGCAGCAGTAATTAGTTGAAGGACGATTAGCGCAGAAATTGTATGTAACAATTAATGGAGAATTGAATGAAGAATCATCGGCATCGGTAGCAGATCATCGTCGTGCGCCTGCCTGCTCTAGTAGGACAGTAACCGCCGTCCTCTATCTCTATCTGATCCCTTTTCCATTAATACCCCACTGGCAGCTGCTGCTGCTTCTTTTTAGCCTTTAATTAACCCCTCTAATTTCTACTTTAAAAAATTGGGAGATTTTCTCCGAAATAAACTATTTTTTTTTTTTCCAAAAAATCAAATTAAATATATATATATATATATATATTTTCATATTAGTATTTATTTCAAGGAATGGGAAAGGTAAAAAAATATTAAGAAAAAAAGTAAACTATTTTTTTGTTTATAAAATAAAAAATATAAAAAAAAATTGCAGCTACTTCAATGTATCAATTAAGACTAAAGATGTGTCTAGAACTATTTTGCAGGTATTAGGTTGGACCAAGGATATACTTGGCGCATGCCTTCGGGTGAGTGCGACGGATTTTTACCGTTATAAAAAAAATAAAAAAAAATTATTGTTGAAGAAAAAAATAAATAAATAATCTGTTGAGAAATATTTTTTTAAAAAAATACAGCTACTATGGATGTATCAATAAAGAATAAATAATTTGAAAAAATTTTGATTAGTGAAAATTCAAGAATAAATATTTTTTATGATTTTATTTTATTTAAATGAATAAATTAAATACAATATTTTGTAAAATTATACTGTAATTATCTTTTTACAAAATCATAAACAGATAAACCTTTGAATATAAATTAAATATAATATTTTATAAAATTAAAGTAATATAATTTAAAAAATATTAAATCTATTTTTTTCTATTTATCTGAATATAATAAAGAAATTTAAAAAAAATGCATTATAGGAGAGAAACTAAATAAATAGAAAGATGTATTAATCAAGCTTGATTTTTATTTTTATTTTTAATTCAAACAAATAAGAAAATTATATATATATTTTTTACTTTTAATTCTCTGTTCTAAATACAGACTTATTTATTTATTTAAAATATGCTTAGTTATTAGGCAACTAACATCATCAAGTTACAAGTACTTGATTATTTGATTGTAGTTTAAAATTTTTGAAATAAAATAAAAATATTAAATTTGAATTTTTTAAAAATGATATTTTAATATATTATTTTATAAGTAAAAATAAAAATATTTTTATTTGTATAAACAAAACCAAACAAATATATAGATACTTTTGAAGATTTTGTCGTATAATTCTTTTAAAAAAATATCTTATTATATAGCAGTAGTTTTTTCATAAAATATTATATTTTTTATGTCTAATACAAATGTATTTTTTTATTTCTATAGTAGATTAATATAAAATATTTATTGATTAAGATGTATAAATTGGGTTTGACATTTTTATCTTTATATTATATATATATATATAATAATAATATAATTGTACTCTACATAAAAATAAAAAAAAATATTTTAATATTTAATTTATAATTATTTTTATTTTAATTAAATATATATATATATATTAACCTATAATAAAAAACCGATAATCAAATGGTAGATTAAATACTTTATAGGCCATTAATTATTTTGCAAAACTTTTATGGCTTTAGTTGCACACGTATTTACGAAGCATGGTTGAATACCTAAATGTGAACAATTCGGTGGGGGCTGCACAAAGTTTCACTTTATAGGGCATTTATCATCTCTGCCCCTAAAATTCAACTAATTAAAATTACGGTGGCCCAAAAATCGAAACGAACAGCCGGACAGTTGAACCGAAACTAAATCGAACCGAATATATTTATATATTTAAATTTTTATATTTTAAAATTTATATTAATAATTATATTCGATTCGGTTACGGTTCAATTTCGATTCGGATATTTGAAATATTTGCATATATTTTGATTTAATTAATATTTTAATTATTTTTTAATATATTATTTTTTAATTTCGGTTCGGTTCGAATTATTTGCAAATATCTTTGGTTAACCGAAATTTTCGGTTCGAATATGGTTAGCGGTTTCGGAGTTTTGTTCGGTTCGGTTCGGATATCAAATACCTGCATATTTGCAAATATCCGTATCCACCCCTAATTAAAATCCTCCAAACAAACATGTTAATTTTCCTTGTACTTTTGATAATTGTATTAACAAGAGCCCATTAGAACCAAAAGCCCAACAATCACCAAACTTTCCTTGGGCCCATAAGCCCAATAACCTCCTCCCAAAGGCCCACATCAGTGAGGCCCACAAGGGCCGAACCAGAAGCCGCCAAAGCCCAAAGCCCGGCCCGAATCTCCCCCTTCAACTGCTCCGTCTCCCACGCACAGTACCCATCGAAGAATCTCAGATCTCCATCCCCAACCATCCCTCTCTTCACCATCTCCGCCGCACACCCCACGCTCTCCTTCGTCCCATAGTACACTCCTCTCATTACCTCCTCGAACACCCCGCTCTTACCCACCATGTCCGCGCTTTCTTCGTCCTTAGGGCTCACTAAGAACAGCCCGTCTTCCAACGGGCCCCCGAAGTACAGGGCCCGGTCGGAAAATATCTCCGACGAGGAGGAAACGTCCAGAGTCGCCGGACGCATTTCCTTTATCGACATCAACGACGGCCGGTTTAGAATTAGACCGGTCGGTCCGATCGGACCGGTCGAGAGGAGGAGGATCACGGTTCTTTCGAAGATGTGGACTCCGTCGAGCTTCTCCGTCGCAATTAGTAGACATCCCTTTTCCGGGTCGTGGATCGGGTGTATCCATTTGTCGCCGATCGGATCTGCGCCGGCGACCAGTCGCGCTCGGAATGCTCGCCAGTCGGAGGCTGTTTGGCAACCTGCAAATGCAATAATTTCAAGAAATTGTTGTAATAATTTCTGATGTAGGGATTAGAATGTAGAATTTTGACTTACATGAAACAGAGAATTGGGCAGCAGCTTTCCCTGTTCGACATTGACCAGACCTTGTCCTAGCAGGACCAATTCTGATTCTAGTTCTTCCATTGATAGGGGAAATAGCTTCTGTGAAGGAATTAGCAGAGACGAAACAGGCTTCCATGGATATTGATGAAGAAGAAACAAGTAGAGAAGAAACAGAGTGTGCGCTTTTTGGGCAAGAGATCATAGGAAGGGTTATAAATATGTGGGGTGAGGTTGTATGATCATCACACCAATTGGAGAATGTCATACCCTTGGATTATTGTACACCTTCTCTACACCACAAACACAGTCTAAACTTTCCAAGAAATGGTCCCTCCAATCCACAATTCATGGCTAGTGTCTTTTCCAGACATGGAGTTGGGTTGGAGTCTCTGTATTTGGATTGCGTAGCAGTCTTTCAGCCACTCATTTTGTCCTCTCCTCTGTAGGCACAAACAGACATTAAACACCGATGTTAGAAATGGATTCATTAGTTTTACAGTGTCTTTTTTAATGTCAACGACGTATATTTTTTACTTTCTACTTCTACTTTTTCAATGGCAATCAAATTTTATTTTCAATTATGTTCTTTCGGCCTATTGGGCCACACTGCAGCTTCACTTATTAGGTTCTTAGTCCAGACCCATTTCTCTTATCACTTTTTCTTCTTTTACTTGGGGCTAGGCCCAACAATATTACCATAAAAATCATCAACTACTAACAAACAAAAAAAAAAATACTATATGCATATAATATAGAGAGAGTTTTGTAATCAAATACTGCGATTATTCCTAAGGCATCAATATTAATTGTATTGTAGAAGCCATATAAAGACACAAACATAGTATAGGATTATAGATTTGTTCACTAATATAATTCCCAATTAAATATTCAACACACTTTTATTTTATTTTATTTTTCTATATTAACATTAAAAAAGTACCTCAATATAACACCCTAACAAACACACACTTAAAGATAAAGATTTTTTTTTTTTGGAAATCAACACAAATAAATAAACAATCGGTTCTTTTCCATGTGCTCTAAATTTTATAATAACTACAAAGTCCTTTAGTATAATGTAGAATAGGGTTGGGCGAAGAAAATAAAATCAAACGGCTGGGATCAATTTCATTTTTAAATGAACCAATATGAGTTATGCATATTATAATATTTAAAAAATTATATTAATTATTAATATTGAAAGGCGCCTGGGAGAGTGAAGTAGAACGCTACTCCGAGCGAGCCCTGAGCCGTGGAGAGCGCAATCCATAATTTCCCATTGTAGCGAACGCGTGTTTCTCAATTTTGATTTTGACCAAAAGTTTTATTTATTTAATTTTATAATTTCTTTATTTATTTTTAATTCAAATTGCCAAAACTGTCCCCTCCGTCACCGCAGGCAGTAGGCGACACCCTCACCCCCACCCCAACCTGCGGAGAGAGAGCTCAACATCTCTTCCCGAACGGTGCTCCGATCTTCCATTCCATTGGTAGTTTCTGCTGTTCCTCGAATCTGTTCGTGGAATTTGCATTTCTCGATTGTTGAGCTTTTGGATGGTTGTGAATCGTGCGCTTTTACTATCAATAGCTTCGTGTGATCTTTGCTTTTGATAAGTTGGAAGGCGCTGGGGGCAGATCTTGCTGCAGCTTTCTTTAGGTATTGTATTTTTCCGCTGCAATTTCAGATCTGCGTTATTGTTATTATTGTTTGTTCTTTTGTACGATTTACCGGGTGGGGAAATGTAGTTGGATGCGATTACGTGGATTTCTTCTTCGCAATTGGACTTGAGTTTGGAAATGATTTGTATTGTCTCGCCAGGATATTAAGCAAGTAGTTTTTTGTTGATGGTTTATTGATTGGTCAAATTGCGGAAGGTTATCTGACTGCAGTAATTGTTTGATTTTCTTTTTGTCAGAAAACTTATTTCGTTAACTATGGCATTTGGAATGAAATGGACACTGACCTGCTTAGTAGTCTTAGTTTGGTGTTAATTGCCCACAGGCTACCTTTTACTAGATAATGTGCAAGATATTGAACCCAATAAAATTCTTATAGCCTCATGTGGCGTTGCTTATAAAATATAAAATCAAGGTTGCCAATTTTGTCTTTAATTTTCTTGAATTTTGGTTAATGAAAATATTTTTTTAGTTTTATGGTAGTTACCAAACGTGTCTCGCTGATCGTACCATCCTATGATCTCTAATAAGTTGTTCACTTGTTGAGTGTTAGACTGGGCAGAGGAAGATTTTATTGGATCATGTTAGTATTGTTCCTAGTTCTGTAATCTGACCTGTGATTGTTCATATATGTTATTGATATATGTTAATTGTGAATATATTGTGAAGGGCAATATTAAGCTGGATTGGAGGAACCTTCTTTGTGCATGCATTGTATGCATAAATTCTGTGAGAGTATAGAAGCAAGATGGCTATGAATTATGTTCATCAGCAGGAAGTCAATGGCTCGGTTGACCATTCCAATTGTTTGATCGCGCCTTCTGGTGGAGCCTTTGCTTGCATGGTGAATTCAGAAATTGGTGCTGTTTTGGCTGTGATGCGTAGAAATGTAAGGTGGGGAGTTCATTATGCTTCTGATGATGAGCAGATAGAGCATTCTCTTATAACATCCTTCAAGGAGCTCCGGAAGAAGATATTTTCATGGCAAAACCGTTGGCACAGCATTGATCCAGTTTTATACCTCCAGCCATTTCTGGATGTCATAAAATCTGATGAGACTGGCGCACCAATCACTGGTGTTGCATTGTCATCTGTCTACAAAATCCTAAATCTACAGATACTGGATTCGAAAACTGTGAATGTAGATAATGCTTTACACCTAATTGTTGATGCTGTAACAAGCTGCCGATTTGAGGTGACCGATCCAGCATCTGAGGAAGTTGTACTGATGAAGATTCTTCAAGTTCTTTTGGCTTGTATGAAAAATAAAGCATCAGTTAGTTTGAACAACCATCATGTATGTAGCATAGTGAATACTTGCTTCCGAATAGTTCATCAGGCAAGCTCTAAAAGTGAATTGCTGCAGAGGATATCTCGCCATACAATGCATGAACTTGTCAGATGTATTTTTTCCCACCTTCCTGACTTGGACCATAAAAGACCGGACATTTCTAATGAGAAAAGCTCTTCCTCCAAACTAGAGGTACTAATACCTTATTCATGCACCATATTTGATCAGCTTTGTCACTGCCATACGCGTCAAACCACCAGGAGATATACTGGTGACACTCATAAATTTTAGACTGTGATATGTTAAGCATATTGAATGATTATACTAAGGAAACAAATACAGAAGTCTTTATATCTCCTTTATGTACTAGTAACGATCTAGGAGGATGGCCTTTCCAAGATTTTTACTACATATATCAGCAAAGCTATAACTTTAAGTTTAAGTTAATAGATACTACAGCTTCAGTGTTTATTTTTTTGGGGGGATTATCCGAAAACTGCTAACATCCGTAGATCATTCCGGTTACATACCTTATTCTTTTGACAAATATGCTTGTGTTTGAGGTTGATGCATGCAATATTAAATAGTTCATCTTTTAAAAATACAATTTCTGTTGCAGGAAAGTGTGGCAACACAAAGTCACACTCTTGAGGAAAAGCAATATGTGGATGGTTATGCCTCTGCAAAATCTGACAGTCATGTACTTGAGACCCGTCAAGGGAAAGATGGCACCCTAACTTCTGATTCTACAATGATGGAGCCTTATGGTATTCCTGCTATGGTGGAAATATTCCATTTCTTTTGCTCTCTTCTAAATGTGATGGAGAACATTGATATAATTCCCAGATCAAATCCAATAGCTTACCATGAAGATGTTCCTCTGTTTGCTCTGGGCTTGATTAATTCTGCAATAGAATTAGGTGGATCTTCTTTTGGGAATCATCCTAAATTATTGGCTTTGATACAGGAAGAACTGTTTTACAACCTGATACAGTTTGGTCTGTCAATGAGTCCGCTAATCCTTTCAACAGTTTGTAGCATAGTTCTGAATCTTTATCACCATCTCCGCACTAAGTTAAAGCTGCAGTTTGAAGCTTTTGTTTCCAGCGTGCTGTTGAGGACTGCACAAAGCAAGTATGGAGCTTCTTACCAACAGCAGGAGGTTGCTATGGAAGCTCTTATTGACTTCTGCAGGCAGCCTATGTTTGTTCCTGAATTGTATGCAAACTACGATTGTGATATATCTTGTACCAATGTTTTTGAAGACCTTGCCAATCTGTTATCAAGGAGTGCCTTTCCAGTGAACAGCCCTTTATCTGCAATGAATATTCTTGCTCTGGATGGTCTTATTGCTTTGGTTCAGGGCATGGCTGATCGAGTAAGTCATGAATCTTTGGGCTCGGGAGAAGCTTCCCAAGAACTTGGGGAATATAAACAATTTTGGACTCTGAGATGTAATGATTACTGTGATCCTCATCAGTGGGTTCCATTTGTTCATCATATGAAGAACATAAAGAAAAAATTGATGATTGGTGTTGATCACTTTAACAGGGATCCCAAGAAGGGCCTGGAATATCTTCAGGGGATGAAGTTGTTACCTGAAAAGTTGGACCCCAAAAGTGTGGCATTATTTTTTCGATATACAATTGGATTAGAGAAAAATCTTATTGGAGATTTTCTAGGGAGTCACGATGAATTTTGTGTACAAGTTCTTCATGAGTTTGCTAGAATATTTGATTTCCGAGACATGCATTTGGACACTGCTCTGCGCATTTTCTTAGAAACTTTTAGATTGCCTGGGGAGTCCCAGAAGATACAGAGAGTGCTTGAAGCTTTTGCCGAAAGCTATTATGAGCAGTCACCAAATATTTTGGTCAATAAAGATGCTGCTCTCCTGCTATCATATTCTCTGATAATGCTCAACACTGATCAGCACAATGCACAGGTCAAAAAGAAGATGAGTGAAGAAGATTTCATTCGGAACAACCGAAAAATCAATGGTGGAAATGATCTTCCTCGAGAATTCTTGTCTGAGCTTTATCATTCTATCTGTGAAAATGAAATTCGTATGGTTCCTGATCAAGGTGGTGCTATTGGCCTTCTAACTCAAAGTCACTGGATCGGTCTGACACACAAAGCAAAGCAGACATCGCCCTTCATCATCTCTGGCTCTGGTTCCCAACTCGACTATGATATGTTTAGTATCTTGTCTGGTCCTGCTATAGCTGCTATATCTGTAGTGTTTGATCATGCAGAACAGGAAGATGTTTTGCAGTTATGCATTGATGGGTATTTGGCCATCGCCAAACTTTCTGCCTCGTATGGTTTGGGTGAAGTACTTGATGACTTGGTTATATCCCTCTGCAAATTTACGACATTGCTGCATCCATCTTTAAGTGAAAAGCTGATTATGTATTTTGGGGATGACACCAAAGCTAAGATGGCAACGGTAGCAGTTTTTACCATTGCCAACCGGTACAGTGACCATATTCGGTCAGGCTGGAGAAACATTCTGGACTGCATCTTGAGTTTGCACAAGTTGGGAGTTCTTCCTTCTCGTCTTGCTACTGATGCTACCGATGAGTTGGAGTCTTCAAACGACAACGATCAAGTGAAGAAATTGGGAACTAATTCATTATCATCTCCGGCTCCAGCAGCTGCTCCTTCCAGAAAATCGTCTGGATTCATGGGCAGGTTTAGCCTTCTGTTATCGCTTGACGCAGATGAACCTGCACCACAACCCTCCGAGGAACAACTTGCTGCTCGTCAGCGCACTATCCAGACAATACAAAACTGCCACATTGATAGTATATTCGCTGAGAGTAAATTTCTTCAGGCAGAATCTCTAACACAACTGGTTCGAGCACTTGTCATGTCCGCAGGGCGTCCCCTCAAAGGGAATAACTCTGCGGAGGATGAAGAGACAGCTGCTTTCTGTCTGGAGTTGCTGATTGCAATCACTCTTAATAACCGGGATAGAATCATGCTTCTGTGGCAAAATGTTTACGAGTATATTGCCAGTGTCGTTCAATCAACCGTGATGCCTTGTACTTTGGTCGAGAAAGCTGTCTTTGGTCTCCTTCGTATATGCCAGCGATTGCTTCCATACAAGGAAAATCTTACCGATGAGCTTCTTAAATCTCTGCAACTCGTCTTGAAACTCGATGCCCGGGTAGCTGATGCTTATTGCGAACAAATCACACAGGAAGTGATGCATCTTGTGAAAGCAAACGCAATGCAGATAAGATCGCATATGGGCTGGCGGACGATCATTTCTTTGCTCTCCATCACCGCCCGGCATCCAGAAGCTTCTGAGGCAGGTTTCGAGACCCTGTCTTATATCATGTCTGAGGGTGTCCACCTGTCGCCCGCAAACTATGTGCTTTGTGTGAATGCAGCCAGGCAGTTTGCCGAGTCCCGTGTAGGTCATGTCGAACGATCTGTCAAATCGTTGGATCTAATGGCCGACTCGATCGGATGTCTAGTGAAATGGTTTCACCAGACTAAGGAAGCTGCGGGCGAAGAAGCTGCAATGAAGATGGCCGAGGATATTCTTGAAATGTGGATGAGACTCGTGCAGGCGCTGCGGAAAGTATGTTTAGATCACCGAGAAGAGGTCAGAAACCACGCCATCTTGCAGTTACAACGTTGCCTCACCGGAGTGGACGGGATTCGTATCCCGACCGAACTCTGGCTGCAATGCTTCAATCTTATAATCTTCACGTTGGTCGAAGATCTTCCGGCAATGGCGCAGCAACATTCTCCGAAGGAGCTTCGCAGCATCGAAGGATCAATCGTACTGTCCCTTAAGCTTTTGTCGAAAACATTCCTACAATCGCTCCCCGACATCTCTCAAGACCAATCCTTCTGCCAACTCTGGGTTAAGGTCCTCAACTGTCTCGAGAAGCACATGAACATCCGATTCAGAGGGAAACGCAGCGAGAAAATCCACGAGTTAGTCCCCGAGCTTCTCAAGAACACGCTACTGGTGATGAAAACCAGCGGCATCCTTACGCCTAGCGATCCAGTCGCCGGAGACAGCTTCTGGCAGCTGACGTGGCTACACGTTAAGAACATCGCCCCGGCGCTGCAGTCGGAGGTTTTCCCGACGGAAGAACTCGAGAAACATGGCAAGACCGGATGCAGCCCTATGCCTGATGGGAATGTACATGTTTCGCAGAATGAAACTGCAGCCTGAGGATATATATATATATAGATACATATATATATACACACATTGTGCTTCTGCTTTTCTTTTCAGCTCCAGAGCAAGTGAATTTATCCACAGCAGCAGAAAGCCCGTCGCTTCTTTGGGATGGAATTGACATTAATTGGCGAGGAATATGATCGATATATATATATATATATATAGATGTATGTATACAGTGAAACTGAATTGTTTTTGCAGCACTGAGTGTATGGATCGGTACGATTTGGTAGGGCAAAATGGTAGTGTGTTTTTGTACGATTACATGGGGAATTTTTAATAAGTATATTATAGTATGTTAAGAATTTAAGATAGGTAATAGTGGATAATTAGGGAGTATATTTGTAATTTAATTGTAACGCATTGGGGGTATATTTGTAATTTCAAGTGCATTCAAGTTGCTGTGTACATTTTCTAGAAGGCGGGCTCCCGGGTGGTTACACGTGTCGTTATAGTTGCATACGCTGAAAGGAGTTGATTCGTATTTCCTCCTGTGTGTACTTATTTATCGGTGTCATTGCCATCGTTTCCGTCGGAATGCGAGGTTGAGTCGGCGGTGAGGTTTGGTTTTGTTTTCGTTTTGATTTCGGTTAATCTGAGAAGTTGCGATGAGTGAGGGGTTTGAGAGCTGCGAGCGCCAGTACTGTGAGCTCTCTGCTGCTTTGTTGAAGAAGACGTTTTCGGTTAGCCGTCTGGATGGAGGTTTGTTCTTGTTCAAGTACTGATTCGATTTGGAAAGTTGGATTTATTGTTACTTTTCTGTTGTTTATTTTCGTATCGGTATGGATGGTTTGAAGATTGCTGATGAAAAGGATTGAGAAGTTGTTTTTAGGCAGGGCGAATGCGGCGTGAAATGTTTTGTTTCTCTAGTTCTGTGAATTGGCTATGGCAGAAGCTAGTAATAGGTGTGCTTATGGATTTTAACTGAGCAAACGCTTGAGAAGATAGATTGCATTTTGTTTTGGCGATTGTCATTCCGGCCATATGAATTTGGTAAATTTTCTAGATTAGTGGGGATTGTCTATGGAAATTTCTTAATTAGTGTGATGTTAGGTAAGTTTCTGTATAGACTTCTGATTAGGCTTAGGGTGTGTTTGTTTGGGGGTTTGGATTTTGAGTTGGGATTTGAATAGTAAAAATTTTGAATTTGAATAGTTGTATGATGTGATATAAATAGGTGTTGATGTGATATTTTGAATGTAAAATTAATTTTTAGTATAATATAAAAAATGAAAAATAGGTATTTGATTTGATGTTTTTGGGGTGAAAAAATTGGATGAATAGTAAAAATCTAATTAAATCCCCCAAACAAACACACCCTTAGTGTAAATTTAAATCTCTATTGCTAAATTGGCTCAGTGCACTATGTTGTTACTAATTCTCTGTAAGTATTCTTGTAAACAGTGAAGAATGACATACAAAAATAAATAGAATGTAAAAAATGGAAAATGAAAAATCCTTTTCGATTTTCTTCAGGAAGCTGAAGCACAAATTTTGTGCCTTGCAGTGAATTTACTTTGCATATGGTGAGGTGAAATACATTATATTTGATGTATGCGCACCTACATTTTGTAGGGGTGTTAATCATTTTCTACCATTCTCCTGTTTTTCACCTTAATGACTTTATTGTTCCTGCAAGCCGTGGGGAAATTATACCAATCCTTTCCTGAGTGGAAGCAGATAAAGTTCACATTTAGCATTGTCGCATAGAATCGATGAATGAAGACAATGGATTTTATGTGATAACTAGTATCTACCAAGTTTTCACTCTTGCTCTCGTGTGTTCACACTTTTATGTGAGAAGGATTAGAATGTAATATTTGTGTTCATCTGGATACATCATCAGTTGTCTGTCAAATTCTACACATACCTCAGATCCTTCAATTTAGTGGAATATTATGTGATGTACAGATTTGCTTCTCTTTCAGTGCTTGGTCGTGTTCCTCTGGGGTTAATTACTGTTTCTGCATTTTTTTTGTAGTCTATCTGTTTTACATTCTCATAACTATACTGAAATGATCATACAAGATAATTAAACTTTGTTTCTTCACAGAGCAAAGGAGACAAAAGATTTCTGAAATCAAAATCGAGTTGGATGAGGCTGACACTTTGGTACATATTAGTCCATCTCTATCAGAATGTTCACTGTTTTTTCTCTGAGAGTTCTTCTCATACCGTGGCTGATTAATCCTGTAGATTCGTAAGATGGATTTCGAGGTTCAGAGTTTGCAGCCAAACGTTAAGGCGCCTCTTCTTCCCAAGCTGAGGGAATATAGATCTGATTTAAACTTTCTGAAAAGTGAGGTAAAGCGAACTGCATCAAAATACCTTCAAGCTGCCCGCAACGAGCTGCTGGAGGGAGGAATGCCTCAAGCATCTACCGTATGTTAATTCCCCCAACAATGCCACTGCCGCATTTTTAAGTTATCTTCAGCATTTTAGTTTTTCAATTTCATCCGACGCACACTCCATGCCCTATATATATATATATATATATCGAATTCTTGCTTGTAGTTGGTGAAGATTTGAGTCCTAGATTTAGAAAAGGTCGATCTTTTCCCTTTATTGTATGTGTGCTTGATCCATTGATCTTGCTCCGATTTTCGCAGGCATCTCAGAACCAAAGGGACAGATTGTTAGCCTCAACTGAAAGATTAAACAAATCTGGAGACAGGATTGAAGAAAGTAAAAAAGTCATGCTAGAATCAGAAGAGATCGGTGTCTCTCTTCTCCAGGGTTTACACCAACAACGGCAATCGCTCTTACAAACTGACAATGTGGTATTTGTGTCTTACCCCGTATATTTTTGCATATGTTTAAAAATCTGAGTGTGTGTTTCTTTTAAATGCACCATGTGAAGTGTTCTCCAGTCCGGTGAACTCATTCCTGGTTCAAAATATCTATGTTTCTGCCATAATTGAAATGAACAAAAAAATGGTGAAAGGATTCTAAGCTTATTTGATGGTTGAAATGTTTATGTTGCAGCTGCATGGCATGGATCACAAGATAGGCAGAAGCAGCGGCATTGTAACGACGATGTCGAGAAGGATGAGCAGAAACAAATGGATTATTGGCTCTTTAATTTTATTGCTGCTGCTTGTCATTGCCATGATCTTGTATTTTAAGCTCTCCAAATGAACCAAGGTGCGTACAAATTATGTGCTTGCTATAAGCATTTTGATTATATAATGAAATATGTGGTTGTGGACTAACCTTAATTTTCTGACTGAATGATATTCCAAATATTAGTCATTGCTTTTTTTGTTGGATTATAAGAAATGATAGGATTTTGATTTATTCCAATTTTGGTTGGGAAAAAAAAGGTGATGTGAAATTATTCTTGAAGAGTATTGAGTTTTGGAATGTGATTTTTTATATGTTCGAATTGATCAGTCCATTGTACTTTGTAATAATCCCAAAAAAAATAGACTTAACCCATTAATACTGGGGTTTATTTCCAGCCCATTTTAATTTTAATTGGGCAAAGATTGCCATGAAAAGGGCCATATGGAGATTTGAATTGATAATTGATCCAGCACTACATTTTTTAATTGGACTATATAATGTGGGTTGTCTAAACCCATTTATTTTGGACTTTTATTTGCCCAATAAAACACTATTTAATTCATTGATCCAGCCCACTTCCCTTTTTGATTGGGCTAGACAATGAGGGTTGTCTAAACCCATTTATTTTGGACTTCTAACTAATTAATTCATTGATCCAGCCCACTTCCCTTTTTAATTGAGCCCAAAAGTTTCGATTTATCCTATTTAATGTGGGCTTTAAAGTCCAATAAAATAAAATCCAGATTGACTCGGCCCATTTAAATCCATTTGAGTCACAGAAGCCCCTAGGCCGAACCATTAATAATACTGGTCTTTAGAACTAACAATCCCATCTTCGTGAGCTTGATTCTAAAATTTGAAATTGATTTGCAATTAATTAGAATAATAATATAAATAAATTTAAATATAATACTTTAATAATAAGTAATACTTTAATAAATTTAATAAATAATTATTCTATAATATAAATAATTATAAATTAAAATTAAAATAATTAATTAATTTAATTAAAATTAAAAAAATAAAATTTAAAAGAGATTAAAGTGTGTAATCATTTTTTAAAACAAGAAAATGATAGGACGGATAGAAACGACCTGAACATCCTATTTAGGACGGAGAGAATATAAAATAAAAAAACAATAATTTGATTTAATATTTTAAAATTGAAAAAAAAAATTAAGGAACAGAAAAGTCCCCAATAGAACCCCTAAACAAACACAAACTATCATTCCCTAGGTGATTCGACTTCCTCATGAAATGGCCAATGGAGTGCGCCAGTGTCTCCTCACTGGCCCGCCATTGCCGAGCCCTGGCTAGATCATGCGCCCGCCTCTCCGCACCGGAGGCCGGCCAGCAGCTGCACGCCGCCGCCATCACCGCCGGTCTCGCCGCCCTCCCAATGCTGTATCTCCCCAACGTTATCCTCCACATGTACGCAGCTTGCGGCGACCTACTGTCTGCACGCAAGGTGTTCGACGGAATTCCCGTCGCTTATAAAGACGCCGCCGACTGGACTGCGCTCATCGATTGCTGCTCCCGCTGCGGATCGCCCATGGATAGCCTCAAATTGTTCGTCGTCATGCGGCGATTGGGAGTTCCCGTCGACGATATCACCGTGGTTTCGGTTTTCAGCATCTGCGCCAAATTGGGGAACAGCTCCGTCGGGGTTCAATTGCACGGATGCACGGTCAAATTAGGGTTGGATAGTTGTATCAAATCACGGAATTCCGCCATGGATATGTACATCAAGTGTGGACTAATGGCGGATGCGAAGAGAGTGTTTTACGAAACGACGGGAAGGAGTGTCGTTTCGTGGACGATTCTGCTGTGGGGAGTGGCGAAATGGGAAGGATTGGAGGAAGCACACAAACTGTTCGACGAAATGCCCGAGAAGAACGAAGTTGCGTGGATGATAATGATCTCGAGATATGTTGAGAATGGCTTTGTAGAGGCAGCATTCACGTTGTTATCGGAAATGACAACGGATTTCGGACTGCGATTCGACTCGGGTTCTCTTTGCACGTTGCTGTCGGCGTGCACGCAGTCGGGAGACGTCGCGACGGGGAGATGGGCGCACGCATACGGTCTTCGATCAAATATGGACGCCGCTACGGATGTTCGAGTGGGTACCGCTTTGCTCGACATGTACGCAAAGTGCGGGCACATTGACTATGCTCTTCGAGTATTCAAGTGCATGGCCGAAAGAAATGTGGTTACTTGGAATGCGATACTTGGAGGGTTAGCGATGCATGGAAGAGCCACGACGGTTTTGGAAATGTTCGACCGGATGGTGGACGAGGTAAAGCCGAACGATGTGACGTTCACGGCAGTGTTAAGCGCCTGCAGCCACGCCGGGCTGGTGGATCGAGGCCGGGAGGTGTTCCACCGTCTCAGAAGTGCGTACGGAATGCCGCCGTCGATGGAGAACTACGCGTGTGTCGTGGATCTTCTGGGTCGGTCCGGGCGATTAGACGAAGCGGAGGCTGTTATACGCAGCATGCCGATGAAGCCAAACGAGGTCGTGTTAGGATCGTTGTTGGGAGCGTGCAGCGTCCACAGAAAACCCGAGCTGGGAGAGCGGCTCGTGCAAGATTTAATCCGAATGTATCCCGACAATACCGAGCACCACGTCTTGCTCTCGAACATGTACGCGTCGTCGGGGAGGTCGGATAAGGCTGATTCTTTCCGGCATGATCTTCGAGAAAAAGGGATTAGAAAAGTTCCCGGAATGAGCACCATGTTCGTCGACGGGCGAATCCACCGGTTCAGCGCCGGGGAAAGATCGCACCCGCAGATCATCGATATATATGCAATGCTAGATGAGATGATCCAGAAACTAAAGTCAGCAGGCTATGTTCCCGACATTTCTTGCCAGATCCTATCGGGTAGCGGCGACGAGGAGGCGGAGAGGGCTTTGATGTGCCACAGCGAGAAACTCGCCTTATGCTTTGGGCTTCTCGGCACAAAACCCGGTACGCCTCTTTATATATTCAAGAACTTGAGAATTTGCCGAGATTGTCACTCCGCTATGAAGTTTGCGTCTAGAGTTTACGGAAGGGAAATCGTGATTCGAGATAGGAACCGTTTTCACTCGTTCAAGCATGGCTTGTGTTCTTGTTCCGATTATTGGTGACATCTTGAGTTCATGTTATGATCTTTCAACTTAAAACCAATTGGTGCGAGACAATATTCACCACTCTCCCTTTGAGATGATAATTTCGAAAATTCATACCGGATCAATACTCAATACGGATACTATGACTCTGATACCATGTTAATAAGGGATCCGAACTTTTGATGATAGGTGGAGTGTCCTTCACCCTTATAAGCCAAGAGAGTTCCCAGTGGAACAATATTCAACAATAAAGTAATCGTAAATCGGATCAAAAATCCTTAGCTTGTCGCGCTAGAGCCTTCCTCGTTATCGCCTTCTTGAATTCGCCGTAATCCGCGAGCAAGCTGCCGTTAACTTTATCCTTCATATTTTGCAGTAATCTCTTGAGAACCTGTGGCATAGAAACAAGAATTGGTTCTCAAAATGATCAATCCTCACTCAAATAGAGAGGGAGATCCAAATGCCCTAACCGACTCTGCAACGTCGCGACGAATATCTTCAGGAACCAATGCGAGTACGGGCGATACAACGAAGCTTATGGTCATTTCCAGCTGTCCTTTCAGGCGGCTTCTTGGCGAGGAGCTCCGGTCAGAGTAGAGCGCCCCTTTTACGCCTAGGGAGAATTGAGATGGCTTCAGCATGTCATCTAACCCTTGAAGCTCCCATCTTATCTGCACCGAGTAAGGATCAGTCCTGTTTTTCCATTTAAAGAAAAGGTTTTTAATGGCGGGAGGAATATCGATCGTTCATTTTGTTTAATACTTACAATGTCAAGCTCAAGAACCTTAGAAATGTGTAAAGGGACGCCGGGAGGGTACCCTAGCCCTGTGGATTTGCATCGGAGCCTCATGTCGACGACCGGCGACACTGTCAGGAAGAGGAAGTTTATCGGCAGCATGTAGACTCTCCATTCTTCCTGCACTCAGCTGTATTATATTCCCTTAGTTTCAATATATTTGCCACTTCCTCCAACTGTCAAAACTGTCTCTTAAATTTTTGCACAATTCTATTTATAATAAACTTTATCCGTTTATAATTTTATTACTTTTATTTTAACTGATATTAGTCCATTTCACTGTTTTGTCTATTTATTTAACTATTTTTTTAATCAATTATTTAATAAATTTTTTATAATATCCCATCTTACATTTTACATATTCTAATTCTAACTATTTTTTTTCCAAAAACATTAAATCAAACATTTATTTTTAATTTTTTATATTATACTATAAATCAATTCTGCGTTCAAAATATTACATCTACCCCTGTTCAAATTTAAAATTTTTACAATCTCAAATCAAAATCCAAGCTCCAAACAAACACACCCTATATGTTGTGTTTTACTTTGATTTGATATTTTGAAAATTTGAGTAGTGCCAAAATATCAGAAATTGTGTAAACAGAGCAAAACAAGAGCAAGTTGTGTGTTGTATGGCGAGGATTATAATTCAGACAGAAGAGGGGAAGGGAAGTAGTGTTTTTTTACCTCATTTAATTGGTGACTTCTTCGCTTGTCAGGAAATATGGCTCTGAAAACCCTCGGCTTATCTTCCAGATACTCATCAAACGAAGCCTGCCAATTTCAGCATCTTAAATAAAAAATTCCAGAAAGAATAATCTTGCAGTTGCAGTTGCAGGTATGAATTGAAAGAGAGGGAGTGTTACTACAGTACTGACTGACCCCAGGGATTTCGTAGAGAGGAATGTTGGTGGAAAGCCTCGAAGTGTAAGTACATGGATGAGAACGAGATTCCATCTTCTTCATCATCATCGTCTTCCCCTGCCCCTGTCTGGAACTGCACCGCCATTGGAACTGCAATGTTCTCACCTTCAAAGGGCTTCTCTTCAAATGGGGCAGCAGCAAGGCACGGGCATTACTGCAAGATGACGGTGTTGATGATGATGATGATAGCACTTCCTTCATTTTTTCTTAAAGAAAAATGGGTAAAGGTTCATTAATGGCGGCCACTCAACCATATACATCAATCCTCTCTTGCCTGCCTGTCTGTCAGTCTGTCTGTCTGCCATGGCGAATATGAAGTAAATGGCTGAGAGCGTGCCACGAGTCCCTCTCTGGACCCATCTCCTCTTCCCAGTCATTATTGTTTTTATCCATTTCCATTCTATCAAATCTTGAGGCCCAATTTCCAGCTAGCCCACCATTAAAGCCCTACCCAAATTCAGATCCGAGGGTCCCTCCGCCGATTCAGCCGGATGACTAATTTCTCGACATTTCTATATCTATATCCATATATATAGATATATGTATCTGACAATCGACATCTTGGGTAGTCTTTTCCAAATCGATCAAAAAAATGTCGTACTATCCAAAAGGCCACCACCGCGGCGACGACGACGAGGTCGACGACTTCGATGAGTACGATCCGACCCCGTACGGCGGCGGATACGACATCGCTTTGACGTACGGCCGTCCGCTGCCGCCGTCGGAGGAGATCTGCTACTCCCACCAATCTGGCTCTCTAGATTACGACTACGACCGCCCTCAGTACACCTCCTACGCTGAGCCCTCCGCCTACGCCGACGACGCTCTCGACAACGAGTACAAGAGCTACGCCCGACCCAAGTCCCGACCCGGGGGAAGGCCCGATCACGGATCCGAATACGGATCCGGGCGGAGGAATGAGGGCGATGAGTATGGGTCGGGTGGGTATGGCCGGAGGCCTGAGAGGAATGAGTATGGAGATGAGAGGCCAAGCTATGGCAGATCTGAGGAGGAGGATTACAGAAAGCCCAGTTATGGGCGATCTGAGGATGATGACTATAGAAAGCCTAGCTATGGAAGATCTGAGGAGGAGGGTTACAGGAAGCCTAGCTATGGACGATCTGAGGAGGAGGATTACAGGAAGCCTAGCTATGGCAGATCTGAGGATGATGAATATAGGAAGCCTAGCTATGGACGATCAGAGGAGGAGGATTACAGGAAGCCCAGCTATGGGAGATCTGAAGAGGAGGATTATAGGAAGCCCAGCTATGGGAGATCTGAGGAGGAGGATTACAGGAGGGGTGGGTATGGGAGATCTGAGGAGGATGATTACAGGAAGCCTAGCTATGAGAGGCGTGATGAGGATGATGAAGAAGGCTATGGGCGCAAGAAATATGTGAGAGAGATTGCACCATTTTTAATGAATGATGTTTGGTTGATTGATTTCTTGTGGTTTTTAAGATTTTAATTGGGAGGTGTTGTTATTTGCAGGGAGGGGACTCTGAAGATGATGATGAGGAGAGGAGGCAGAACCGTTACAAGCATCATCATCACAGGCAGGAATATGATGATTGAAGAAGACAATACACCACACTGCGACACCACAGTCTTGATTGTTGCGGTGTTTTGTGGTAAGAACAGGGATATTGTTGTTGGTGTGATTTTCAGGGACCAAATGAGACATAATAATAATAATAATAATACTAATACTGTGTTTGTTTTTGTTGTGTGGTTTGAGCATTGTGGGGTTGTGTTGTGTTGAGTTGCCCACATGCAAAGAATAAAGGGAAGAAGAAGAAGAAGTATGACTTGGTTTTGTTTGATGTTGTATCTTCTTCCCATCTGTGATTTTCTTTGCTATCTATCCTCCTATGCACTATGTGTTTGCAAGGACTCTTTCTTATGTGTTGTTGTCAGCCTTTATTGGTGGAGTATAAAAAGTCTTTCTATTCAATGCATGCAATGGCACCGCTACTTTAGACTTGTTCTATTCTTGTTGGTATTAATGGGATGAGATGAGATGAGATGAGATGATGATCCATTCTTGTACTCATCGTCCTCTCTCATATAAATGATATGATGATGGCAATGGTTTTGCCATCGACTTTTCAAAGAGCATGGAGATAGAGAGGATAATATTCTAAGCTTTGAAAGACCACGTGAAAATGGCCTTAGAAATTTCAGAAATTATTGCATTAATGGCCTAGCCCGACCTGGCCTGGCAATGTGTGTGCCGAAATGCCTATTGGTCCATTGACAGCCATGGATAACCGACAGCCAAATTTATTGCACCACAGACCACTACCTAAGCGACGCATTCAACTGTATTCTAGTAGTCTTGTACTACTACGCGTGCGCACTAATTTCAGGGAATAAATATGAGGGGGTCCAAGAGAATACGACCTAGATTAAAAAATCATAAAATTTTAAAAAAATTAAAATATTTATGATAATATAATATAATATAAAAAATTAAGTATTTAACTTGATTTTTAAAAAATAGTAGAATTTTTTTACAATTATCCAAGCACTTGCACACTCCTTATTTCATTCCAAGGGTGTTTTCTCTGTAGGTTGTTTAATGTCATATACACTCTTAAGCACGCGTACGACCAGCACTAAATGCACAGATAATTGCCATTTTGGACCTAGTTATTAGATACATACTATTGTAACTTTTGTATTTCTTTTTTTAGATGTAATCCGTAGTTATGTAAATTTCCGAATTAAGAGTGTTCAAAACTTTCAAATGAAATGATTATTTAAGATGAAACTCACACCATTCGTGTTAAAGAATTTTAGAATGAAATAGTCATTTAACTAACATATAAGTCAGGCCAGCAGAACCTCACCGGTCACTCTACTGCACCAACTCAGCATATTATTGTACCTTGATCCGTACATCTGCTGTCGGTTCAAATAGTAATGAACTGAGTTTATGCCCACGACAGCGTGTTAGATAGGCTTAGCGACTCCTGGGATGATCCATACCGTCCACGGGTTAGATCATCCATAAGGGACTCGTGGTCCCCGGAGCTGCTAATCATGATCCAACATTATTGGCAACAAAGTAGAGAATTGAACTACTCAATTGCTACGCAGCGCAGGTCACTAGTTAAGAAAAAGATAGCATAATTAGTCTCACTCATACCTGAAAAAGACCAAATCGTCTCTTGCTGTTCGATGCTCTCATCCTAATGTGGCAGCAATGTCACATTATAAATACCACTGGATATCCTGAAACCATCCACAACCAAGATACAAAAAATAGAGAGAGAGAGAGAGAGAGAGCAAAGATGAAGTTTGGGAAGGAATTAGCTTCCCAGATGGTGCAAGAATGGCAGGGAGCATACCTGGATTACAACACTCTCAAGAGGCTGCTGAAAGATCTGCTGATATACAGGAAGCAGAAAGGAATCTCCACCTACTCCGGTCATTCGGGCCGGGTACGCTCCCTCAAGAGGAAGCAAAGCTTGTACAGGGCGTTCAGCGGGCTGACAGGCCGCTACCGGGGAGGATCACCGAAGATTAAGGATGACGACAATGAAGAACAACCAATACTAGTGAATGCAGTGAAGGAGGAAGAGGAGGAAGGAACAGAGAGTTATTACCAGACCATGTTCTTGAGACTGAACGAGAAAGGCGGGGAGCAGGAGCTCGTCTTCTTTAGGAGACTTGATGAAGAATTCAATAAAGTGCTCAAATTCTACCGCGAGAAAGTTCAGGCGGTGAAAACTGAGGCAGAGGGACTGAGCAAGCAGATGGATGCACTCATTGCTTTGAGGATTACAGTGGATAAGCCTTGCGTATCCTTGCTGCAGCACTTTGGACCTGAGGTTATGGCGGCTGCACCTAGTCCTCGAAACTCTTCGCCTGCAAGCATTACAGCATCAGTGAATGATGAAAATCAAGGTAAGGTAGGAAGTTACAATGCTTTCAATATATACAAGGGAGGATATAAATTTTGTGTTTGGGGTTTGTAGGAGTTCAAAGAATGGAGGTGATTCAAGAAGTTGAGATGATCAGTGAAGACATAGATGAAATCTCCGAAGCTGAGAAGGAGGAGAAGAAGGATAAGATGGTCAGATTCAGGCCAGCACCTCTGGAAATTTTGAGTGCTGTAAGGATCAATATTGATCCAGAAACACCGGTTTCGACTCTAAGGAATGTTTTAGGGAGTTCCAAATCCGAGCTTTCGTTCAGCAAGGAAGAGCTGAGGAAAGCAGAGGAAAGATTAGGGAAGGCGTTCGTTGGATTCTACCAACAGCTTCGACTTCTGAAGAGCTACTGGTAACAATTCTATCCCTATTGCATGAAGAAAGCAAATTTTACTTACCTGAGAATGAAGTAGACTAAGGTGGTTTGCACATTTAATCTCCAGCTTCCTGAACATGCTAGCAGTCTCCAAGATAATGAAGAAATACGACAAGGTGGGCGATTCCCATTCAGTTATCGAAAGCATCATTTTTTGGTCTCCTGTTTTTGCTCCTGAGTGATTTGATCTTCTTTTCCTGCAGATCACTTCAAGGGGTGCTTCAAAATCCTACTTACAGATGGTGGACAAATCAGATCTTGGGACTTCTGATGAGGTCTGTATTGTAAAGCTCGTTGCCGGATTCCATTAAGTTCCATAGTCGAGATAGTTTAGGTTGATCTGTTCAGCAATCTGGTTTTCACAGGTCAACAAGCTTATAGAAAGAACAGAAGCCACATTCATTAAGCACTTTGCAAATGGAAACCGTAGAAAAGGAATGAAAACTTTGAGGCCGGAACACAGGCAACAAAAGCACAGAAATACGTTTTTCCTAGGTAAGTCTGTGTAGATAGGAAAAAACCATGTGTAATATATAACCTGTAAAAACTCCTTTTCCCTTTTGATTATAGTAGAACATATAAAAGAAAATAACTATCTGATATTGTAATTCTATCGAGCAATTGTCGTTATCAGATACCTGATCAGTGAAAAGAACATCCTTCACCTGCAGGTCTGTATACTGGCTGCTCAATAGCGCTGATGGCTGCAATAACTGTTGTTGCTCGCCTCCGGAACCTTCATCATCATGAAGGCAGGGATCAGTACATGGAGAACGTCTTCCCACTCTACAGGTATCTTTTGCCTGCTAATACAGAAGGGCAGATACTTTTCTCATTTCATCATTGTGAAGATAAATCAACTAGAAACGTATTCATAGAAGAAAAAGCTAATCCATGCTTTCGTCCATGCAGCCTGTTTGCGTATATTGTCTTCCACATGTTCATGTATGGTTCAAACACGTACCTGTGGAGGCGATACCGGGTGAATTATCCATTTATTTTTGGATTCAGACCAGGAACTGAATTAGGCTTTAGAGAAGTCTTACTTATAGCAAGCGGCCTCTCGGTCCTTGCATTATCTGCTGTGCTTTCAAACCTGGACATGGAGATGGACGAAAGGACAGGAAATTTCAAAGTATTTAAGGAATTGATTCCCCTAATCTTAGTCATTGTAAGTTTCTTTCTCATTAATAATACTAGTAGGCTATGATCAGAAGAAACTTTCGTTGTAAGATCGATGTAACAAGCAACCCCCAAACTTCTTCAATATTCCTTTTACAGGCAGTGCTTCTCATAACCTTTTGTCCTTTCAACATCGTTTACCGCTCAAGTCGCTTCTTTCTCCTTCGATGTGCATGGCACTGTTTTTGTGCTCCACTTTACAAGGTATAGTATTAAGCATACAACAAGAACATACTATGCATGTAAGAGCTTACAGATTTACCTTAACATCATCATCAATCTTCTGATGGTCTTTGTAGGTAACCTTGCCTGATTTCTTCCTGGCAGACCAGTTAACAAGCCAGGTATGCTATTATCCATATAATAGTGGATAAAATATATCAATCCGAATCCCGCAATATATATTAAAAGGATGACATCATAAGTTCCTGAAGGGAAAATGTTGTTTTACTTCTTTCAGGTTCAGGCTTTCAGAAGTTTGCAATTTTATGTCTGCTACTATGGATGGGGAGACTTCAAGAGGAGAACGAACAAGTGCGCTTCTATGTCTTCCTATGAAGCTCTACTCTTTGTCGTTGCCATCATTCCATTTTGGGCGCGTTTTCTTCAGGTAAGTCAAACCATGCTCATTGACACAAATATGTCATACAGTCTCCTATTTATTTAAATCCTTAACTAACTTCTGGCTTCTCTAAATTACTCAGTGCCTTCGTCGGTTATTTGAGGAGAAAGATTCAATGCAAGGCTATAATGCTCTGAAGTACTTCTCTACTATTGTGGCACTTGTGATGAGGACATTGTATGATCTTAAAAGAATAACATTTTGGAGAATCATGGCTGCATCAACCTCAGGGATTACCACGATATACAGTACATACTGGGACATTGTCATTGACTGGGGTCTCCTGCAAAAGAAATCAAAGAATCCATGGCTGAGAGATAAGCTGTTGATATCAAACAAGGCCGTGTATTATATAGCCATAGTGAGTTTTACATAGCTGCTTCAATAACCAGACCTAGATTTACACAATTTGATTTGGAATCAGAATTAACTGTTATGAGTCAAATGACCTGGATCGTAGGTGGCAAACATCCTTCTGAGACTTGTATGGATGCAGCTGGTTCTGAATTTAAAGGAAACAGCATTTCTACATAAGAATGCCATGGTTGCAGTTGTCGCCTGCTTGGAGATTCTACGCCGTGGCATTTGGAACTTCTTCAGGTTCTTTAACTCATGCATTACTGTTTCTCCATGCTTCCCTGTTTGCATTTTCTAGCACAAGAATGACCATAAATATTGCACTAGAAAATGCCCAAAGGCTAAAACTACCTTATTACATGACTGGACTCTGCTTCTATGTTAACCCTGCTCTGTTTAAATCATGCAGGTTGGAGAACGAACACTACAACAATGTCGGAAAGTATCGTGCATTCAAATCTGTACCCCTGCCATTTCACTACGAAGATGAAAAGATTTTGTGAGACAATGTAAGTTATTTCCAAAGATGTAATCTGTAGCCTTTAAACGATAAACTTGCAATACTGTCAAGAAGTTACAGTCTTCCGGCTGATTTTGGCACTACCTATTTCCCACGTAGTCCTGTATTTTAGAAGCTATTCAGAGGATATATGTAACATCCAAAATACAACATTTACAGTTTATTCTTAGCATTAGATGATGTAAGTTATTTTCAAAGATGTAATCTGTAGCCTTTGAACATAAACATGCAATTCTGTCAAGAAGTTACAATCTTGTGGTAGATTTCCCACATAGTCCTGTATTTTAGAAGCTTTTCCGAGGACATACGTAGCATCCAAGAAAATACAGCATGTACAGTTTATTCTTAGTCTTAGATAAATGTTAATGACCCTGCTAGGGATATATGCCACTATATGAAACTTGCACGTGGACGATGAGGGCGGTAGGACTCGAACTGTCGAACATGAAACTTCCCGACACTAATACATGCTAGATAATATGAATTGACCGGGTTAAGCTTATAAGATACTTATCATTTATTTGTTTATATTTTTACATAGTCAAACCAACACTTAGGAAGAGCATCTTCAGTTTATTCTCATGGACTAATCTTGTTAGAGGGTCTGTTAGGAAGAATAAAAGGTAGACTCAGCCATGCCCCAGTCCACTGTTCTTACTTTTTCAAAATGTTAATAAGCCCTGGAACCAATGCATAGCTATTTCAATATCAATGCAAGACAAAGCAAACATAGTTAGACAAAAAAAGAGTATGATATTACCTCCAAAGTTTAGGGAGCTGTAGTTTTTTAGAAGAATCATCTCTCCATGGATGGCAACAAAGTCCTTGCCCATCTCTATAAATCTTCAGTCTTAGATGACCCCATCGTAATTTCCCCTTTCCTTCACTTGATCAATTCTTTCCTTCAGTGACTGCAATAATCACAGATGGCCATGAGAAGTACCATGCTTCAGCTGATACACTATACTGAGGTTCAAAGTAACAAGCTGAACATCTCATGCTTGCCTCGAAGACTTCTACGGAAACATATGTCCATAAAAACAGACTTAATTGTAATATTGCAAGTGTAATAAACCAGTCGTCTGATTTCCTTTAGAAAAGAACAAGTCATCATAATTTCTCAGGGGCATACTTGACTAAAACTAATTCGATAATACTTATTTCTGGAACACCTGGAAATCATTAGACTCTAGCCGCTTCTATATGCTAAACTCAGCAAATACTCCTCACCACTACTAGTTTTAAAAGAAATAAATTTTCATTTGCAAAATATGTAGAGTTTGTTAGATCTATTCAGAAATCAGAATCCTTTTTCATTTCTAAATACATCTATTCCAGCAATGTACTTAGCTATTAGATTCCATTAGGTCAAAAGTTTTAACTCTCTAAACACCCTGCTAAAACAGTCTTGACAGTTTAATAGCTACACTGCTTAACAATAAAAGTATCACACCATTCACATATGTGAAGAGGTGAAATGATCAAACATAGAGAAAGAATCTCAACCAAAGTGATTCTGGCCACACTTTCTTTTTTTGGGCATCAACATCACCATATTCTCAAAACCATGAACTATAATTAATAAAAATATTGGCACATCTGAAGCCCATTATAGATATGTGTTCTAGTCATCTGATTCAGGTCAGGCCACATAAACAAAGGAACCAAAAAGTAGGATATACCACAGATATTCTTTTAAACCTTCCACCTCCAAAAAGTGGACAGTCGACTTGCATTTTAAATACTAGTGTGTATTTTGGGTTTTCTCAAGAAGTCTTCTGTTCTGTCACATCATTTCAGAGCAAAATAACTCCCAGCATGTGTCCTCAGTAGTCGAATTTCAGTCAAAAAATCTCTCCTTAGCTTCTAAAACACCTGGCATCAGTTTTTGAAATAAAATTCGTCTTGCAGGTTCAATTTCTTGGTATAGAAAAGTTCGACGGTTTCTACGTTGACAAAGAGAAGACATGATGCTATTCAGGTCTCAGAAGCAGAAGATCGTCACAATCCACTTGCTCCTCGAACCAACGCACACACTGATGCACTCAATCACATTCATATAAATGTTTTTAAACGAGCTTCGATCGAAGCAGAATGTTTATTTTATCACGTAATTATTAGCTATAAACCTCAACAAAACACAACGGTATATCCCGAAATGGATTGGGCACAGCAGCACACTAACAAGCAGAAAGGAGAAAAAGAAAACCTGGAAGCGGATGATGAAATCCTCCTCCTTGTCGACGTAGAAATCGTTGAACTTTTCCAATTCCTGGGAAAGGATCGCGACAAAGCACACCTGAAGCTCCGGCAGCGGCAGAGCAGGCTCTTCATTACCTTGTAGCACAGATACTTGTCCCTCCATTCCGGTATGCTTCTCTCCAAATAAATCCTAAACATTTTACCGAACTTCATTCCATCTCTACAGAATGCAAAAATGCAAACTGCTTTGTGAAATTTTACAGTAAGAATTTTTAGGTTTTCAGTCCAATCCAGTATTGTGAAGATTTAATTAAAACCATCCTGGTTAGAATCATGCATATATATATATAGGCAGAGGAGGTGACAGCAACAAAAATCACCTTAACAAAGAACATTGCGGACAAACATTTCCCACAATTTTGGAGGGTGTTCAAATGTTCAATTATCTTTTTGTAATATTTTGAGATATTGTAAAATTAATATTGAATTTGAACATTTGATATTCAGGACAAAGTGCAATAAAAAATTGCAGAATTCATGAATGTGGCTGGCTGCAGGCTGCCAACGATGGTTCGTGAAGATGATGAACTAACCTTTGCATTTTTACGGAGTAATTGAGGAAAAATATAACTCAGACAGGATAAAGTATGGCAATCCAAACTTTAAATAAACCAGGACGAATTTAAATTCAACCTGCCCTGTCCGTTTCCTTCTTCTGAAGGTTAAATATGTTCGGGGATGTCGATCCTCAGAGTAACGACAGAGCAAAAACACTGCTCGAAATCATACGAAGAAAACAAAGCAATTACAAAATAATCAGCAGCAGCAAGACACTAAATGGTTTCCAGAGCCTGCAGAAAGTCGGCCTTCAAGTCTTCGAAGTCCTCCACGCCAAAGCTGAAGCGAACCAAGTTATCCGAGATGCCGTACTTGGCCCTCTCCGATGGAGGTAAATCCCTGTTACAGATTATAATAGAGTTTACTAGAATAATCGACTGTGTCTAGTTTTTTATGGTGAGAAGGCGAAGGGTGTAGTACTATACCAGTAGGACATTACAGCAGGTTGGTCGACTATGCTTTCGCAGCCACCGAATGAAGGGGCTATGTATGCAATTTTTAGTGAATCGATAAACTTTGCAGTGGTATGCAGGTCTCCTTCAACCTGTGTAATGTGAATTATCTTTCAGAGGAATCTGTGTCTTGCTGAGGATAATGGGGCTGTAAATTCAAAAAAACACTGACCTCGAAACTAACTACGCCACCAAAGCCATTCATCTGCTTCTTAGCAAGCTCGTGTTCTGGATGACTAGCTAGTCCCGGATAATATACGCGCCTAATCTGTAATTTGTGTAAGATTTTCAGATTTTTTTCAATGGTTGCAATTGGCGATACCAAAATTTGTGTTGTTTCAAGTAACTGAGGGTACCTTGGGATGTGCCTCTAAAATCTCGGCCATCCTTTGTGCTGTTTCGTTTTGTTGCTGTACACGAAGATGCAGCGTCTTCATGCCTCGGATCAGAAGATATGCAGCATTCTGATCAACAAGAACATGGTAAATCAGAATATATATATATATATTAAGTATCGGAGCTTAATGGTACGAGATGAGTTAATTGGGATCCTTACAGGATTTAGAGTACCACCCAGAACATGATGCAACATGCGAACAGGGGAAATTAACTTCTCAGGACCACTGATAGATCCACCAAGAACCTAAGACAAAAAATGCATAGTTTTTGTAATTGCAATCATAAAATGATAATAATAATAATAATAATAATGACATGATATCGAACTTACATCATTGTGGCCGCCAATGTATTTAGTGACAGAGTGTACGACAATATCAGCTCCAAGAGAAAGGGCTTTCTGGTTAAGTGGAGTTGCAAATGTCCCATCTATGCACACCAAGGCTCCTTTGTCGTGGCAGATCTTTGACACTCGCTCAATGTCGACACATCTCAAGAAGGGATTAGTTGGAGACTCTGTGAAGAAAAGTGAGACCTGGAAGGACAGTTATATGGTTTAGTTAATGCAAGTGTGGATAAAGACCAAATAAGAATCCATAGGCCATTCCAAGAAATACCGACATTGTTGTTCTCTAAAGCAGCCTCCAGACCTTCAATATCAGCAGGATCAATGACAGTAGCCTGCATAATTTAACAAAGCATGTCAACCCGCTGTATATATCATTACTACAGTGAAGTTCAATAATACATATATACCCAATTATGAAATGTTCTATCCAATCAAGTAAACTAAATTAAATGAATTTTCAACAGTACAAGAGAAGTAGAACAAGAATTGAGTGACAGAGACCATACAGTGATCCCCATTTTGGGAAGAAATGTCTCAATAAATATCCGTGTCTTCCGGTAGCAGTCAGTGGTGGTAACCAAATGGCCACCAGCAGGGACCAGTGCCATCAACAACACAGTGCTAGCGCACATTCCAGACGCCATCAAAATTGTTGACTCGGCCCCTTCCAGTGCACTGGTGGATTCAAGAGACAGAATGATGCTACTTGTTATATACACAAGCAATCTCGCTAAATGTACTTAAAACAAGAATAATCAAACCAACCTTATTTTCTCCTCCGCAGCCACAGTGGTGTAATTCCCATAACGACCATATTCAAAACTTTCCCGTCTTTTTTCCTGCAGACAGCAAGAGTGACTCCTAATATTTAGCATCCACACCATGAATTCGATAGCATAAAACTGTCCAATGAAGGGCACATCTGTATTGTTAAAAAATTGCATTTCTTCTGTAATAACTCTAGTTCTAGTTTGAGCTGCTGGTTAAGCAACTATTCCAATAGCCTTATCCTATGGAAAGTTCCATCATGCTCATACCATCACCATGGCTAAGTAATATTATGCAATTATCATGCAATAACTTCACATACCTTAAAATCAATCAGATCTGCAGTTTTCTTGAAAAAATAAGCAGATGTATTAAATACTGGGGTAGTTATTGTATCAGTAACAATGCCGCGATCCAATCTTTCACCTGTACAAATAAATAGAGGTTAAAAACATCTAATAACATACACCCAACTTCTTAGCAAGTTCAAAAACGCAAGTGACAAGCTTTGATCAGTTTAGTGCACCATAACGTGAAACTAGCAAGAAAATTAAAATACCATATATTAGCAGTGTACAAAGCAATATAGCTAGCAGCGAGCAGCATCTATAGTATTAAAGCTATGTTAGCATGAAACAAGTTCAAAGGGCCATCAACAGGAAAAGATTAGAATTTTTGTACCTAGGTTGTTGAAATCAATACTCCACCAATCAATTGATAATAAATAAGGAAATAGTAACGCAAATTTAATAGCTCCAATAATTCGATTCAAAAGTATCTTCATTTAGACAGCTGTGAACTTTAATAAAAACTCATTTCCTGCTTAAAAGTTGACCAGAACTACCTAAAGAATACAATAGTGGCGGAATGAACAAAATAAACTCATGCCGAACAGAAAACTTAAACCTCAAAATCAGAGTCTTTGTAGTAATAAGTTCTGTTCGTCGGTTAGCAGCTTACCGGCATGAATAGCCATGCTGCCATCTGAACTCAAAAAAGAAGCATATTTCGAGGAAGGCAAATCCTGAATCTGTACATTTCCGTCAACAAACGACGGATCCTTAGCGGCTACAACCACCTCATCAACACCGGCATCAACCTCAACCGACGCGACAGGTGCCGCAGCCGCATCGACGACGTTAGCCGCCGCCGGAGTCAAACCAGAGGCGCCCTGGTTGTTCGACCACGAAGCAGCCACTACCTGAGCCACACCAATGTTGCTGCAGTTTCTCCGAGCCTTATTGCTCAGCTGTCTCACGAAATTGGGGGGAAACCTCAAAATAAGCGAAGACAATCCTTGCGCCCCCGCTGCAGTCCGAAGTATCCCCGATTTCGATTTCCCGGAAGATCCGGAGCGAGGAATCTCCGGCCGCGAGAAATCGGGATCTGAACGGCAGTCGAAGGTCGGAAGTGCCATCGCAAAGCTGGAGGCCGCCATAGGGTTAGGTTAGAAATGGGAATCTGGTGATTCAGGTCGTCCCCAACTCCGTGTATGGACCGTATCGAACGGCGGACGTTAGCTCTATTTATAGCCGTTTCAGGCCAACTAATCAGATCCGTTTACCGTCTTTTTCCTTAATATTTACTTAATCGTGGTTAGCTTACCATTAACCATGATTAACTTGTGAAATGATTGTAGATTTTTATTTGTAAGAGTTTAACGACAAAAGTCACTGAAAAATTGTCGATAAAACAATGTAAATCTATTCATTTTTTTTATTATTATTATTTATCAATAAATCAGTTTCCTAATTGATAAAAAGTCCAAAACATTATTGAATACAAATCGACTTCAAGTGTTTGTTCAGTTGTCGAAAGGCCGAATTCTTTTGGGTGGAATGGCGGGCCCAACAAAGGCCTGATTAAGGCTGTGTTTGGATGACCAATTTTGACACGACAGCTGTTAGCACGCAATTTGATAGCTCTCCAAACACATTTTCTAAGCACCCTGGACTTCAACGCCAGATCGAATCATCACGCGCATGAATGGTGTTGATATGGGCTGGAGTTGAGGTCCGGCGATGTTTGTAAAAAAGTGAAAGGAAAACGCAGCATGAATTGTCGTTTTAGGCCCAAATTTATCATAGGCCCAACATACCTACTCACAATTAAAAGCCCAAAAAGAATTCACGAGGGCTAATCTCATCCTAACTATAAATAGGGCAAACCTTTTACGCCTGTATTGAAAGCTTCGTCTCCGCCGCGTCTGCAGATTGTTAGCAGGACAGGTAATGAAAGAAAAACTAGCTATAGCATGGAAACTGCACGGTACTGAGGCTCTGTGGTGATTCAATTCCCGCAGAAGTCTAATCTAGTGTGCAGAAATGGAAGATTTCGGGATCCGCTTTGCAGCTTAAATGATCAAAATTGATTTTCCGATATTTCTGCTGCCAGTAATCCCCGAACAGTTTTGAATTTGGTCTTTGCAGCACCACTGATCGTGGTTTTCAATATAATTTTTCGGTTATTGTTGATTGAAGAATGAGAGGAGCAAAATTTCCTAGTGAAAGTGCGTAATCTCTTGTTTTGTGTCTAAACATTTCATTTGTTCTTTCACCGGAGCAAGAGCTGCCATGATTGAACTATGGTTTTGACTAGTCTCGATTTGGATATGCACAGATCTGTGAGGAATTGACAGGCATGTGATTTAATTAGAGTTTAGTCCTCGACAGTAAATGCAAATACACAGAACCGTATTTTTCTTCTTTATTAATCAATAGTAAAATCACAATGACCATAGATCTGTCAATCTCACTTAACCAACACTTGTTATAGGTAATTCATTCACTGATTCACTCCAGTCTACTTCCTCCTACCCAGCCTGGCTTCTTAAATGTCCATTAATGGATGAAGTAAGCATGATAATGTTGCTTATCAAATCCATTGTCAGGCTTTTTATATCAATAATATTTGGATGCTTTTGCACAATTATTTTCTTAACAGTTGAAAAGGTATTGACGAATCAAAATTCATTTATAGCAGCCTTGATGCGTTCCATAGGATATGAATTTTGAATTCCAGTAAATGTCATGTTCTGTGCAGAGGAAAAGCAGGTCTCAGGGTAAACTGTAAAGCCTTCAGTTACATACATAAAGGGTATTACGGTCATTTCATTCGAGATTCGAATATCACCAGGCAACGGCTATGAGGTAATCCTGTCATTGTGAAAGAGAAATTTATTTTTTCAGTTTTTACATTTACCATAAGAAGGGACGAACCGATGAGCGAATAAAAGTATATTGCAGTTGAGGTGATACGTTATGTTAGATGGGGGACCACTTTGCAATTTTCTGCAAGTCCTGTATTAGTTCAGCCATTTTTTTCCCAATTCAACCATGAAATGAATTATGTATTGGTGCTTAGACATCTGCACATGTTCCCCTTAACTCTGTCCATGAAAATGGTGCAAGACTAGAATACAAAAAAAAAAAAAGTGATAATATATAACGAATTAATTGTCATTTTTCTGAATATGACAAATTTTGTTTACACACACTTATCACATTACTACAGCTTAATTAAGACATAATGATGTGATTAATTAATGCAGCTATACACAACTACCCAATAAACTTGTCCTTCCTCCCTCTTGTTAATATGTTTGTATTATTGTATAAGGTTATTAGATAAATGGAAAAAAATCATTTTTAGTCTCAATATAATCAAAATTCATCAATTTTGGTCTAAATATAAAGATTTTATCAATTTTAGTCCCAATATAATCAAAATTCATCATTTTTTGTTCTAATATAACCAAAATTCATCATTCTTAGTTTTAATATAAAAAATTTATCAATTTTAGTCTTAATATAACTAAAATTCATCATTTTTTGTCCCAATATAATCAAATATTATCTTTTTTTATCCCACCTTAAAAAATATTGACGTGAAAAGAAATCAAACCAATAAATCAAACCTTATATTTATATTTGAAGAAATTGCAAGTTGACGTCAGCATTTTCCGTCGTTTTGTTGACGGTGGAATAAAAGAGATAAGGTTTAATTATATTTGAACAAAAAATATGAGTTTTTGTTATATTGGGATTAAAATTGATAAAAATTTTATATTTGAATAAAAAATGATGAATTTTGGTTATATTTGTACCAAAATTGATAAGATTTTTATACTAGACCAAAATTGATGAATTTTGGTTATATTAAAACTAAAATTATTTTTTTCCTTAGATAAATTATGATTAATAGAAATAAAAAGAATATAAATACGATTAAAATCAATAATTATATTTATAATAAAAAAAAAATCAAATTAAGTATGACATATCAAAATAAAAATAAAATAGACATTTTATATTTAATCTAATGATTTAAATTAAATATTTATTTATTTTATTTAAATAATATATTTTTCTGTAATGATTTATAAAACAATATAAATACATAAATATATACTCTTTTGTTTCAATTTAATATAAAAAAATAAAGTAATTTTTAAAAAGAAATAAATTATTTTATTGACCCTATATTTTATAGTCAATAAGATTAATGATATATATAGGGTAAATTGCATATACCTTTTATGTAGTATAAATGCACAATACATTTTATATTTATTGTGTGAACTTTTTTGTGTAACAACATATCTTGTTCCTCCAATGATTCTTTATCCTAAGTATGCATTTAATTATATAAGTTTTATTTCATATAAATAAAAAAGATAGAAAAAAATATTTTTTAAAAATTATTTAAATAAAATAATTGAACAACTTTTATTTTATAGTTTTTCTTTCATTTTGTTTTTGTAAAAATTAGGTAAATGCACTCTCAAAACAATTATTAAAGGAATAATTGATAAGTTATTTAATCTTTTAGGCTGTGTTTGTTTGGGGGTTTGGATTTTGAGTTGGGATTTGAATAGTAAAAATTTTGAATTAAAATAGTTGTATGATGTGATATAAATAGGTATTGATGTAATGTTTTGAATGTAAATTTGATTTTTAGTATAATATAACAAATGAAAAATAGGTGTTTGATTTGATGTTTTTGGGAGGGAAAAATAGGATGAATAGTGGAAATTAAATCAAATCCTCCAAACAAATTTTTTTTTAAATATATATACTAGTAATACTTCCTTTTAATTCCATTATGTAGAATATATTACTCTATTTATTTATATAAAATTTATGTAATTAAATACAAGTTTACGTTCCCTTATAGTGTAAACTTGTGATCGTAAAGTAACGGGAAGTGTACAGCATTCTCGACAGCGACTACGAATTCTGACGTATAAAAATATATATGTATGTATATACACGTTTACAACTAATAATCACTTTTGGATAATATTTATAGAGTAGTTTAAATCAAAATTCACATAATAAATAAAATATGTAATCCATTTTTATCGAAAAAAAATAGAAAAATTTACCCTAATATTTTATAAAACCAAACCCCATCACTTCCATGAAAATGAATCAAAACTGTCCATGAATTGTGCAAGATCGTGACATGGAACTAAAAGCAATAAATTTTTGTCTCTACATAATTTTCATTTTTCCATGGTCATATATACTTTTCTATTATAATGTAATATTATATAGATATAAATATTTTAGTATATTACTATATTAATTAATTGATTTCATATTAATATTATTTATAATGGTTTTAGAAATAATTAAATTTTTTAAAAAAGGTGGGCATATACTCTACATTTGAACTGCTACAGCATAACGAAGAAGACGACAATGGAAGAAGACGACGACGACGATCAAAACAATGGCGAATCGGACGGCGAAGAATTCACCAGATTCAGAATGCTGTTCCAGTAATTATTGTTGTCTTCGCAATAATCTTCGCCACGGCTGCCTCCGTCGTCGTCCGAGAATCTCCGGTCGCCGGAGGAGGAGCTCAGCAAAAGGTCGGTAAATTTCTCGACGAAATTCAGGCAAGGAACGTGCTCAGAAGAACTCGAGAGAAATGGCAGAATGGAGTTCTCGATTATTCCGTCCTTGTATTCCGGTAAATGCCTAAATCGATCGCCTTCATCGTTCATCATTCCGCCGCTGCCGCCGTCGCTCGCGGCGGCGGCGGCGAAGCTCTCTCCTACTCCGGCGGCGGAGGTGAGCGTCGACGTCGGCGATTCTATCCCGCCGCCGGAAATGCCGCCGATTGGCTCGCTAGGGTTCGCCGCCCACACGGCTGAGCCGCCGCTCCAAGCCTTGACCGCGCCGAGACTTGAGCTCGGCTTCATCAGCTGGCTTGGAAACGAGCCGAATTCAGAGCTCTCCCCTCCAGCCGCCGCCGCCGCCTGTTTACATTTAAAAAAAAAAAAATCAAAAATCATCACGCTCAGAAAGAACCAAACTCTAATCCTGACCTGAAACGAGCCAGCCGAGGACGAGCCGCCGCCGGATCCGGAGCGGAGCCGAGTTTGACGAGCCAGTCTAGCTTCGGCTTCGAGGCGAGCGCTCTCCCACTGCGCCATGTGGCTGAGATTAGCGGCGGTCTTGGAATTTTCACCGCCGTCGCCGGCGCCGGCGCCGGCGGCCGACAAGGCGTCATTTCTGGGCTTATGAGTTACCGGATCGATCCCCATTTTCGCCAGGCGTTTCTTGAGGTGAGTGTTCCAGTAATTCTTGATTTCATTATCCGTCCTTTTGGGCAAATGCGTTGCTATGGCAGACCACCTTCAAAACGACGCCGTTTCATACATTTTTACATATACACGTATCAATATCAATCAGTTAAATTAGTGAAGAAACCCTAAAAATTAAATTACGCAGGAAATCAAGAACCTGTTTCCCAAAAGGGCATGGAGCTGAATGATTGTCTGCTCTTCTTGTAAGCTGAATTTCCCTCTTTTGATATCAGGTCTCAGGTAGTTTGTCCACCTCAGTCTGCAGCTCTTCCCACATCTCTGGAGCCCTAAAGAAATTAACACAGAAAACAAAAAAGCTTGAAATTCAGGCAATGGAGGAAGAAGATGGGAGGGGGTATTTACCACTTACCAGCTTTAGCAGGCAAAGCTCTCCAGCTGCCATGGCCGTGTTCTTCGATGTAGGCCAGGAGCTTCTGGTCTTCTTCGGGAGTCCAGGGCCCTTTCTTCAGCCCAACCTTGTCGCAGCAGGGAGACCTACCCATTGATCAAATATCGAATTATTCAGCAGAGGATTGATCGGTCGATTGATACTGACGACGACGGGATCGATGAATCCGATGATATATATATATGTATCTATAATCTTGATGATATATATGACTAGTAAGTTTTGTTTATTTATTTATTTGTGTATATATGCTGCAGTGAATTGGGTGGATGGGAGAGTAGAGAGTAGAGAGAGAGAGGAGCTGCAGTAAATAACATGATGAGAGAGATGGACCCCGCAGGAAACGAAGGTCGGCGACAGGGATCAGGGATGATATGCAGGTATTAAATAGACTTATTCTTTGCGACTCCATGGACCTCGACTCCAAAGTTCATCTTCACCGTTCATTCTCCCCTGCCATCTATCATCCGGGACTTCTCCGGACTTCCTAGTTGCTGTCCCTTTACTTATTAATCGGGTAAAGTATCTTATTTTCAAATAAAATAAAATAAAATAAAAAATCTTTTTTTTTTAATCTTAAAATTAATTTATATTGGTCAACAAAGAGATTAAAAAAATATTAATATTTTTATTAAAAAATTAATAAAAATAAAAAATAGTTGTGAAAATTTAAAAATTTAATTAAATTTTAAAATAAAAAAAAAAGAATGTAATAAATGCAGTCGTATTTGTTATAAATAAATATTAAATAAAGAATAATAATTAGATATTAATTTATTAAAATTATTAATAAGATAAATTTAACGAACAAATTAAAAAAAATAATAATAACGAACATTAAATTTAGTTATTTTTTACGTCATTACTTTTTTGAATTTTTTCCCATTTTTTTGTGTTAAAGTTTAATTATATATTTTATGTGACGGTATTCAGAATTGGATAAATGAAAAATAAGATGAACTAAAAATGGAGTATCTATTATAAAATAGGTTGATCAATTTTTACTCTTTATTTATTGAAATTGCCTCTCCGAATATATAAAATATGACAAATATGCTGATGTGAAGTTCTGTTCGGAAATAAATAAATAAATAAATAGGTGAGGATTTCAATATTTGAATGATACTATCAATTTTGGCAGTCTAACCGATTGATAGAGATGTGTGACATTATTGTAAATAATATACTATTTCATTCCTTTAGGATAAATTATTCATTAAAATTTAGGTAAAATATATTAGTAAAAATATTATAAATTAAAATAACTAAATAGTTTAATAAAGATAAATAAAATTTTAAATTTTAAATTTTAAAATATGATTAAAATGTATAATCATATTTACTTTTTTTAAAAAATGACAAAATATATAAAACGAATGAAATAGAAAAAAAAATGACAATTTATGTGAGAATGAATAAGTATATAATAGTATTTCCAATATAACCAAGACAAAAAGGGTAATTTTTTATTTTGTTCACTAGATAATTATTTTAAATTTTTTTACTATTTAATTATATTTTTATACAAATAAATTATTTTATCTCATAAAATATTACGCTCAAATTACTATTTAAATTAACTCTTTTAGGAAAAAAGAAAAACCAACTAAACGGTCTTGTGATTTATTTTTCAAATTTTTTTGGATAATAAATTTATTTTAATATTTTTAAAAAAGTTATAGATTTCGTTATTTTTATTTTTTATATTAATAAGATAATTATTTGTTTAGTGTATGTAATTTTTTAAATATTAAATATTAAGGTTATATATGTAGTACAACAAGAGATAAAAATAATATTCATACATTTATCATTAATGTGTATTATCTTTGTAATAGTTGTAATATTAGATTATTAAAAACAAAATAAATTGATTGAAATCGATGAAAATGAAAAAAATAAATAAATAAATTATCTTGTTAAAAAGTACTCCCTTCGTCCCAAAGACTGTGCAACATTTATGTTTGGCACGAAAATTTAGGTGTGAAGTATTAATTATGGTATTTATTGAGATAATTTTAATATTAAGTGATGTGATTGGAGAGAGAAATGATTATTTGTTTTTTTTTTTTATTTGAGTGATGTGATGTGATAAAGTGAAGTGTATATTAATATATGTATAAAAATATTATTAATTATTCTAAATTTGAAAATGTTGCAGTGAGTTTGGGACGGAGAAAATATTATATTTTACTAATATTGTAATAATTATATAATAAATAGATAAATATCTCTAAGGTAAACCGAAACAATTTACACTTGTTTTTCTTATATATATATATATATATATATAATATTAAATATCTTCATAATCCAAAATTTATTGTTTATATCTAATATAATATGGTAATAACACAAAATCGAGCGCAACATTAAAATAACAGCAGTTAACTAATAATAATAATAATTACTCCCTTCGTTCCATATAATTTGTTCATATTTTCTATTTTCGTCCGTTCCACATAAGTTGTCATCTATTTTTTTTGAAAATTTATTATACATTTTAATCATATTTTATTTTTTTTAAATTTTAATTAAACTATTTAGTCATCTTAATATTAATATATAATTATTTTTAGTATATAATAATAATTTTTGCTAATATACTTCTTAAATACTTATTAATTATATTTTACCTAAATTCTTATATCTATAGTAATAAGTCCATATTATCTAGGACGGAGGGAGTAATAAACTGATAATAATTGTAAACGTTATGACATGGTGGTGGGCTGATTAATTTTCAATGCCTAACCAATTGGCAGTAATTTCACTTTAACTTCATTTTATTTATTATATAATATAAAAATTTACCAATAAGGTACATCAGGTGAATTATTTTATTTCGAATTTAAATCTATAACCTTAAGATCAGAGACTATCTCATGTCACCACCACGACATAATTATTTTTTATTTATTATTAGTTATTATTATTGTTGCTATTGTTTCAAATGATAATGAAATTTAGAATTTGAAATAAAAAATCAAACCCCAATTATTGAATTGAAAGGCAATAGTCAAACCCAATAATTGAGAGGGTAATGAATAAATTTATTAATTACATGTTTTTTTGGATTAACTGTTAATAGAGACAAAATAATTGAGGTAACGCGTGCACTATGCATTTATATATATTCTTGTTTATTGCTCACTTTTAAAATGCGATATATGTAGATAGTGTATTTTGTAAGAAATTAAATAATAATAATAATAATAATAATAATAATAATAATAATGATAATAATAATAATATACTGCCAAATAACTTATTAATTAATTAATTAATGTTATTGGTTTGGACCCTTAAGCTAGTGGGCTAATCGATGGGCCTTGATTTGTGACCCGGCCCAGTAATTCACTTCTATCCCTTGAGCCAATATGAGCCATTCTATTTTAGGTGTTTTATCAAAGTCATTTGATGATATGTATAATTTATTTTTGGGTAAATTATAATTACTCCCTCCGTCCCAAATGTAGGTATTCATTTGTTTTTTGCACATAATTTTAGAAATATTAGTATTATATTGGAATATAGTAGGAATAAAATAGAAATGACTAAAATAACCTTATTAGTATGTGTGATATAAAGGTAATGACATTTGTGTAATATATTGTAAGTTGTAAGGGTATTGTAATGTTAGGTAGATAGTACAGTTACTAAAAAAGAAAATAGGTACTTTGTTATGGGACGGACTAAAATGAAAAAATGGATATTTTGTTATGGGACGAAAGAAGTATATTGTTTTGTATTACTAAAATATAAAAATGCCCCATAATTATAAAATGCCCACAAAATACAATTTTGGTCCAAAATTGATATTCAAGGCATACCTAATTATACAAGTTTCTATGGAGACAAATTGTTAACTCATTTTTAAAAAAAAAAAAAATTATAAAATGAAAGATCAATTGTTTATTATTTTTTATTCAAATCAAACTATTTAATATATATATATTTTTATTTGTATAAAATCTGCATAATTAATTATGTACGTGTTTACAACTCAGGTATCAATTTTAGATGAATATGATATTTTATACATATTTTAATTTATCACAAGAGAATTTCATGTAATAAATATAACACAAATTGTTTTGTATATTTTTTACTAAAAACACAATAGGATATTATACAATTTACCTTTTTTTATTTTTTTTATGATTTGAGAATCCCTAACTGTTACTTCTGAATTCGTTTTAAGTAAATTTACGATTGAATCTAATATCATGCAAATTAAGCCAGCAAAATAAGACGAACTAAGTATCAGCATTTTTAGGGTTGTGTCTTCGTCCTTCTTTGTTTGAATATGTCGTCGTTGTAAAATGTTGATACTTTGAAATGTCGAAAGAATGTCAATAATTTCGATCATTGTTATGCCGATTGATTAATATTATAGTATATATCTTCGTAATTTTTTTCATTGATACCTTGATATATTTGAGTTTTGCACATTCATATAGTGTAAAAAATAATAATAATAATTAATTAATCCAATATGAAAGAATTTAATCTCATTAAAAAAAAAAAAAATGAAAATTTATCATCATCATTAATTGAATACTATGTGTATATATATATGTATTTATATGGATCTTGCATTTAATTGTATGTTTATAAATTTCTTATATTTATATGAAGCAATGTTATTAGTTTCAATAGAAACCTATCACTTTGGTCACCATGCTTTAAATTTATACTAAATTCAATTGCAATTGTCAAAATAATTCATGGTGCTTTATGATTTGAACATGAAAATAGGCTATTGATGTAACATCTTACTTTTTTTATACTTATAATAATAATAATAATAAAATTAAAAACTATGAATATTTGAAAAATTTTATATCGCATTTTTCATCAACGTTGTTTTTTTTTTTTTTTTTTTTTTTTCCAAAATGATCAAATCAAGCATTTTTTTTTTAATTTTAATTTAATGTTACATGAAAGTTGTTTTTTCCATTCATAAAATATGGAGTAACATAATATCAAATATTATTATAATTCAAATATTACTACTACAAAACCCTATATCTGAACCTAAAACTTAAAGAGCACCTTGAAGACTAGTCTATTTTGCTTAAATATATTGCTGTTGTGTTTAAAATATATACTCCCTCTATCGTACAAATGTATTTTCATTTAATCGGACACGAATTTTAATAAAAGTGAATAATAATTGTTATTTTTTATTTTATAATTAAAAAATACAAATTTGAATGACGGAAATAATATATATAAGTTATTTGATATGATTATTAAGTATTTAATATAATATTTAATACTCTATATATATTAAATT